AGATAATGACCTCTACCACATCATTTGAAGTCTAATTAGTTGCAGTTGCTGGAGTGTCCACTCCCACTTTTCATATTGTTTGAGACACGTTGTTTTCGTGGCACTGGCAGCTCTGGTAATTTAAAGTCTGAAAATTTTATAGCTCGTTAACTCAACTCTGTCATGTCTCCTCTCCTTCTCATTTCATTTCTCTTTTCCTCCATTTATCCATTTGAAGGTCTAACACGCTTCTTCCTCATCGTTTTCTGTCCATTTCCAATTACCACATTGATTGTGACGAGGTAGTTCCTAGAACGCGTTTTCTTTTTGTTTTTTGAGCTCTGTCGCTCCCGAGGCGGTAGGTTTGCCTCTAAATGATTGGAAGGTGATCGCGCGAACAGAAAAAGAAAGAAGAGAGTGTTTGAGAAAAACGCATGTGCGTATTTTCTTGCAGACACACACCGCAAAATTTCAACCGGCTTTCGCTTTTCGCTTGAGCAAACCATGAGAGATGTGCCGCGCGGAAGAGCCAGAAGGCTGCGGAGCATACAGTGCACTGTGGGCCTCTGTGTGTCTTGGCTGTTCGACGACAGCTTTCAAGAAGAAGAAGAAGAATCAGAGAGCGAGAGGGAGGGAGAGAGAGAGAGAGAGAGATAGCTAGCTCGACCGTGCTGGCTGCGCAACGACGTTTCGTGCGCGGCACGTCATATCAGTCCACATCACGCTTTTTCCGCCACCCATGATATGCCATTTAGAGCTGTCAAGAACAATCTGTGATCCCTTGGTATGTCGCTGAGACCATACAGCTGTGTTGTCGGTCCTCACACAAAACTTGAACTTTCCCCCTGTCCTCTTATCCCCGAATGCCCTTTGGAAATCAATGTCAACAAGGTTTTCTCTTCCATCCCTCTTCACACTTTCGCTTTTTACATTTCTAAATTTGGATTTTCTTCCGCTTCAAACAATGACATCAACTTTCATTTCGTCTTAAAGCAGTTTGTTGTGCTTCAAAATCAAATAAAATCGGATAAAATGAAATGAAAACGTTTTTCCTTTCCTTTCCTCGCCTTACTTCCATCCGATTTCCCTGTTTCCTATTTGTGCCTCATCTGGAATTCCGCGTCTCATTGTTCCATTTCCCTAATACCCCCCGTTAACTCTCTCGTTGTTTTCGAGTTATTCCCTACTTGCTGCTCGTTTGTTGATCCCTAAAGAATAGAAGGTAGATGCTTCGGTTCACATTATCTGTTAAGACCTCGCAATGAACTTCTAGGTACTCGATAGCATCAAAAATTTGAAAAACGGAATGTAGTTCTAACGGATTCGAGAATTGATTCTGATTTCAACCACAGTTTTCAACTACATTCGTTTTTGAATACACATGCCTGCGTGTACAACCAAATTGCCGACACCTAATGGAAGAGCCGTAATTGTTTCCACATGACCTGTTTCGAACCTCTCAAAACGGATATCCATCGTTTTGTACGCACCCGCTCAGTTCCTTCCTCTGTTTTAGGTTCCCTATTGGCATGAAAGTGGGCAGGTGAAAAGGACAAATTCAGGTTTTTCAACTTAAAACAATGGACAGTTGACCGACGGTCAATTTCATTTAAAACCTTTGCATTCGAGTTGGTCAGTTTGTCTTGTTGCCTCTTCCTCTCTGAAAAGAAAAACGACTCGACTATCATCATCCGAATCTTCTAAGACTTCCCCTCTCTTTTTTCTTTTCTCCCAACAATCTCTCTAGAAAACTTACAAAACCAACGGAATCATAGTAGCTAACCAGTTTGGTGGTTACGGAGGTTTACAATTATCTATTTCTTGCTTCCTTCAGACGAACCGCGTATTGTTTGCACTAGAACAACACAGTCGCACTTCCGAGCCCTCTTTCTTTTCCTTTCCGTTGTAATCACTCATATCGGATGAATATATATATGTATATCAATAGGAGAAAATTTTGCTCACCCCCCGTGTAACACATGTATACCCAAGAACTAGATATTATCAATGAAGGCTGTTTGCGTCGTCGCGGACAGTGTTAGGCCTCCGCATGACTTTGCTCCCCCCTCCCGACGTACAGATTAGAGCCTTGTTCCGTAAGCCCATTTGCAAGGAATGAAGACTTTCGACTACTGCATTCTGGTTGCGCGGTACATCACAGTTTACTTTTGCAGTTCTTTTTTTCCGCGACTATTCAAAGTCTTTCAACGACTGGCCGTTTCCATGCATTTACAACCATTTCCTTGTTTTTTGTCTTTTCGCCTTCTTCTCCCGCCAGATATATTATCAACTTGAGGCAAATGTCTTCCGACTGTTTGCGAACGCTACTGTTTTTTCGTGATATCCGCTGCCTCATTCGATTTCTTCTTTTCTCGGAAAAAAAGTGTTTTCAGTTTCGTTTTTGGGATCTGCCTAGCACCTGAAACGCTTGCAAATATTTATGGAACAATCATCGGAAATTGTTGAAAAAATCTGGGTGATGCAGTAGACTATTCTGAATTGAATCGTGCTGTCAAAAGCTGTAGAATACATAGTGTCTCCTGATGATCTGCAACTTTTGACAAGATGTATCGACTCAGCATAGCCTACTGTGTCACTCGGATTTTTTTCAGAATTTTTCAAAATCAGTTCAATTTCCCAAATAGAATACACAATTTTTGAGTGAGCAGCCAAAAACCAAAGTTCCCCCCGTCACTTTTATGTGCAATAAATTGTCGGGAACGAAAATGCAGGGAAGAAAAAATCGCGTCATTTCCTTGTCAACCTCTTCTTTCGGAATTTAGCGACTCTGGGTAAATGCGTCTTGAAGTGCGACTCTCCGAGTGAGTGCCCAGTCCCTTCTTTTCGTCTCCTTTTCAATCACGTCTTGTGGCAAGTGGTTTGTTGGTTTCCTTCTGCGATTTAAGAAGACGAATGAAGTCGTAGAACAAATTTGAACCGACAGCCATCCCACCAGATCCCTCGAGGCAGAAGATACGGTCTTCTTCTCCCTTTTTTCCTTACCGTTGCAATTACAATTCCACGCGGTACACTTGTGTCGGTTTCCTCGCGAATTTATTGTTCTTGTCAATCCCATCCAACGTTTCTTCTTCTACTTTTTCTTCTTATAACCCTCTTTTCAAACAAATCAAACTGATCGATAGAAAAACTGAACAATCCGCGCATCTCTTCTCCCCCACCCTCTGTGTGTGTTTTTTCTCGGTCTTTTGACAGATACTCGCCCCTCAGAACCATATGATATCAATGATACTCCTTCATTTCCTTTCCCTTTCAAGTGTAATATTTCTACGGAGACTTGCCAAGTTCATCCTCACTTATTTTCAGTTTTTGACTTCCCCTTTCCCCCCTTTTAAAACTTCTATTTTTAGCTGTGAATGTTCCTTCCTTCATTTTTGCTCCTTTCCCTTCACTGCCCGGGCTATTTACACAAAAATTTAATATCTTTCCGGTGCTAAACTAAACTGTCCCTGTCCAAAGTTCAATTGCATAAAGAACTACGAAGAAGAGGCCAAAATTGTAGGTTTCTGACTGACTACGATTCTTAGAAAAGAGGAAGGACTTTGGGTTCTCTTCCCTATATTATTATTCCCCGTTTTCCAAATGTTCTCAGTCTGAGAAAAGAAAATCGGCTTTCTCTTCTGACATTAGCCGCTTCCCTTTCCCGTCTACAACGGAAATTGAGAGATAGAGAGCACATTGTTCTTTACGCCAGTCCGCCTCTTCTCGCTTCATTTTACAGTACAGTCCAAATTCCTTCATACGCCTCCTCCTTTTCTTCTCTCATGTTTTTTTCTGTTTTTCTTATCGGCTAGACCGTCTTTGAAAAAGAAGTGGCGAGACGGTGCGCTGTCAAAACTTCGCCCCCCTTCCACTCTTTTTTCTAATCACATCCGCCATTTTTTCCAACTTTTGCTTGCCCCGCTCGAAATTCCTCGGCTTTATACACACAAAAAGATTTACGATATGGCCACACACAGACATATCTCGCCTATCCAAATCGGATGGTAGAACTGGGATAGTCTCGTCCGTCAGAATGCGCATCCTCCCACATTTCCTCCGTACTTCCTCTCTCTCTCTCTCTCTCCCTTCCTATTTCCCCGAATCGTTTTTCTCTTCATCCGGAAATTCGTCGTTTTTGACGGGGATGCTGGCTGCCGTCGGCAACTATACCGACCGATATGATGATGATTCGGTTATTTTCCATAGGAATGAATTCCGAGAATATTCAATGGCAGATGGGGGGGGGGGGTTAGAGGTGTGCCATTTGGAAAAACTTTCGGGGTTAATGGATAACAGATGTCTGAGACTACTTTTTACGTGAATCGATTAGTGAATGAATGGGGGGAGGGGAGAGGACGATACAAGTGATGTCACTTCTTCTCGCATTCATCCGATTTTCTTTTCACCTCAAACACCTCCTGCTGATTTTGCGCACTCTCTCTCTTTGCCTATTCAGAAGCCGAAATTCGATTGCAGCTTCAGATTTTTTTCTAGCTTGAACGTCTAGAAAAACCAACTCCGAACGGTTGGTTTTAATATTCGTTCGCGCCTTTTCTCATTTTCCGTTTTGAACAAACAATTGCGCCTCCTCCTTTCCATACTTTCTCACTCGAATCTTCGTTGTGTTCAAGTCCAGTCGGTATGTCAACAGAAAAGTGTTCCCATCTTTGTTCTAGGCGTTGTACTTGCAATCGCCTTCTTTTTTGCCGCGTTTGACGGAGCAATTTGGGCACTTCTCGCTTGTTTTGATCATTCTCTGTTTGGCATTGCTTATCTGACACCGAACGTTCTCCGGATGTTGAGTTGAAAGACTCAAACATCAGTGTGCTTTCTGTCTTCTTCAAGAAGTCGTTCTACCCAAGAATCACATCCCATCACTCAGGAATGTGTTACTAATTGAATCAGTGCCCATGAACCCTCCACCCCCATCGTGTTCCGCTTATTTCTTCTTCTACCTTTAGTTGCCGTTGGTACATTATTACTATTACTGTCCAGAAATCAATCCATTCTTTTTTTCAGACATGCCGTTTCTGAGTAGCACCGCTTCATCAGCCTCAAACTTCTTTACGCTGCCATTCAGAAAAAAGAAACAAAGGTGAGCGAGAGAAAGAGAATGTTCGTTTGTTCATTGCATTGCATTGCATTGGCAGTCAGTCCGTCGTTCTGGTTTATTGTGTTGTGTTACAATAATCTGTTTTTGTGTCAATGTCTGGCTTCGTTATCTTCCACTCCATTAAAACGCGTTCCTCCAGGTACACTATCAACCCGCCGGAGGAATCATACAATGTCATCTATCTGGGAAATGTACTTACGATCATGGCTCGCGGCGACAATTGCTACGAGAAACCGCTGTCTTTAATTTGGAAGGCGTACTGTTCGCGGGCACGCAATGACCTGGGAATGAACTTGGAGGTATCGAACTTTTTGTGAAAAACTGGCATAGTTTCACGTGTCTTTTTAGATAACAAGATCAGGATTAAAAGCGGAGACGAAACAACAAGGGCTCACCGAGTATTGGGCCCATCGAATCACTTTCAGTGCGGCTCCACAAGAGTACCCGAAGGTATTCTGTTGGATCTACAAACATGATGGAAAGAGGTTGGATAAGAAGCACTCATGAAACTATCAGTTTACAATGCCTATTTCAGGCTGAAACCCGAACTCCGATGTCATGCAGTACTGTGCAAGAAGAGCGCCGAGCCTGCGATTATCAATACCAGACTGCAAAACTTTCTCCACGCCGCCCTTCAGGAGTACAAACGAGAGAAGCTCTCTGCTCAGAACGCTCGTCTAACCGGATCGGCCGGATGTCCACGTCGCAAGCTCATTCTTCAAACAGGAACCCTCAATTTTCGTCCGCCAGTGAGCAGATCAAAGTCTGCTCCTCGCCTGGGAAGCATCGACGAGGAACAGGAAGTGAGTGATAGGCAATGCTTCTGATTTCCGTTTGGAATGTGTATCATCTTAACACGATTAGAAATGGCTAAATTTTAAGGAGGAAGAAGAGCCATTCGCTTCCGACGATAATGAGTCAGTGTGTTATCGGGCGGCTCCGGACGTCGATTCAAACTCTTCGTTCCCGGTCAGCGACGCCTACAAATCTGAAGCCGGTCCCAGTAGTTCATCGACTACTGGCGCTAGTTCGGTGTGTTCTGATGATGACAGAGCCACGCTCCGACTGCCAAGGACCGATCCAGATAGCCTTTCCGAGGAAAGCGGTTAGTGACTAATCGAGAACAAATGGGTCAAACTGGTCGTTTCAGGATATCACGAAGAGGGTAAACTGGTGCGTGAATCGAGTGAAGAGATCTATGCCTCGGACAGTGATCTGGTCATTCTCGAAGAAGATTACGAGGACGAGGAAGAAGTTGAGCAAGTCACGTCACTATAAGCAGCATGTCATATTTTCATCCAATACCTGAAAAAACAAACGTCTTAAATTCCGAATGATATTCGATTCTTTTACGGGCCCATCACATCTTTTTTCCCTTTTTTCCTTTTTTTGAACTAGAACTCTCAGAAATCATCCATTCACCGCCATAATTTGAAGCCAAAAAATTGGTTTTGCCACACAAATGTTGAGAAAAAAAAAGGGAAACCTACATTTTTCACGAAACAACAAATTGTCTTACGGCGTACTTGATAGACACGACACTTTCTCCCTCTTTCTCTCTGTCTCTGACTTTTTGAAATAATAATCTTAATCTTCGAATATATGTAATTTGAATTCAGTAGCTCGATCCATTTCTAATGCAACTTTTTGTGTGTAGGAGCCGAGTCATGACTAGACATGACTCGTGATTCTGGTGCAATTACTGATGCAATTTTATCTCTCTTGTTTATTCTTTAATAATGTACGCTCTGTATAAAATTAATCTTTATGAAAAGTTATATTGTGTTTCAGTGTTTTCCATCGATAGCCTCCAAGTATTGTTTTCGGATAAAAAGCGGCAGGATGAAGTGTCTGAAAATCGGATTCCAGACTTTTCCACGAATTTGTAGCTACCTGAACGGAATAAAAGCGGCAATAACCATAGGGAAGACCATTTCGACGTAATGATATTGTGCAAAACCAATCACCACCAGGATCGCGAGTTGGACGAATTCAATGATCGTGAACTGATGAACGATTCTCTGCGGAACTCGCCGAATATAGTGGGTCGGTGGATAGGCGCGCTAAACACTCGGATGATTCGATTATGAGGTCATGTCCAGTACCTGTTCTGTGAATATCAACAAGATTCGCTCCCAGAATTCGTTTCCTGTCAGACTGCTGAATGCCATAAATAGGAACACTCCTAAATCGCCGATAAATTGTTTAGGAAGATACTACCACTCATTTACCATTAAATACGGAAGTCGGAATGAATACGGTAATGTAGGGAACAAGGAAAAAGTAGATTGGAATCATAATTATATGAGCTATCAAAGTTGCCAAACGTGTTTCCCTTACGTGAACAATTCTGAAACGTTAGTAAAAAAGTGTTTCCTCGTGTCCTGCATACACTGTTTGAATGTATCCGTTGTGAAGTCGGTCCTCAACGTCTGAAAGTGCTTTCAAGTGCAAAAACGCCGATGGAAGTGCTCCGTGCATCCACGGCAATCCGAAAACCGACAGGAAGATGTTCAAAATACCGACAACCAGCAGGTCCCAGTGATGTGCGGATCCTTTCTTCAGTCTACAAGGAAGTTATTTTCAAGAGATGAGACCTATAAATCTTCGGGCCCCCCACTTATTTTCTTTGTTGTCGACAGTATTTGTAACGAGTAATTGATCCATGAAGAATAAAATGGCCAACGGAATGGAAAGACCAAGGGCCGGTAGTTGAGCCTCTGCGGGGAGACGGAAAAACGAAACGAAGAATGCGTCTGTGTCCCTCGGGTAAATTTGAAATTGCTCTTCTGAAATTTAACTGTAATCGCTTCTAAAATTATTACTTTTGTGATCACTTTTGACATCACTGAAACCAAAGAACGAAATGAATGCGAACACAAGAACAGCAATCGGAAGAGCATAATCGGACACTAAATCACGTTTCCATCTGAAGAATGCGACATTGGGTTTAAACCTGAGTAAAACAAAAACCTTGAAAGATACGGAGAACTGCGGAAGGAGATAATAGTCATACTCAGCCAAGTTGTACCGAACATCAAGAAAATGAACAAAAGGGGTTCCGCAGGGTCACACAACTCGCCAGCTACACCAGTAATGCAACCGATGTATCCATGCGTGTAGACTAAAAAAAGATTCTAAATTGTCCAAAAAACTACAGTACCATGAACAATAGCCACTATTGCTTTGATAACAAGAGCTAGGGAAATAAAAAATGAGAATATTTCTTCTGTTGAACTGAAAAATAACGATATCAGAGGATTTTTGATTGAAGAGTGTTACCGAGTTGTGAATTTCATGAGCGAAGCTAGTTGGAAGATAGATGAGAGTATCAAGATTCCCATTGCGTAAATGCCAACTGTGGAGTACATTTGGAAAAAGTCCCAACCATTTGATTGAGCCACTTGGTAAATCACTATAAACTCACTAACAGACTTGTTCTGACCGCATACATACCGGCTATGTAGATACTCAACGGAGCTGTAGTTGAGAGAATAAGAAGTTGCTGACCACCAAAAATGCCAAAGAAGAGACTTCCAATCCATTGCCCAAGAATAACCTTTTGAACATCTGAATAAATGACAGAAAGTGATAATGATTGATATTGGTTATTTTTACTGATTGCTCCATTTGTGTTCTGTTCGTTCAGCATTCCATAGGCAATCGACGTCGGTAAAATTGTAAAAATCAGAAAAACCGCAGTTGAAATCACTTTTGAGATTGACCGACGGTCTTTGAAACCTTTATGAAAAAATAGGCCTACTGTAATTGCTCAAACTATTTTACCGTCTATATAATCTGATTTGTAATGGGCCCAACGACGATTGAAGTCTTTGATGAGACCACGAAACGGATAATATGGACAAAAACTCTGTAAAGAAAAAGGGTGGTAGAACACAGGCAAGTTATGAGAACCTTTGTTTCTTTCTCGTCTTCAATATTCAGTTGGCTGACATTTATCGCCATTTGCTCTGAGAGCTGTTTCGCATACTCTGTCAGCAAGTCACGAATCTTAAAATCGACAATAATACATAACACGCTGATGAAGCCGGTGCTTAACCTGATCGTCGTCGGCGGCATCATTCACAGACTGACGGAGAGAATCATTCATCAAAAGGGTACCAAAGGTCCTCGCAATTTCCGCCGCTGATTTAGTGTGTTTCTGAAAGGCAGTACTTCATTTTTATTACATTTTCAGTCTGTCTTGCTTCATAGCTCGGGGAGAGAATAAGGACTACAATTCGAGCTTCTTCCATCTCCAATCCGAGATTTGTGGCGTCTTCGAGAGTAGCCATGGCCATATGACTCTGTTTCAAGCCATCCAACTGGGCGCTAAATTGAACAACATTAATGAAGATGCAATATGCTTAGGGATAGACATTACTATGTGACAATCCAAGTTTGGTTGACATCAAAGAAGTCAGTGCCTGAATAGCTCTGCAGCTTGTGATGCAGTCTTGGTGCACGGGAATCCCGATCCGAAACCGAGAATACTGCGTTTTTGAATAGTGCCAAGTCGAATCTTTCTCGGGGAAAGCGCGATGAAAGCTCGGAGAACAAACTGACAATGAGAAATCACGTTTAGGAATGAAATCGAGCTACTTACGTTAATAAAATTGTGTGGATGTGAGAGTGAGGCATGTTTCTATGGATACAAGCCCTCTCAATCAAATGGTCCACATCCATCAAACCTCGGACTTCTGTCTTGAAGTTTCGTGCATGTTCGACCCTTTCGGTTCGACATAGCAACTCAGGCATTGTTACTGAAAAAAGTTAGTCTGATGGAAAGTTGACAAGTGAAAAAAAGCGAAATGGTAGAGTTGTTTCTAGCCGTCAGCGATTGGAAGATTAGGTGGGAATGCAAATTTATGCAAAAACATTGTTGAAACTCTTCGTCATACTTAATCCGCACTGTTTTTCGTCTTCTTGTCTCACTCCCTTTCCATACGAGTCACACTTACTTTTCTCAAACAACAGAACAAATTTATTCATAAGTTCAGACAAAATGAGCATAGGAATGAAATAAAACGGAGCAATTCATTGGGGGAGTACCAGCAATTCAATTTTTATTGCGTTCGGAAGATGTTTCTAATTTCCAAAAAGAGGGGGGACATCTCATGTCGGTGCGAAGATCAGATCAGATGCGGAGAGCAAGAGCGGTGACGACATCGAGCGAGTCGCGGGAGATGGCCGCTTGGAAGATCGAATCGACCCATCTGCAAGTTCGGAACAAAAAGTTAATTGAAAATGGCGGCGGTATCAGATTGAGACACGGAAATGAGAAGTGGAACGGAACGAAACGAACCTTTCGAAAAAGTAATAGGATTCGGTGCGGAAAAAGTAAGTGTGTGATCCATAGAACAGCTTGAAGCAGTTCTCGTGATTATTGATGTTGTCGGCGACGGTCGGGAGACCCACACCGTAATCCATGAGGGACAAATGAGCGAGGGGTTCTTGGTCCTGCAAATATCGGCTGATATGAAAATAATAGACTATCTGTCAACTTACATTGTGATTTCTGTAAAAGTAGAGAGTATGACAGCACATTACCACCCACAACTCTTGCCAACCGGCAGAGTTTCGCAGTTTCCTTTTCAGATAACCACACATTGTGTTGGTTATCATTTTGTTCACATCTTTCCTTCCAAATGAGCATTTCCTGTACCAGCATATTTGAAGAGGGCTCATCTTTGAAACCGGTGATTCTTCCGGCAGAAGCACTTTTGTCACTGAAAATTTGCATGAAACCAGGTCAATTGTTAGAATGCTCACTGTCAATGTCATTTTCCTCTTTTCTCTCCATCACCAGACTAGGTAGATCGATCTTAGCGCGAGCTGCATTCTTAATCGCTTCAGTGATGTCTTCAATCCACGAGGCACGATCGGGAGCAGCAAAGACAATGGAGATATCAGCATTATGGAGGGTGATGACGTCCTTCTCTCCGTCCATTACTTTGTACGTGTCTCCTTCATCGATCTGAAACAAAATTTCTGAATTTCTCTTTCGATTCGAAACAAGTTACCATCATTCCCTTGAGCTTGAACTCTGCGTGAACGGTAAAGAAGTTTCCATCAAGATTTGCACCACGATGTCCGAAAAGTATCCGATCGGTACACAATACCATAACTCTACTACAGGGCGCCCGACGAGCAGATCGGAGCACAAACCCGACACGTAGAATTTTGCGGTTGGGATGAGTCAGAACACCAACCAGTCCAGTATCTCGTTCCACTTGCAGAACATGAATGTACTCCTCCAGAGACGTTCTTGTTGCTTTCGTCTTCTTCGCGAACTCGATGATCTTATCCATCGCCACTCGGAAAGCAGTCAACTCTGTTTCGTTTCCGCCGTCCGACAGTTGAATCTCGATAATTCGGGCGAGAACTGGTTGCCAGTTTATGAGTCGGTTCAGTATTTTCAAGAGGAGCCAGTTGACTTGAATGTAGCACTCTTTCGATGACTCAAACTTTCTGAAGAACCAATCAAATTGAAACTTAGAAAACTCCGTTGAACTTACGACATGATAGTTCTGAATGGGATTCTCGAGCGATATAGCTGGTCCAACGCGGAAATGTATATCGGAAAGTTTTGAACGAGAGACTGGTAAAGGGGAGTCAAATTATGGACTGTGGCGAGCAAAACAGGTGCGACTGTGGCTGCTTTTACGTCATCCGGTCTGAAATTCCGAAATTAAAGATGTATAATCACTTTCCAACTAACTCATTCATGGATTCTTTGAGAGCGTCAATGAAAGGTTGATGAATCGGCGCGAACTCCTTCAAAGAACCAAACAGTTCTTGTAGAAAGCGACAATCAGCAACATGGTCTCTGATTTTGTTAAAGAACGACTGGAAGACGTATTTGTAGAATAAATTGTGTTACTTCTAATGTATACCTCATTTACTAATCTCATATCTTTCGCATACACCAACTCTTTCCAGTAGAACTCTTTCAGAACGTTTGCCAGTTGTGGTTCCGGCTTTCCAAAGTCCTGCAAAACTTACAAATTCTTTCAAATTTTGATAATTTTCAACCCACCTTTCTAGTGATATAATACTCGCTGCTGCAACTTGCAGGATAGTTGTCTGCGTCATTTTCCAGGCTCATTTCGATCTCTTTCGATGGAGTGCCAACGCTTGTCGTGCTTTGAGACGTCTTCATAATTGTGTAATCGTGTCTCAGCTGGTATTCGGAAGAATGGTCCCTTTTCATGAGTCGCAGAGAGTCGCTGGAGCCGGCGGTTGGGTCTCCGATCGATACTCCTCCACTGTCGCTCGAATCGAATCTGGTCAGTTCTGTGGCGTCATTGGTACTCCGAGACATGCGTTTTTTGTTTCTTCTGTAATACTTTCGATGAGACTAACTACATAACACCTGTATGGTCTACTTGTTCAATTTCAGAATAGGCTCTGACGTGCAAATGGTTTCAGAAGAGAATGTCGAGTTAATGCCAACAATCACGTCCCTTTTTTTGTTTACGGACTGGTAAAGTGGCTCTTGAACGTCTGAAAAGTGAACAAAAACGTTTTTCGATTTTTGTTTTCCATAAATAACGATGTTAGTACAATATCAAGAAGCAACAGTAGAACTTAAAGATTTACGTTTCATTCGTCAGAAAAATAAGAAAATAGTGTTACAATCAAAGGAAACCGAGATCGAATACAAATTAAGCTAAGAAAGTGCAGTGTATGTTTTTAAGGGGCTTGGGAGGATTATCAGTCTATGTGTGTGTGTGGATAGCAAAAGAAAGAAAGAAAGGAAAAGAACGGACAGATTTAAAACTAATAAAATTACAGTTAATAGAAAAAAGAAAGGGTGGAGTGCTACTACGGGGAGAAAAGTCATGTCGCTTCTAGTTCATTGTGTTGTGAAATGTATTGTCAATCGTTTATTGATTTTTTGTTTGATTCAGTTCATTAATCGAATTTAATGAAAATGGACAAAAACGAGTGCCAAGATTATGGATAGAAGCTATCTATGAGCATGCGCCAAACATGCAACTTTAGTTGTGTGTGTGTGTGTGTGTGATTTTTTCAAGGTTTTCTGATTGCGCACACTTGCGAAAAGAAAAAAGGAAAGGAAAAGAAGTGGAGTTTTGTGGTGATTCTCTGGTCACAAAACTAGAAGCGAAATGACAGAATGAAACGAACCATGCTTGAGAAGTCAAACTAAACTGGGAAAGTACTTGTGGTGAGCAAAATTCATCGTGAGAGTAGTTATCGTCCCTACCTATTAATTTCATCGTAGGGCTAAGGCAAAACCATGCACATGTGTACAAAACAACAAATAAATAAGGCCTCGTTTTACTCAGAAAAACACTTGTACAACTCAATCTCGAACTGCGAAAATAAATTTGGTTACTGATGATAGAAAATCGAGTAATAAGAGATTGAAGCGGAAAATATGAAAGAAATAGTTAGGTACAATAGAAATAGAGCACCAATAAGCAATCACAATCACCCGAACACAATCAAGAGCATGCAATCCTAGTACATTAAAAGTCCGAGAAGGTAAGACGATTATTATGAGGAGGAGTGGCGGAGGGAGCATCAGAAGCACTGCTGTTCTTGGGCGAATCGTCGATGAAAGGAGGGGAATCGCTGTTCTTCACTTCTTTTTGGTTCCCGCTGAAGTAAATCAGTTTCCCGGCAGCAGCAGCCTTCATCTCGGCAACTTTGACGGCGGCGGCCAGGGACTTGGGTGGTGGCGGAGGGGGTGCAGGCCTTCCAGCAGGTACCGATTGGTTTAGGATCTCTTCTGGCGGCGGCGGGGGCATCACATCACTATCCTCGGAGTCTCTCCTTGATTTTTGTGAAATAAACGATGAAATCGACTGATTCTTGTCCAAACGGTCCATATCTTCGTGAAGACTGCGAGATTCGGAGACGCATTCATCGAACAAATCGTCGTTGAGAATGGAAATAAACGGTGTGGATCCTCCGGCAGTTGGCGAACAAGGCGATGGTGGAAGATCGAATCGGACAGGCTGAGTTTGACGTCGTGGGTCCGTCCGTTTCGACTTGGTCTTAATCACAGACTTGTCTCCGAGTAAGCTGCGTCGTCTCAAGAGATATTCAAGAACATCACTATCTGGGGTAGTGGGACAGATGGTATGATCTTGAGCCGAGAAGTTTCCAGGTGAAGGTAGTCGTTTCCGTGGTACCAAATCCAGTGACTTTCTTCGTTTGAACTCGGGACTTTTCGACACCCTCTTCAGAGAATTCGACTCGTATCCCTGCTTCTTTGAAGTCGCCAGATCTTTGAACGTCGAGTACGGCAACGACTGCGTGCTCTCCACATTCCGCATTGTCAGTGTGTACGGAATGTCGCTGTTGAAAAGATGACACTTCTGCACATCCGGATTGTCCTCGCTTTGAACGGAAATCAGCGCGGGCCGTGACAGCGATGACTTGCGCTCCTTCTTTTCTTCGAAATTGAGGGGAGCACGGGAAAACGGAACTTCCTCCTGCATGTGAACAAACGGATGGCTTGACGCGCGCTCTGTCTTCACTTCTCGTACGACTTCAGTTTCGGAAGGAGCTGCTTGTACCGGGAATGTTGGTTTTGGCGGAGGATTCGGTTTAGCCTTCTTTTCTTTCAATCCTTCAGGAGTTATCACCATGTTATCCTTGGTTATAACGCGCCCGGGTAATGGTCCAAGTGCCCCATAAGTTCCAGATTCAGGAGACACTCGAGAAGAATGGATAGCGGATGCCGATTCTTGATCACTTGGAATTACTTTCGGTTTCATCAAAACGGCTCCAGAACTGGTAAAAACCTTGGAAGTTGTCGTAACTGTCGTAGTTGTAGACGGAGCGGTTCTGGTGGTACTGACGGCTGCAGGCGATCTTCTGGCCGATATATCTACATTAGGTCCATCTATTTCAATAGGAACTATATTTGCATTCTTGGCAAACGGATATTCTTTTATGTGACGGAAAGTTTGGTACTCGGAAGCTGACTTGAGAGCACCTTCTTCGTCATCCGTTGAGTTTGGCGTACTCTTACTGTGAGCCACAACTCGTTTGACTACATTGCTGCCTGGTTTTCTCGCTACAAACGTGGAATTGAAAATGGTTGCGGCGGCGTATTTCGATCCGACACCTACTTCTGACCTTGTACTTCTTTCGTGATCAGAAAGTCGGTAGGAGTCTTCACTAACGTTGTCGTAGTCACGGCTGGACCTTCTTTCTTGGAAGTTGTCACCGGAGACGGATTTCGGTGGATCCTTCTGCTCCAATTCGATCTCTTTGCACGCTATTTGAAGATCATCACTCAGTACATTGGGTAGAGATACAGACAAGTCAGGTTGCTCTTTCGAGTTGGTAGAGGAAACAACAATAGCGTTAGAAGCAGGTCTATTGGAACGTTGTGGTCTTTCGACCGAATCAACGTCCGAAATACAACGTTCACTTCGTTTCAACTGTCTGGGACGATAATGGGTAATCGAGGAAGAGGGGTCACGTGTCACTGATGTACCGACACGAGCATCTAAGGTACCTGAGAACGAGTGATCGACCGGCTGTGACGAGATGTGGGCGATGTGGGGCATTGAAGAATGCGTATTCTGCTGGTGTTTACCATACGTGTCTGATTGGTTTGGTTCGTAAACGGATCCGTTTCGGTGCTTGGTTGGCCGATCCGAGACGAGTCCGTAGGTGGAGGAATATGTTCCTTTTCGTGTTGAAGCCGCCGACCGAAGAGGCCTGAATGTCATTTTGCAGAATTCACAAAAAGAATTTCAAAATACCTGGTGAATGGTTCTCTCCGCTTGTGATGCTCCCTCACGTAGTCTATCAATTGTTTCTGTGTCCGTCCGTGATACCTGAGACAGAAATTTCAATTTTATAACGATTTACTTTACTCAACCTAAAGGATGATCCTTTGCTGATGAAAAATCGAGTCTCTTTCCTTGGCTCTTCTGCTTGAACACATCGGAAGAAGGCATGATGTTCTACGCACTTTTTCCAGAAATTTTTGCATTCATCGCGAGTGTCAAAAGAGAACTCTACCGTTTCTTTTAGATATTGCTGAAAAGTTGGTTTTGTTTGTTTCAAATGGAGCATTCTAACTCACATAGCTGTCGGGATGCAGCTTGACAAGCAATTTCTTCCTCTTGAAGCTCAGCTTCCTGATTCTTGCCCAAGAAAACGTAGTATCCAGTTGGAGCTGCCGGAAAACCTTGATTCCAAGATGCATGACAGAAAGAGCAGCATCATTTCCATCAATGTCTTTTGCTCCGTGCAGTTTCACACCGTAGAAGTCGCACCTTCTCGCCACTTCCAACATTGCCAAGTCACTTTCTCCTGGAGTCATTCCACTGAAAACCTCATATTTTTAACAAAGTCAACGGCTAGGCTAATTACATAAAGTTCCGGTGGTTATCCATCACCTTCTTCTGGAATTCGAGCGTTTGGCTGGGCACAAATCGGGAGTGTGAGAGGTACGTGGCATCTGGGTAGTCTTCGGATGAGAAATCTCCACATTCAGACTGAAATGAGTTCTTCTATTCTCAAGTGGATTTCGAAATGTCATACTTGAACGAGGTAGGCAGACAACAAAGAAGCCGTATTATCGCTGCAGTGCAATTCTCCCAGTGCGAGATCCCGTTTGATTTGCATAGTGAACAGATACCTGAAATCAAGATCACGTTCCCATTTGTCAGTGCTCATATCCGTTCAACATCCATCCGCCTGACCAAAAAGCCATAAACCCATGTCAAAAATGAAATGTACCACCACTCTATTCCAACGACTAGTTGAAATTAGTCGTTGCCTTTGTGTCCTAGGTCGGATTCATGTCAGCTGTCATTTTTCAACACGGGTCCTTTGCCGCGCCACCACCATCGCTTTCCCATCTCTATCTCCCACTCACTTCTTGGCTCTGCGTACATTTTTTGTGCTGGCACACTCTCCCCCAGCTCCCTCTCTTTCTCTCCGCGGGGCTCATACACACACGCACACACGTCGCTCGACTCATACGAATTTGCATTTGCCATTTGTCATTTCGGCGTGTGACAGGCTTATGAAAAATGCGGGCACCGGGCACAAAAGTGAGAAATTGAGAAGTGAAGTGACGGCGAGCCTTGACGGACGGACGGGAGTTGGAAAATCAAACGAAATGCGCCCCTCACCTGGTGTACTCCTCCTCCAAATCAATCGGATTCGGCGTGTAGAACTTGACAATAAAATAAAATTTTGCATCTGTTGACCCGTTCGTAATTTGCCGTAATATTGTCTTTTCACGATCCAGCCAGCACTGAGAACAATTAACATTTGGGGGAGATCAAAAACAATATAATTTTTGTCGTACATGGTTACCATTGATGTCAATGAAAGACAGCCCAAAATAGTCACATTCCAGGAGATTTAGATGACGACACACTTCATCCAATAGTGTCTGGCCGATTGCTTTGTGCTGGAAATGGAGCAAAATAACGTGTGTTGGGGACAGGATGTGACTACCCCGAGATGAAACACCGCCACCGTGTCATCGAGCATTCGAACTTTGATGCACACCAACCGACCCCGTTTGGACGAGTTCATACCCGGGGGTGGTGGGGCGCCCACCCCACGTGGAATATTCGACATATCCGATCTGAAAACAAACATTTTACTTTTCAAAACTGCGTCAGATATGAAAAAAACGATGGAAAACCACTCGTCTCTGGCGACAAAAACGGATCCGAACTCCCCCAGCTGCATTACAGCTGGTGCTCAACAGGTGGGTTTCTGGATGGTAAAAACCTTGAATGGAATCCCAGTGAGCCAAATAAGGCGTCAAAAACTAAACATCGAGACATTGGGAGAAGCGAAAAAGAGTGGGAGAACGGGAAAAGCGTCGGAAACGTAAAAAAGGACCGTGTATAGTAGGAGTCAATGGGAGGATAAATGAGAAGGACGGGTGCCAAGAAAAATGGGGCGAGAACCTCTGAGGAAGCGATGAACGAGCGGGTCTTGAGGAGTAGTCCATTGTTTTCAGAGAAACGCACTTTTGGGGACTTCCACATGCGCTGTATTGCTTCACATAAACAAATCGAACTTTGAGGAAGAGAAAGAGAAAGAAATGTCTCCTCCCGGACAAGTTGCCTTGAAATGAAACGGATAGCTCTAATCAAAATCTTGTAATCCTCCTGCTAATGTTTCTGTGCAAATAGAAAGAAAACAGTTGAGGGCAAACAGACGCAGCGATATCGAATCGGATCAACAGATTGGAGGACAAAAAATGGTTGGAATGCCGGATGCCGGATGATGCGAAAAGTCAAAAGTAATTTGAAAGTAGGAGAGAAGTAAAATGAGCTTTTTGTTGCGTCTTGACGTCGAGCAGAATCAATGCCGGACTGAGAACAGCGATTTCGGGTAATATGATACATTATCGTTCTGTGCGTACCCGACCTCAAGACTCATTAGCAAGTGACATGTGATTGCAGTGGAAACTGAGAAGATGGGCAAAAATCGGAAACGGCGAGCCGAAAGCTTCAAAACTTCAAAAATGAATTCAGAGGTTTGATGTGCAGAGCACTATGCACTCCGAGAACTTCATTATTCGCTTTTGCCGAAAATGGAAATTAGCCGAACAAAGAAATGCTTCGCTAATGATGGGCTTTCGGATGGCAGTGTACGCATCCCATACAAGAACGAAATTCAAAAAAAAAAAAACGAATACTCTCATGTCTCTGGTGTCCAGTCTATCTCATCGCCCCTGGAGCCGAAAGCCGGGTCCGAGCAAGGTGGGAGCACATTTGTGCGAGGGAGGATGGGGAGTGAGTGTGTAAATCAGTGTGAATTGGAAGAGAAGCCGGCAGGGAGGGAGCGGTAAAAAGACAAAAAGAATGTCGATCTGTTTGATCGGCCTGTGGGTGATTGGTCGGGCGGCGTCAAGAAGAATTGAGATTAGAGATGCAATTGAGCGAAGGACAAGTTGCAAGACTCACAGTTGGATCATTGTTGTGAAACAGGAGAGTTCGTGCTTACGTGATTTCAAAAATAATCAGGTGATTGGCTTTTTTCTGACAAGAATCTGAGTGACGAGACAAGCAAATCGACATAGACTACATAGACTTGAGACAACCAATGTTGCTACTAATACCCTTGAAATCCGTGAAAATGACACGTTCTATTTGAACTTATCCAAGTGACATGCCTACTTCAGTCAAGCATTCGAGTGACAAGTCGAATGCCACTATCGAGAAGGAAGGAAAGAGAAAGAAAGACGAGAAGCAAGTTCACATCACTTTCATGTTCGAAAAACTCAAGTGGCCTCCCAACTAGCCGCAATCGGAGTGGAAGATACACTCGAAACCAAGTTAATATACCCATTTCCTTGGAGAAAAGTCCATCGGTTTTCAAAAGATAACCACCATCAACAGAAGTGAAGGAGTAAAATACTAACAATGAGGAGAAAAAGTATAGGCACGAACGGAGAGAACGGAGGCAAAACATTGAAGTATGAGTGGGAGGGGGGACGAATGGGGAGAACAGAGGAGCCGGCTTGACTCAAAACACGGCCCTAAAATGAAAAGGGACGACACCTCTGAAGCAGCTTGTGTTGGAGACAAGACGTGCGCGCACTTAACCGGATGGAAAGAGAGAAGAGACTCTCGAGTCAGGCAAAAGAGTTTTGCACGTGTTCGAATCTTGTTATTTTGTGAACCGGCCAGTTGTTGCTCGCCTGACTCCGCCTCCTTCACACACGACAATAGGACGTCCTGGCGCGGTGAACAGAAGATGGAAAGTCAGACGTATTTGATTTGGGAAGAGAGAAAGAGAGAGAGAGAGAGTCCAAAAAGAGCCATTGGAAGAAGAAAAAAGAATGATGTGAGACGAACCGGAACCCCGTCCGAAGCGACGCTCGGAAGGTCGTTCGACGCCAATTGCTTTTACGATTCCAAACGGTGAAACATCTTTCTTTTTCCGTGTTGTCCTCTAATTAGCTTCCGGGCAAATTAGTGAAAAGCGAATCAAGAAGATCCTGAATTCGTCTCACCTTGCATATGCATAGTCGAGTCGCGCCATCACATGGCACAAAGATCAGCCACCGTTCCTCGAATTCCGCCGCGTTTTGATCTGAAAAACATAAAGAAAAGGATGAGTTCAAGTTTCCGGTGATTGCAGAGGTGTCAAGTATAAGAAACAGGTGGCCGTTCTTCAGTGACCACCTGTGGAACGGCTGGTGTTTACGATCGAGATTCGCAACGAATACATTCACATTTTCTCGAAGCCCGGCACCACCAACGGCTGCTTAGACATCTATCTTATTAGGGAGAACGAACGAGCAGCGTTGAGTGGGAAGAAGAACCTTTATTTGGAAAACTGGCCGGGGACCTTTCCAAAGAAAAATGTTAAAATTGCATTGCGAGTTATTGAAACGGGCGGACAAACCAAGATGGACGATGACCACAAAAGTAAAGCTTATAGGGGCCACAAAAATCGAAAGAAGAGAAGTAGAGAAGAAGGGACGGCGGAGAAAAAATAGACGGGGAGAGGAGGCCTGGGGGTGGCCGCCATGCTTTTTCGTTTCGCACTTCTTCTTCTTCTTCTTCTTCTTATTTTCCTTCTTCTTTTCCCCTGCACAACAGTTGAATGGCGACTAGCGCGCGGAAGACGCAAAACGGACGAGGAGTGCCCCTTTTTCTCGCCGTAATAGGAATGAAATGTGAAATAGTGCGCCAAAAGTTTTGGGGTGTCTGAGAATGTGCGGCAGCCGCGCATCTTCCTCCCGAACACAACAATGAGCTGCTGGTCGGCCACTAGTTGAAGAAAAGATGCAAAGTTTCCGGGTTGAGAGACCACAAGTTCATGGCCCGTTTCACTAAACGTTTCGGGGCATAGTTGGAATACGTACTTCCTGAAATCTTAGCCGCGTGCCCTTTTTTCCGAGAACTATTCGTTCAGTAGGCGAATCCGAAAATTAGAGAGCCACAACGAAAAAAACTTCCGGCCATCAAGAACAGACTGAGGAAACATCTGTCGTTAAAGTGCATTCAGCGTATTTGCATGGGTAAGGAAGGGATCAGCTCAAAGCATTTCGTCTTGTATTCATTACACCTCATTATCATTCGTTTTTGGCACCGGACTATCATTTCACATTATAATATAAATTTGCGTCGTTTTGGTCCCGAAGGCATAAATAAAATGGTTGTTTTACGCTTGTTTGAGCACGCCAAAATCATCATAAAATTTGTTTTTGTTCACCATATTTTTGAGGGGAAAGAATAGCGAAAAATAGAGAAGTTATGCTTTTTCATATAAAAATATAGTTTGTGTAGAACAATAGGGCGGTCCCGGATGGCGCGTAGATGGGATCGAAGACGGAAAAGGAAAATGAAACATGATACATTTGGAGTAAGAAAGGAAGGAAGCTCCAAAAATTATGAGTAAACACGGAAAAGGGAGAGAGAGAGAGAGAAGAAGAGAGAGAGAGAGAGAGAGATCTCGCCGCTTCCAAAACGAAATTGATGATGATGGACTTGACTGCAAGACCAATTTCACAATGACTTTGGCGGGAGGATGCCTCTGGGGCAAACGAGGCGAACTATCAAATTATGTCGATTATTAAATGAAGACGCGACGTCGACGAGGCGGCGGCTCGAAATGAGATGGAAATGCAAAGAAAAGTATATTTATGGACGACGCGATGAATCAATAGAACTTTTCGTACGACTGACGGACCGAATGGATGGGACGTCGAATGCAGTTACGGAGCGCAATGTTTTTGCAACAACTGCTTGCGGCGGGAGAGGAAGAAGAAGCAGAAGCAGAAGAAGAAGGAGAAGAGTTGGAGTCGTTTTATTCTATTACGAGCTGTGAAGCGGTCTTGAGTTGTTCCAAAGTACTTCTGCGGCTCCTTCTTCTCTATTCTTCGTGTACTTGAGAATACGCACCCAAGGCTCCCTCTGTCCTCCGCCCCTTCACCAAAATGCATCCGAAATTTCCTTTTTATTTTCTTCAAAGTTTCACACGCCACACAACTGAATTGTCGTTTTAGTTTTTAACAATGAGAAAGTATCGGGTTTGGGGGCGAAAAAAGACATTTAACAAGAAGCGGATAACAATCTACTGGATTTATGAATAACACTGGAACTAGTTGAAAGACATACATCCAATCAATAAATTACTAGAATTTCCATTAAAAAAAGGAAGAGGGCGACTAGAATCTCGATGCGAGTTTGTTTTTCTTTCATTTCACTCTGCCAGAAGTGCAACGATCACAAACTTTTTGGCGAATACAAATGACTATTTGACCCGTAGGCTGGTAATCGATTAGAAATGCTATTATGAAATTGCACCCAGTGGGAACCCATGGCTAAAATTCCGATTATGTCTTCTACGGATGGCACTCATACAACAAAATCACAGGGGAATGAGAACGGGAAAGTGATAAACATGAAAATCTAAAATTTGGTAGAGACACTGAAAGCGACCGGCGTAGCGAACATGTCCTCCGGGAGCAGAGCGTGCTGGCCGGGAGCCGGGGTGATCTGAGGGCGCACACGGAAACTTCCTTCGACGATGAATGTCAGACTGAACGTGGCTACTTGCTTTTGCTCTTTCTGAAAACAAAAACTCGATAGTTAACATCGTCTCGAACTAGGACTCACCTCCACACTGAACGGAATCTTTTTTTCTCCAGCGACAAGCATGTAGTTGGTGATATTGTTTGATCCGAGCAGGTGGGAGATCTCTTGTTCGCATTCCAATGAGAGAATTCCGTTGTAAACGGCTGAAACGACGCATGATGTGGGTTTTCAAAACTTTCAAACTCACTGGATAACGAGGAGATGATCGCTACTTCAACGGTGACAAACTGCCCGATTCCGACAGCCACGTCGTCTTCACTGACGTACTGATTTCCATTGACCAGGAAATCTGAAATGGTCACTTTTGTTTTAATTCAATCCGAAAACTAAATACCAAGACTGATGGCGGGAAGGACAAGTTGCTTCAAGAGCGACACCGACGAAAGAAGTGAGCCAACAGGGACTTGACCGTCGAGCTGACACAAACAAAAAATTATTATGTTGGCTATAATATAATCTACTTACATCTAATGTCGGTATTTTCCAACGGATGTCGAGATGCTTGGAAACATGATTCTCAAGAATCAAACGGAGTCTTTCCGTTTCAATTTTCTGCATCATATGACTCCCGCGTTGTTTGGCTTGATGAAATGCCGCCCCGGTGACGTCAGAACAGCACGGCGACAGAATTGGAACTCTGAAAGGTTTTGATGAGCGGCTGTTTCCTTCCCGTTCATGGCTCTTGCCTGCAAGTTTCTTTTGGGAGCACGTTCATGTGCCGAGAATTGCTGTAAACCAATTCGGCATCGTGATCAGTGCTGTTGGTGACATCCACGACAATATATCTGGAAAAGCGTGACCCCTCAACGTTTGCACTTTGACAAATCGCGCGACAAACCTTGAGAAGGGGCTATCTCCTGGGAGCACATGCCACGCCGACACGGTCACTGCGGGAATGATGGAAATTGCGATAGGCAGTTTGCACTTGCGCTCGAAAGAGTTTCCGTCCTCGCATGTGATGTCCGAGTGGTACCTCACGATGAATTCCCCGGTGAGAAGACGGCCTGTGAATGGAATCAAGTCCATATCGTGCGCTTCGGACTCGGAACTCGGAATCGCCTGGGTGGTGGCCAGTGGGACCACACTTTCCAGAACTTTCTCTTCGTCACTCAAGTCGTCAGCCGTGGATGTGGGGTCAATTCCAAACACATGGAACTTCAGTTCTCTCCGTCCTTGTGGTTCCAATATGAAACTGGAGAGATCGTCTGCAATGTCGAATCCTTCCAGTTCCGGATCATGTCTCTCCGTTTCGTCCAAACTGATCAGAGGAGGTCCTCCCTGCACAACGGGCTGCCAGATCTTGGCTCCGCAGTAACGGACGGGAATATCGCTGTCATTGACCACTGTGACTGTGTGAGCAAAACGTTGTCCCGAGTAGACGACGGCCTCCGCCGACGGTTCGTCATTCTCCTCTTGAATGGGAGCGCGAGGAAGCGAGCACTCCAAGTACAATTTCGCTAATTTAGGCAGCACTTTCACACGGATCTTGTTCGGTTTTGAGCTGTTGTGCGAGAGGAATCGGCACTCGTTGTGAAGACCAAACACGTTGCACGAATATCCGGTGATGAATAGATCTCCTGGTTCTCTGAAAAACGAAGGTTAATTGAGAAGATTCACAGTGAACGCAAACCGGGGGACTCCTAGCAGTCGCAAAGTTGATCCAGTGTTGTGCTCCTGGTCCTCAGGCGGGAGGATCAGACGTGCTTGCACCGGTTCAAAATTAACTCCCTCGACAATCAAGCACAAATCCCTAACGACGAGTTCCAGACCACGGCAGTTTTTGACGGTCACTTCCACTTCTCCCGGACAATCCGTCACCCACAGGAGTGCTGCAAAGTGGACATGATTGATGTCATTTGTTGTCATTTCCTCACCATTGTCAGTTTTCTTTGCAAACGGCGTATAGATGAAAATCGATGCTTGACACTTGTTAGGGACAATTGTTGGTGCCAGGTTTGGCTGAAGAGCAAGAACCGTAGGATTTCTGGAAAGAACACAGATCTCATCGAAATGAGGATTTGGATAAGACAAAACTCACTGAATAATCGGGAATCGGGTGAGTTGTAGTCCCGGGATAATAATTTTCCCGTCGTCGACAACGATCGTTTGATTCAACTGGTGGACGAGATTAGTGGCTCTCACAAGGTTATCGAGATCATCGAAGAGTCGAGTGATCATAGAGCTCTCGAGGTGCGGGAAGTATACCTGAACACATTCAATTCAATTTTCTATAGATAGTTTCCTAATCAAAACCTGAAGCAGAAAACAGAGGTGACGAATAGCCGCATCGCGGTGACCTGCACGATTGGCGGCGGTGAATATCTCGTGGATAGACTTGATTTGAAGTTTGACAGGACCCAATCGCTTGTTTTTCATGTCATGCGGCTCTCCCAACTCCACTCCATACCCTTCCAACGTTCTGAAAGACACCAGTTACTGTTGCATGTTGAATGCTGAGTGGCGCACTTGAAAAGAACTGGATAAACAGTTTTATAATCGCCGGGCTGACGGACACGGCCCTCGGTCACATGAAGTTCGAAGAGAACACTCAGTCTTGCGTAGAATGCCTGCTTTCGCAAGAATCCAATCTGAAATACATGTTGAAAAGAGTACTGACGAAAATGTGTTCACCTCTTTGTACATTGCAGCAGAATTCAGACAAATCTGCGCTTTCATGCGATGATCCATGAAAGTATTCGAGTCATCCAGATATTTTCCCGTATAATCCCGATGGAACTGCTCTAATTTAATGTATTCTCGCTCGAGGATTAAGTACATAATCGCTCGCATAACTGTCTCGTATTCCAGCCACCCGGCAAGCGTGTACTTGGAGAACTCGTCTATGGCATTCTTGAAATTTTCCATGACCCGTTCTTTTGTCGGTTTTTCACGTCTGAACGTTCAAAAGTTGAATTAAACAGGAGATGTGGACGTTATTAACCTATCGCTAAGAAAACTGGAAAGAGGATTCAGTCCTTTTGAGGCTTTCACTTTCGTGGTCTCTTCTCTGATCGACGGCGAGCTCCCGTTGCTGACTATTCCACTTTCATTTCCAAATGACTCGTTTCTCTCGATACCATTCGATATTGGTGATGAAATTCGGATGTGTTCATCCGAGTGGTGCCTCTTGTGTCCCTGCGGAGAACTGAAAAGAGTTTTTGTGTCAATCACTATCTTGCTCTCAGTGTTACCTGAGTACGCTGTCATTCGATACGGACAAATTATCGCCGCTCTGTGTATTGATTTCAATTGATGGAATCGTAAACATGGCATGCATACTGGCGACACGATGGAACGCGCCACAATTGATCTCGCCCATCTGTTCCGCATGGAGGATGCAAACTGTACTTGCCCAGCCATCATATGCGGCTGAAGTGAAAGTTTACGAGACGATCAAACATGGATAGAGGCATACCAGCAAGCCACAGATGATCTTGCGCCGATTTCAGGCTTTCGATTGCTCCTTCGTAGGCTTCGAGAGCGAGTTGAGGAAGGCCGGTGAGCAGGCAGTAGTCGGCATGTTGTTTTCTGCATCGTCCGAGACACTTTTTCCTGGAAAAGGGAAGTTGTGTTGCAGGAAGACATTTTTGATCTCACTTGAAGTTTTTAGTGTTCTTCGCTTCAACTCCAATTTGCCAGCGACTTTCATCAGGTAGAGACGGGCATGGGATATCCTGCTGTAAATATTGCAAAGTTTGTACTTCCAACAGACCAAAATCCCTTTACACTAAAACCAACCTTTTTCTCAAACGAAACATCAACTCTTTTCATCTCGATAACTATATAAATAGCTCTCATTAATTCCCGCACGGCACTTTCCAGTTGGCCGGCCTCTTCCAAACTCGGAAAACAAAGACGCTCGTGTCTCTCAATTCCGTTGAAGTCTTCCTGAAACTTTTTGCAAACTAGCTGCGATTGGGAATCGTCGTCAAACTCACATCCTTGCCGCCGATCAGAATGCATCGCCCACAAATGATATTCGAGTAATCTGCCTTTAGTTTGTTGTACGTGCTTGCAATCTGCTCGGGCTCGCTAATCTCCGAATCTGTCGATTCCCGCGAAGCTCTCGCCGATCGATCCGGCTCACCTTGTCCATTGGTGAACGCGACTCCGATGACGGCGAAGACCCGACGATGTTGCTGAAAATGTTTTTCTGATTTTCGATACGAGTAATCGGTAAAACACACCTGCAGCTCGCTAAATTCCGTGTATGAGGAGGATTGGATAAACGAGCAATGGAAAAGTCGGCGCGGATTGTCGGACACTTGAATGACCCGTTGTCTCGAACATCTTTCCACAATTCTTTTGAACGCCGGTAATGATTTATTTGGTCCTATCTACAAAAAGAGTTGATGTTTCTCGTCAAAAATCGCGAGCAAAAATGAAAATAAAAACGAAAAACAAACCTGTTTGATGACAATATTTACAGTCTGTACATCGGTCAAAAAATCTGATGTACTAGATTTCATCTGAAGATAAAACAAAAATTAGTTGCGAACGAACAGCGGAGCGAAAGAAGAGGCAAAAAAGTGAAGGGAATAGATATACATCGCAAGACACGCCGTGCGAGGACATGAGGGCGACCCGAGGGGGTCCGCAGTTATCCGTCGCCGTGTTTGCACACTTTGCGCGTCCCATGACGGATTATCCATTCCAGTTCTGTTTTTGCTTTCGCTCGCGCGGATTGCGGAACGACCGAGGAAAACAAGTGGGGAAAAGTGAGAATTTCATTATCTGATAAATACATACAAACAGAAACAACAGGTGTTTTGCTGCTTTCACGTGTTCAAAACGTTTATTGTGCCGCCGCTCAATGGTTTGTGAGCAATTGTTGGAACCAATGAAGGCCGATCGTCGAATAGCGTTGGAGAATTGTAGATGAACAGAATATTAGCTGCCATACTGATCACGAGGTATAATATCAAGAATATCCGATCGATAACCAGTGACATTAGCTGCCACTCGTCAGTTATCTGAGTAAACGAGCAGAAATGAAAGGCATTTCGAAATGTGGCACTGATAAGAATACCTTGCTTTCCATTTGTTGATTGTGAAAGTGGGCGGAAATGATTTTCAAATGACCGGCTATTTTGCGGAAAAGGTCCAAGTTGTCGGCCGCGCATCGTTGTTTCAGAGCTTCGTCCATCTGCAGAAAAAATTTACGCTCTGAATTTTGAGAATTTCCGATAACTTGAACAAGACTGAGTAGTCTCAATCGTTGAGGAGCGAAAACCGGTGACGTGTTGTTGGGATTCGACGCCTTCTGAGTGACTGACGCCGTGACGGAGACAGATCCAGTGCGCGGAGTCGTAGTTTCACTTCCTTCCTCCCCTTCCAAAGTATGCTCTAAAGTTTTCAAGCGGAGCAGCTTCGGAAGGTGTTGCACGAACAGCCATCTCTGCCAGGGAGTCATTTCGGATGAAAATGCTTGCCTGAAATTGCATTTTTACTTTTTTTAGCCAACTAATCGAGAAAACCTACTTTCTGTACATGTTGATGGTCACAACGGACAGAATGATAGAGACTGAGACCATGAGAAGTGTAAAAAGCAAGTATACACCTAAATTTTCAGTGTCGCTTTGTTTTTTCGAGACCACGAGTGAGGATACCAATAAGTGATAAAGAAAGAGATGTCGGAGGAATCAAATCGATGAGAACTAAATAGAACACGGAAAATGCGACAAGTACTGAGATCGAGTATGTCATTTTGTGCTCATTTGGAAGGATGAGGAAGACAAATGGCGTTACATTGGCTGAAAATTGAAAGCGTCGTCGCAGACATGTGCAAGAACTTGTACGCACCGATCAACATGCAGGGAATTGTAAGTGTCACTGTGAAAAAGATGGCTTTCCTACGAAGTTTGATGCGATATCTGAAAAATGCGTTGATATGCTCATTAAAACCGAGAGTATGCACTTGATGTCGATGTAATACTGCTGTCCACAACATCCGGGATAGATCTGAGCATAACGCGATGAAGTGGCGCTGAGCAAATCCCATTCGGCGCTTCTGAACAGACAGGCCAATAAAAAATAATTTGAACACGATGTGTTTGCAGCTCACTCGTGATAAAAACTGAGTCCAAGTCCCTTCTCGAGATAGAGGAACTCGACGCCATCTTCTTGTCGCTTCACCTGCGGAACATCGTTGACATCGACGGGAATTTGATACAAGTCAAGTGTCTCTCCGTCATTTGTCCAACCGCCAAACTTCATTTCACATTCTTGAAAGTCGTAGGGGAAGTATTTGATGTTGATCTGAGAAAAAACGGTGATTGGGCAAAACAAAGTAATAAAAAGTGGAATACCGAACAGAAACTTTTATAGATAGATGGTGGTTGCCAGACGACTCTTCCGTGATGATCTATCTTCGCGAGACTTGTAATCGTGATATGTGGTTCTCCGTCAGCACTGAAAACCTTCTTGAGCCGATCAATTGTCTGGTAGAACTTACTTGTTATAAAGAACAATATCAGGAACCCATATTTGATCCGATGGAATGTGCACATACTCCACCCCTCCCCAATCATTCGGATTCCAAGTGAGCTTTTTGTCATACCATTGCTGCAAAATCTTATTACCATGAAAACGTGTATGTCAGATTACCATTTCCAGCCATAGGCTTGTTGTCACGACTTGATTCACTTCATCAACATCGATCAACCTACACAAATTAGCTCCGAACTTGACTTTCAATGCATCCGACGCATTGTGAACTGGTCGCACAACCTTATTATAATCTGTCAGAAGAGTTTCTAGTAGTTGAGATACATGTTTGTTAGCTTGTACACTAAGAATATCTGAAAAATATTTAAGAATTTTAGAAGACTTTTGAATTGAACTCACTAATAACTGAAATAAGTACTATCAAGAACCGACGGGGAATCCGTTGTGGTAACCACATTGGAGGAATGTCTGAAAACGAATAGAGGGTCAGTGACACGTTCGAAGGAAGGAATTGAGAATAAGAGAAACGTTTCTCAGCGGAAGTTTATCATTCTCTGCCTCCATCGAGTTTAACAGCGTGAAAGTACTCAAATTACAGAAAGGGCAGAGCAAAGTAACGAAGAATTGAGTCAGTTTTTGACAAGAATCTTTTTGCAGAGTACCGTCTACGTGGAAGCGAGTATCAATCGAGTGGCAAAAAATGATCGGTGTAACAGCGGTAGCGTTTCCTCTGAACGAACAAATTGCTGCGACCACAATTTGTCTTGGCGGCGCCAACGACGAGATAAATGATAAACAATTTGGAGCCGGCCGCAGGTCCGAGCGGTCTTGCTCCAAGAGACTCGTTCAAAAAAGCTCGGAAGGAGCTCAGAAACAGAGAAAAAAACGAGGGTGTTAGATGTGATGGCTCGGAAACTGATGAGATGGCGGTTAAAAATTTACAACCGAAAGGGCCGCGCCGATTATTATGAAGATCGACTGACAGGTGCGGTCGTCGGCAACTGGCCAATACTGCTTCACCTACTGGGATAGATCCACGAAAAGAGAGATGACTCTTCGCGTTGCCGAGCCAAGCCTTTCACTCATTCCACTGTTACACACACATGTCGACTTGATGGCTTATGTATGTTCCTCCGGCTCGACTCGCTAACATTATCGTCTCGTTTTTCAACTTTATCGCTTGAGTTTATGCTCTCACAGAGCACGACACGGGACGCGCGATAATTAGAAACATATCAAATTAATCACTTGTCGTTTGTAAAGCAAAGCTTTGCCGGATGTAATGAAAACTTGGAGAGAGATGAGAGGAAGACTACAGAATATGCCTTGCACGAATTCATGGCCCGCGCGCGACTTTTGGCGGCCGTCCACAACTCGATTAGTATCCCGAAATCTTGGTCCTCCCACGCGTAATTGCAAAAACAAGCAAGATGTTTATTCAGAAAAGGGAAGGAGAAGCCTAACAGTAGCAAAAATAAAAATGAATTGTATCACAGGAAAGTTGGGGAACGTTGGTGTGGTCCGAGCAGAGCAAATAGACGGAGAAGAAGAAAAAAAACAAATAAATGAAAGCGAAGAAGTGACTAAGTATGACTAGAGCTTTAATTTGACAGGTTTTAAACAGATTGTGTTGTCAGTTTCGTTCATTTCGCACATCTTCCTGGAGGATTGGGCAGGGTTGGTTTCATACAGACTCTTGTAGAAATCGACGGCTGTCAGGGACATAGCCGAGTATGTTTTGGAAAGAATCGGGATAAGAATGCACTGGTGACCAACGGCAATAATACGGTAAGCACGGGATTGGAAAGGATCAGACACCGCCGGGCACATTATGTTGTTCAAGTTCACTCGAGTTATCTGAAAATTTAAAGTACATATTTATTCAGTTTGAATAGTTCTGAAATTCCTCTGCTTACCATAGCTCCAAATTGCAGAATCACAAAGTGCCAAAGTGAAAAGAGCGAGATTCCGAAGACGGTCCATCCGAAGTCGTACGGTTTTTCCGGTTCAAAAGCTCCTTGAATGTACATGAGATACAGTGGGACCACAAGAATGGCGACGTGTTGCGCGTAATAGATAAACACTTCTCCTGGCAGCTGCAAAATTGAATTTGCAGTAGATTCCACAAATCCCCTCTTTTACATTTCTCGTGTTCAGAATTGGAAACGCCAACGCGAACCAGGCACCGGGCATGAAATAGAGCATCAGTCGGAAGAGGAAGCAGGCTTTTCTGGAGAAGATTTGATTATGGCACGAGGGAGAGGAAGAAACGAAACTCACTTTGAATTGCCCTCCATTGTGAGCAGCGTGAGTTGCATTGTGGTGGTTACGTGGCAAGGGTTGAGCAAGAAAATGCCGGTCCTGAAAGAAAACAAATTTTTTAGCAAGGTCTTTTTTATTGGGATACCTTGAAATCATTTTGTAAGCGAGCTCTGCGCCAAAGATAAGACTATATACGGTGAGTATCACATATCTGGACACGTTTCGAACGGGGAGAGTAAAGGAGCAGTCGAGCGGAATCGACACGTAGGCGGCCCAAAATGAGAGAGGAATAAAGATGATCGACTCCAAAAACCTTTGCCAAGACGGAAGATACTAAAAAAGGAAGCGATTGTTGACGCCCGCCTTGGGGTTTTTATGTTTTTCTCACATTCATGCATTCTTCGCCGCCATTTCCTTGAATGGAGTTGTCAATGCCACCAATGGCAAGTTCCCGAATGACGTCGTACATTACCTTTGCATTCTGTAAAAATCAGTCCCAATATTGTTTGTGGAAAAGAAAAGCAAACCAACTTTTCACTTGTGGGGTAAAAGCAAATGGGGAGGACAAAGGTCAAGGGGTAAGACGCAAAACACGTTGGTTGAAAAGAGGATTGAAAGATTACTCTCAAAATTTGATCAGGACACGATTGCATGTCTTATCAGAATATGAATGACAGATAGGAGCATCAGTCAAGACTGATTATGAGCGAGTCTCTACGAAAAATTGAGATAGCGCACACACATACACACACCTACAACTTGGTCAGCAGCTCGCGAATTCTGTTAGTTTATTAGTGCGCCGCCAGTGAATAAAATATTTGAATTTGTAAGTCAAGTTAAAAAACGTATTCGTTCGTACCTGCAGTAGGTTGGGCTCAGAAGAAGAAGAAGAAGAAGAAGAAGAAGTGGTGGCAGTAGGAGAGAGAATGAAAAATGTTTCATTCATGAATGTGTCATTTACGACAGATGGAAAAACACCTGGAAACTCCAGTTTAACAGGAGGGGAGTGGGGGGCAAGTTGGTCGACAAAGATGACGGAGCGCAGGAGGAGCCAGTCAAACTATATAGTTTGTTATTCAACTGATATTCGTCTCATCGCGTTGGCTGGTTGTGATATCGTGTTAACGAGGCAGACGAAGGAAAAGAGGAGGAATGAGACGGACGCTAAACAAGAGAGGAAGAGAGAGAGAGAGAGAGAGGCGAATGATGGAGGGAGTTGGACCCGAGAGAAGGCCCAAATTAGCCGGAAAAACAAGAGAGCCGAGAGATTCAGACGCAAAGAGCTTTACTTTCTTCTTATTTTTTTGGTTCTCTTTCGGCTCAACACTAATACCTCTTTCCTGTTTTGGATGTATGCACCAAAACAGCATGATAAATTAGAAAATTGGTGTCGAATGAGTGCAAATAACACCGAAAATAGAGTGTGAGGTTAGCAAAACTGTATCCTTCGCAAAAATTGGTCACTCCTCCTCTCGATTAGTAGCCGCAATTTGTCGGCCAGTGTTCTTTTTCGCTCGATTTTTTCGCGGTTTAATTGGACGGGTTTCGGCTGAATCGGTTAGTAGTTGGGGGTCAAAGAGTAATTCGTGTGATCAGTTACTGACTGACGCAATGGAATCAGGATGAACAGGAGGATGACCACGGGATCACACGTTTTGTGTAGGAATGAGAGGAGGAGAAGAAGGACAAAAACACAACTGTTCGTGGGTTAGAGCGCAACTAATGATGTATTGGAGAAAGAAGAGGAATCGGCTGATGATTGGCTTACTCTGTGTGGGTGAAATGGCCGGCGGAGAAACTGAAATTTGAGAACCGGAATTTGTTAAATTCAACAAACGTTCCGGAGAAGAGAATATGTTGTCTCCCTCTTGCTGGCTCCTTTCTCCTCTAACCCTCCCATTCTTTTCGTTTCGTGTTGCGCCATCACAGAACAAGCGAATTGTCTTCTTTTTTTGAGTTATTATTAATTTTGAATTAAAAATAAAGATTTCTGGTCAACCGATTCGGAGGTGAATTGCGTCACTTGAGATGTTGCCGAGATCTCGCTGATCCGTCCGACTCCGACGCATCTTGAACTTTTCTTTTTCAAATTTGTTTGATTTCCCCCCACAAGCACCAGCTCCTCGCTCCTCCGACAAGTGGTCACCGTTATCATCATAAACATTGAAAAGAGGGAAGACGTCTAGTACAGTGTGTACTTTCAAAAGATGCATCTCGAAAGAAGGCTGATTGCGAAAGAATTTCGGAAGAACACACCTTTTCTTCTTTCTGTTCATGTTACCTTTGAGAGCAAAGTGTGAAATGGTGAGGAATGCTATGGCCGTTTTATGGAATAAACGGAAACTGAAAAAAAAGGAAAAAAGTTTGCGTCAAAAGTGTAGGGAAAAAGAAGAAGTGAGAGAGGAAGAAGGGGCGGGCCTTCTCGATATAGAAGATACAGCTGGAAAGAGGAAAAACTACTGCACATATTGACGAAAAAGTAAGTTGAGACGTGACAGAAGACACGGGTCAAAGCGGAGGGCTCTTCTCCCCCTCGCTTACCAATGAATTCAGAAATAAGCCGCCGCCGCCGCTCGCTTTGTTGCTCCAGAATATGTAATTTGAAATGCCAAATAAGGCGAAGAATAAGAGCGGAAGAGAGGAAAGACCCCTTCTGTGAGAGTAGAGTAATAAGAGTGCGGAAGACGAAGACGAAGAAGACGACGAAGAAGTAGGCATAATAGGTTGAACCGGAGGTTTCTAATGAGAGAGTGAGCGTTTTCCCGCCCCGGGAAGAGCGGCGATGTCCTTTAAGTAAAAGGGCGGCCGTGTGGTGTGGCATGTTCTTTTTTCGGAATAGATAACAAACCCATCACTCCTAGGTATGCTAAAGAGAAACGGTGTGCGAGCATAACTAATTGATCTTTGTGCTGCCATAATTTTTTAATTAACTCCTCGTAGTGACAATGATTCAGAAGAATGCAATATTTACAAGCGAAAGCAAATGTTGTTGTGAGGAGCCCTAGAAAAGAAGCCTTGAGCAAGCTTATCTTTATAAAAGGGCGGGAGAGCATGTTCAGGCTCTGAGAGATAGAAATCTCTAACCTCTCTCCTCGCTTCTCTCTCTCTCTCTCTTTCCATTTCGCATAATCGGACACACATTGCACCCAGTAATGGTGCGAGATAGGACGGCGGAGCACCAGAATGCACCAATTTACTTATGCAACACTCGAGAGTCCGGACGACGACGCTAATGCCGAGTTAGTGTGGCTAAGGGTCCCTCTAACGTTCTGCGTCGTGTGCTCTCTTCAACATTCCTTGCATGAGCTCCCACTTATCAAGAGAGAAGAAAAGACGGACATTATTTGAATTGAAAAGAAATTACTATGCGGCTCTGGCGGACGTCCAACAAATGCGGTCCGAGGTCGAAAGTCGGGAAAAAAACGTACGAGAAAAAAGGAGGGACCATAAAGCATGCTTGACTTCAATTTATGGGGACCGAAAAGGTTTGGTGCATATGTGAATCGTAAAAAATTACGTTTTTTTCATATGGCCGGAAGATTTCTTTTATCTATCTTCTGAATGTCATCTGGGATCGAGCAAGCAAATTGAATTGCTTGAGGAGGGAAAAAAAAAGAAATTGGATAAAATTCGTCAGAGAAAGTTCAAGAAGAAGTGTGTATTTGGCTGAGTCAGTCGGGCATTCGCCAAGAAAGGGATGGATGAAAAACGAAACGAAAAAGAGACGAAAAAAGAGAACACTTTGACGCTAATTACACGTTATCAGCGCCCAGTGTAGTGTGAAGTGATTTATGAGAAATATAAAAACAGTGACGTGTTATTCTTTTCAAAAGACTGATGCTAAAAACGTTCTTGACAGAACAAACAAACGATGACTACAACGTTCACTTCACAAGTATGGTCACACCAGCAATTTGTTCGATTCTCAATGCGCCAGTTCACAAAGCGCTCGGTACAATCTCTTTTTTTGCCTCCTCTGTCTGTCTGTCACAATTATGAGTTATTCAGAGGTGAATCGAACGATGACGTCGAATCCGGTGGAGGCAGAGTCGCAGATGTGTACATATTCTATGCATTTCCAATGGAAACTTGATCCTTCGAGGACATGGAAATGAGCAAAGAGGCTTAGGCGTCTGCCCAGATGTTAGATTCCATATTCCCAGTGGAAAAAACCGAAAAACCCGGAAATGGCGAACGTGTGAAAATATTGAAAAATATTGGTGGTGTCATAAATATTCCCCGATCCTTTTTCTTTTTCCAACCTCCCACTGGGAGCCATTTTATCCAAATGAACAAAAATGCTTCTCACGTTTTTTTCTGCAAGAAAAACGTCATTCAGTGAATGCAAAAGAGCAAAATACATACATTGGCAAAGTTTAATGGATTCGGGCCCTTCAAAACTGCCTTTTTGGAGGCCTCTGTCAAAAATGGTGTATAAACTCGAGCGGGACAAGACAAAAATGAGAGAACTCACGCAGCTGCCTCGTTCTTCAAAGTGAGAAGCGAGCTGGTTGACGTATTCGCGCCGCCGCCGAACTCGCAAAGTGACGTTTCAGAGATGGACAAACCTGTTATTAGAAAGGAAATTTCGAAGGGCACTGCTCTGACTTGCCAAGTGGGCAAGATTTTTGGGTATGAACTCTAGAGAATACCACAGTTTTAAGTTCATTCAATAAAAACATGTACCAGAATTGGTCGAGTGCGCAATGCACAAGGCTATGACAATCTCATCAAGTTTCAAAAAAGTTCAGAGCATGTTCGTTTCCTACAAATTACTATAAAAGTACAGAGACAATAGATTCAAGAGGATCGAACAGAAAAAAGTCAGTGGACATTTGATCTCAGGGGTGAGTACGAGAGGTAAACGAAAATGCAGTAGACATCAAACATTTTACAGAAGTTTAATTTGACACACACTTTTCTTACAGAACTCCCGTGTGGAAACAGATGAATAGAGTTTCGGATAATATAATACAGGACAAAGTGATATAGGGGTTACACGTGCATGGGAAACAGCCAATGGTTTACATGATGGTGCACGCCTTCTTCTTTTTCTGGGGCTTCGGATTGAGGATGGACCGGACGGCGTCTTCGAAAACCTGCAACAGGAACTAGTTACAAGTGGGCAAGACCCAATTGGGTTTTCTTGTTCCTAATTCGATTTGATTGTCATTTTCATTCTGAACCTAAGACGTCACATCCTGCTTTGAAATTCGATATATGTACACATTCCTTCTCCCTCTTTCTCTTTCCAATCTGCTCCTCTGGTTCTCAATTTTTTAAGAACGAATAAATCACCTGCGTGAGGCCTTGTTGCGTCAACGCCGAGCATTCCAAATACTTGACAGCTTTGATTCTCTGCGCCATTTTGAGTCCTTGCGTCTTTGAGATGGGGGCCTTCCCCTCCGATTGGAGCACTCTCAATGGTTCGGGTTCATCGCGCAGATCGAGCTTTGTGCCTGCAAAAAAGAAACAGATAAGCGTGGGGGGTAGTGGAAGAAAGCCCCCCCCCCCCCAGACGTTTTGCAATCATCGTGAACTACTTAGCAATATATTGCACTGTGAAAGTTTACGTGGGTATCGAGACTTTGCGGATTCCAAATGTCGAGTTGCAAACGTCGGGGAGACAAAGTTTACTACGGACCGACTAGGATGACCGGCGCATCTGGACAATGCTGCCGAATTTCCGGAATCCACTTGCTTGCCACATTGTCGAACGAAACGGGCGAGACGACCGAGAAACACAATATGAACACATCCGTTTGGGGGTAGGAAAGCGGCCGCAAACGGTCATAATCCTCTTGCCCGGCCGTGTCCCAAAGTCCCAGGTTGACAACGTTTCCGTCGAGAGTCATCTGTGCCGAGTAGTTGTCAAACCTGTAATTGAGTCAATATTGGCGCCATGACTCGAGAGGTTAACAATACTCACACTGTCGGCACATATTGCACCGGAAAAGAGTCGGTTGTGTAGGAAATGAGCATGCACGTCTTTCCGACCGTTCCATCGCCAACAACGACGCATTTGATTTGTCGGGAAGGCGACGACATCTGAAAAAGATGAGAAATCGAATCGAGAATATGTATGAACAATGGCTAGAAAAGACGAAAAGAAATATGTTGGTTTACGTGAGGACGAGAAATGGGTGACTCATTCGAAAGGGTCGAAGGAAAAGAACCTTCAAGATAACAGGTGCTGGCAACGACTGCCATCGCTGGCACTGCTGTTGAAATACATACCCTCCCAGGGTCATTGCGAAATATGGCTGCATGACGTGGCAAAAGCCAGTTGAGGGGGAAAATGCAAATCTAGAATCGAAAAAGAGAAACGAACGAATCGTTTCGAATGCAAATGAGCTTTTGCACTAGCCGACCGGGGACCCTCACATCTGCAGATGAGTCATTGCGGAGCCGGAACGAAGAAAAGTGGAATGAAAAAGAAAAGAGAAGGAGCAACCAAGAGGGTGAAATGTCGCTTGGTTAATTTAGAACATCTGGATGGCGCTGGTTAGTCCAGAGGGCACACATACTCTCTCAAAAGTCATTGATATCTGTCGTTGAAGCCCATGAAGCTAATGCATCGAAGAAGGATGGGTTAGGCTGGGAACAATGGATGAAGAGGAGGGCAAGTTCTTCGGTGTGTGAAGAAGAAATGTGGAAAGTTCAGGCAAGCCGGACGCCGATTCAATTAGTTTGTCACCACACCAGCAAATGTGAGATGCGTATTGTTGGTGTAACTTTTTGGGGTTGTCGTGAAGAAGATGGATGGATTTGAGAGAAAAGAAGATTGGATTGAGATGATATTGGCAAGATGTTTGTGATTCGTTTCACAACAAAATGGTCGCCAGTGTACGGAAACGCTGCGATTCTCCGTAAAGTCCGTGAAGATATGGTTTGCGATTGGAAAGTTCACTTTCTTGGAAACCGATTTCCGCGAGAAGATCTCCGTGTTTGACCTTCACGGAAACAAAGAATTTTAACTCACTGAATGACTAGCATCTCATAACATCTTCTCCGCACTGAAAAAACGAAACATACAGACACATGAATATCAAATTAAAGGTTATATGTGCGTGAGCGAATACATAGTGACTCATTGGCCGCCAAACACTAAGAACCGTTCTTTGGGGCGAGAGAGTGCACAGGTCGCGGAGGGCAGTCGCAAAGAGTGGCAACGGGGCGCGCTTGCTATGGGCGAGTCAAGTATCGATCGCTGCCTCGCGTGGTGGTCTTGGTGTGCGCTCGTTTGGAATACCCCTCCGCTCGGGTCGAGAGGCTGTTTCTGTCATATCACCCGCCTGCGCGTCCCCCCGCACCGCTGTCTCCTCGTTTGCTATTCCGGTGTACAACGTTTGCCGCCCTTGTTTCTCGCTTTTTCTGCTCTGTATTTTTTTGCGCATTACTTAATGATGCAATGTTCCAATTTCTTAATTTAATTGTTGTTCTTTTGCAGATGTCGCGAGTAGGAGCATTCATCATAGGAGTACTTTTCATTATGTCCATTGCGGACGTGTTCCGAAGTAAGTGACGAACTGATGTTCTCCCAAACATCCCTTGCAGCTGTTTCAGCTGAGGAGCACGCACATGCGGAGGACAAAGTGCACGATAAGGACGACTTTGAGAGTGAATTCGGAGACGAAAACGACGGAAATAAATTCAGGTTTGTGGTAGAAAAGATCGATCGTTTCGACGAGAGCTGCTTCGCTTTAGCCAAGGAACCGAAGACGACCATATCGAAGTCCGCGAGCAGTCCTCTTTCGTGAAGCCAACCGCCGTCCATCATGCCAAAGATCTGCCAACTCTGAGAGTATTCTATTGGTTTGTCGTCATTCTTGTCAGGTACTAATCCCTTCTTTCAGCGTCTCGTGCGGCTACAAACAAGCTTTCGACCAGTTCACCAACTTCGCCGTGGAAAAGTACCCGAACATGCCGATCGAGGGAGCCAACTATGCGCCAGTACTCTGGAAGGCTTACGTTGCGCAGGTATGTCATAATTTTTAGGCAGATTCCAGTTTGAAGTGTGTTTTCAGGCTCTCAGCTTTGTCAAAATGGCGGTTCTCGTCATTGTCCTCACCGGATCGAACCCTTTCGAGCGCTTCGGACTCGGATACCCAGCAGTGCTCCAACATGCCCACGGAAACAAGATGTCCTCCTGCATGCTGATCTTTATGCTTGGAAACCTGGTTGAGCAGAGTTTGATCTCAACCGGAGCGTTCGAAGTTTACCTCGGCACGGAGCAGATCTGGAGTAAGATTGAGTCTGGACGTGTCCCATCGCCACAGGAGTTCATGCAGGTATTCATATTCAATTGATCCAATTTCCATAATCTGTTGTTCAGCTCATTGACGCCCAACTCGCTGTTCTCGGAAAAGCGCCGGTCAACACGGAGTCATTTGGAGAGTTCCAGCAGGCCGTCTGAGTCAATCCGTTCATGACTTCATCCACTTGACACCAAACCAAACTCGCCTCAAGTCTTCTTGCTGCTCAACTCGCCGTCACCATTCCTTATCCAATCTCAACGTCCTTGCTAGAGTTGATCTAACTTTCGTTCCTCTTTTTGTGGGTACATCATTTGCAGTCAATTTTTTTTTCATTTTTCTTTCCCCCTATATCTTTTCATGCTCGTGTTGTGTTAATTTATAGATTTGCAAAGAGTTAATAAAGTTTTATTTTTTTCAGATTTTCCAGGTATTTACAGGGTAAAGTTTTCGTTGAGAGAGTGTCTTGCACAGATAAATGCGACGTTGACGAGGGCGACTTCTTTGGCAAGTCGTTTTGAATGTTGTTTCAGCATCTTCGGATCGGAAGATTGTTCGATTTTTGAGATCTGGAATGGAAATGAACTAGTAAAACTGGAAAGAAGATAAAAATGAACCATATCGTGAACCTGCGCGATTGCTCCGCCGTCGTACCAGTTATCGGCACTTGGATGGAACAAAAGATGTCTTGCTTGCGGATTTCCGGGAGCTCCGTGTGGATTGATAAAACACTTTTCAAATCTGAAAAAAATTGAAAAAAGTGAAGATCTCCGTGTTTTGTTCCTACTCAATCAATCTGTTGTTCTCATTGATTCGGCTGTGAAAAGGAAGTGATGTCAAGTTTGTCGCATTTCTCTGATGAACAAAATCCGACAAATCCTGTAAGTTTTCCGTGGCTAACTTGTGAAAATATTCGGGCTACTATACCTTCACAGTTTTTTGCAATAAAGTGAACTGCTCAAATCCAGGTTCTAAGTACTCGGTGACATTCCCAAAAAGTTGAGCTTTTTCAAAGTGCGTGGCTATTTTTGGTAAATATTCATAATTAGTGTCGTCCAGTAACTCCCGAAGGCTGTAATTTGTCATATGCACTTTCTTTCTAATCCAGCACTCTTACTCATAGGGCAAAATCTTGCTCTCGGTGAACCTGAGAGCCATTTCGATGAACATTTCGGCAATTGCCTTGTGCATCTGAAACTTTATTGCTTATTGTCTCGTTCGAATTCTCAATTCAGGACCTTGAACTGTGGATCCAATATCTTTTCGATCAAGTAAGGCGTCTCATATATGGTGTGATATAATGGATACGTAGGAGGAGCGTCGAGAGAAGACGTGATAAACATGATGATGGGAATGCCTGTGACAGGGTCTACAATAGAGTTGAAACATTATAATCCAACCTACCTAAATAATCGAAAAACGGCATGTGATCACTTCCACCGGCTGGAATTCTCTGATATGGATGACTGGAACGGTTGGTTTGTGACGGTGCGAAGTGCTTCCAGGAATCATATAAAGTTGTTCTTCCCAATTTCTGTTCGTCTTCATTCGGTTGGACTACACTTGCAGCGGCTTCCCGAAGAACATTTGAGATGGTTGGGTTAGCCAGCGCCAACCTGTAATGACGCAGTTTTTCACGTCTAAAAGTTTTTTGTTTGTGTTCTTACAGCGTCTGGTTTCCACCTATAAGATCCATGTTCACGACGGCGACAGCCCTTCGCATTAATTGCACTCTGAATTCCTCGGCAAATTCTGTTGATCCAATTAAGCCGTACTCTTCTCCGTCCCAATGGGCAAAAAGAATGGATCTAGCTGCAACACTAGAATAATACGATTTGATACGGAGTACTTCGGCTACCAGGGGTCCATCCAGTTGCGTTTTGATGCGCTTTGAGAGCTCTGGACACTTCGAGAAGGACAGAAGTACCACTGTTCGGGTCGATGGCTCCGTATGTCCACGCATCGTAATGGTTGCTTAAAAGCACAAACTTTTCGGGTTCTTCACTTCCCTTGATGAATCCCAAAACGTTTTGAATCTTTCTGAAAGCAAGCACCAAAAATGAGTCGCGTGACAGCTTCTAAACCGTTCTTCATTTCTAGCGTGTACTGTCAGTCGCAGTTTTTGATTGCTTATCAGCCCGGGCCCATACCGATAGGTCACATTTAAACTGCCTAAATGGGAAAATTGTTTTGTGACTTGTTTGTTCCTACCTTCAAACTCGGGAATCACCGAATCCCCTTTCAAATTTTCAAATAAAACTTGTGCATCAGAATAGGGAATGGGAAGAATCGGAATTGTTGGAATTGCTTCTTCCGCATACAGCTGAAATTGTATTTGATGCTAACGGCTACATTGTTCACGTCATACATCTTCCTCAGTCCGTTCTTTGTACAGTTTGGCAATTGATGGGAAAGCTGGAGTTCTCGGATCGCCGAGTCCGACAAATAGAGTACCTCTTTGCACTGCATGTGGCGGCATTTTGTCAGTACTACCAAAAGTCTGATCTGAAAGTTTTACAGGTTCAATTGAGATAAATTAGCCGACAGACTTGGACCGGTTCCCAGATTTGCGACTTGCATTGGATCAGAGTAGATCAGACATCCAATAGCTCCCTTCTTCACCGCCATTTGTGCAATGTTACCACGGAAAGAGCCACTGTACCGGACAAGAATGATTTTTCCCTTCAAATCCAGACTATGCAGACAATATAAGTGATTTCAGTTACTTTCAGATCAATTCCCTTCGACTCCAAGTGTTCGACGTCTTTTGACGTTCCCTTGTTCACATACACCAGATCACCTTCTGCAACTCCATTAGCCGAATAAGCGAACCATTGAATTTCAGCTGTCGGATCATTCTGTTCTTCTTTCACAACTGCCGGACTCCTTCCGGCCGTTTTGTAAACTGTTTTTCCGTCTTCGCTGATGATTTCGACGTGATTGGGAGTGGTCCAGTTCGGGTAAGACAGCAGAACATTGTACTCGTTAAAGTGAACATCTGAATTGCCGTTACGCATTAGTTCTCAAGAAATGTCATACCTTCAAGGCCTTGGTTTTTCATCTGATCTCGGATCATTTGGGCCACATGCAGATTGTTCTCTGTTCCGGAAACATGTGGCTTTTTGGTCAGCGAGTGAACAGTCTCTCGGATATTTTCGGGAGACACGAGATCTTTGATCGCGCTTGCCAATTCAACTGAAACTAAGTTTTCAGAACACTTGGTCCGTGGGAAACTAACCTTTGACAGGAGCTTTTGCTTGTAACGTGACCGCTCTGTGAACAGTGTTAGCAATAACAATAGTAAGTGCCAGAGTGGCAATAACGGCTAAGGCAACGGCTGTCGCCTTCATCCCACGCTGTTTCTTTGATCTCCGGAAAACTTTCTGAAAATGGGACAATCACTGGTACTGTACTTATACATTTTTATTTATTTGAACTGGACAGGCGTATGATATGCAAATAACATGTAAATGGGATTATTCGGAAAAAATGTCTAGAACTCACGTCGCTGGTCTTATTGTGCGTGTTCCCACAACAGCATGCTGACGGAAACCGTTTCCGGACGGCTATCATCTTTTTCTTTTTGATCCGTGTCTGGCACGACTACTGTTCTCTATAACAAAAGGGCATCAAAATTTCGCGAATGTCCGTTCCAGACACGAAAATCTGCTTATAGGCTTAGTTTATTCGAAAAAGTCACGGATAACTTGGAATTTAAATGAGGAAGTGAAGCCGATTTAGGTGAAACTAGAAAAGGTTTCCGGGTTGGAAGAGAAAATTGGCGAGTCGTTTCGTTTCGTCGTCCCATGAAATTATCAAACGACATTGGCACAATGTGCATTCCTGATTGGATCTTTCGCGTGCTCCACAATCTTATCGTGATTGCTTTTTTCTTGACAAATTTATTAAGATATGGCGTGGCGAGTCAAGATAAAAGAGTTTATTGAACGTAAAAATCATATTGAAACATGAATGTTGTAGTCAGTCTACTGACAGGAGGGACAGGGTTATGACTGCTGATTATGTGGTAGTTTTACGACTGTTTTATCGCTTGAAGATGCGACGAACACGATCTGAAATTTTGAAAATTAGTTCAAAAGTACAACTGGACAATATTCACTCCAAGCTCTTCTGTACCATGGGGGACGGACTGTATGCTTGATATCGGTAGCCACGCGCTTAACATCACGTTCTGAATACATATCAAAAAATCGGTTGAAAATAACAAAATTCGCTTACCAATCGACATTTCGAAGAGACGGTTAGTTGGAGTGGAAACAAATTTGGTGAATGACTGACTGACGACGACAAAGAATGTGGGTGTTGCCTAAAATTCTAACTGTGGTCGGTTATGTCACAATACGGGGTTACCTGGCGGGTTGATCGGTGTCACATGCGCAATTTGGTACACAATGGATCAATAAATCACACAAAAACTGACAGACAAAGAGTGTGCGGAGAAAGTTTTGTTGAGTCAACTTCGAGTGTTTATTTATTTCCTCGTCACAAACAACAAGAGTTATGTACAGATACTACTGCAGTCAAAATAGTATATTGTGAAAATAAAAATGCGTGATACATCTAACATGTCCAGATTTTTCTGAACTATTCGATATGTGGATCCAACTTCAGACACTTTTTGCTTGATTCCACTCCGAATCCTTTGAATTGTGAAGCCAATGGTTCGCGTCGTTGAATCGAGAGATAACTGTAAACGTCATTTCGAATCAGCTGGAAAAAATAGTGATACTGACCCAACAAGAATACTGGATTGCATAATATCCACTGCTTCGCTACCACACTTTTCTTCGACACGTGGCATCACACATTTCAACACCTTTTCCAGTGCCTCGCACTTTTCCCCTTCTATTTCAGCAATTTGCCTGAGTGCTTTCCCGAATACTGATTGAACATGCTCTTTCATTGAAAGGAACTGGTCATTGTCATTTTCGAGGTCCTAAAAGTTCAAGGTGATACTCTACGCAGAATTTTCGTAAATAAAACCTTATTAGCCGTCAATTCCGCAACTTCTTTCGTTGCTTTGATGTGCAGTCTAGCAATTCTCCGTCCAGCCGAGTATCTGGTGTAGTTGTAAGCCAGCATTTGCTAAATCATAACTATTTCCCCGACGCTCACGTGTAAACGGCCTACTTCAAAACAAGGCTTGGTGTATTCTTCCACGTCAGACGAAAAACAATGATAGACGGTGTTGTCGATTTCCGGTTCTGGGCATTGTCGATCGAGTAGAATGCGCAGGTTACCGTCAGTGTTTTTCAAATCATCCAGTCTCCAGTATATTGCCGTTCTGAAAACACACACTTTGTCACTGTTAACGATGACTGACAGTTTGACCATACCGTGATTCGCCAAAACCATATTGACATTGTAGTTGCATTTCGTACTTTTCACAGAGTTGTTGAAGACCTTCTTTGAAATTATCAGCTTCCATTGACACAAATCTAGCAGCGAATGAGTTGAAGCCAAGAGTTAAGAGCAACTACAATTAAACAGAGTTCCTCCGATGCTCCCTTAAACTCTCTTACTTTCATATCCTTAGTCAGCTTTGTGTTGTAAGTCGACTGAAATACCTTCTGTGCCCGTTCATGTCCCAGAGTGTTACATTCCATGAAGTAATCTTCATAAACGTTCATACTGTAAACTGTTTAGTTTAGGGGGCAATTTGGTTCTTTTGATCTTTCTAGATATGATAGGATTGACAATTTGTCGCGTTTCTGTGAAAGATAACAGTTTGCGCGTGATTCCTACAGAGAACTATCATAGCTGTCAGCTTGTATCAAATGAATTTCATGTTTTAATTTCAGTGAGTTATCATTAAGAGGACATGCAGTAAAAAACAAATCTTACTGATAAACAGATAATGTAAAACCAGTTATGTTAGGTTTTGAACCCGAAAGGTCACTCGGTCACTCACCGCTCTATTGACGTCGCATTTTCAGTGGCGTAGAGAAAGTTTTTGTAGGCTGAACAAAACGAAACATTAAAAACACAAAAACGGATATTTTTAGCTCACCTTTAGCTCCAAACTTTCTTGCTTCACTCAAGAGTTCAGGCGGAAGCCGGTCATAAACAATACTCTGTGTTATTCTCGATTCCACAAAAGCATCTAACACTGTGCAGCATAGTAGAATACGAAGAAGGAAGGAATTGCTCTGAGTTGGCATTCACAAATATGACGCACTGTCTGGACGAGCCGAATGAGTCAATAAAAACAAGAAAGTATACAGGACCGGACAGTATCAATCACTTGAATAGGTATACAAGCTTTAACAGTTCTTCACTGTTTGTGGTTGATCACAAGTGGTGCGAACCGTACACTTTTTATAATTTCGACTGAACACGACAAAGATACGGCTATGGGTAGTCAGTCAGCAGCGGAGGGTAGGAGACTGCCCGAATCATTTATCACGTCTTTCGAAGACGCGCGAAGACGCGCGAAACGTCGAAAAAACCGACAAAAATCTGTCGAAAATAGTAATAGAAACAGCGGAATCGGTCGTTGGTCGATCAACGACAACATTTCATGATCGTTTGATACTTGGACTACAAACGATGATGTCGCGCTGGAACGTACGGGCCTTTGTGAGCAAACGGATGAAGTTCCAACTTTCCAAGTTTTGCAGGGTACCGTTGACCGGTTGATGGTTCTATTGATAACTGTTTAGAGAACATGCAAGACTATTGAGATCAGCAGCGCATCTATAGGCAATATGATTAGCACGTGAAACTTGAATCGGTCTCACAGAATGCGTGCAAGTTCGTGACGCTGGAACGGATAATTTTGTAAGAGTACAAAGCTTTTAATTGATTATTCATTCACGTGCAATATTAAACAATTCAGAAAAAATTAATTATACAGGAGAGTGATCAAATTACGGGTTGGAATGAAAGAGCAAACAACACTTGAAACATAAAAAACACGGGTTGAGATGAATTAATACAACAAAAAACAATGAATACTACAGGTTGAAAATGGCTCAGAACGGCCTGATTCTTTACCAAAATCAATACTGACCAAAAAACAATTTTTGGTGAAACAAGGATTTAAAAAAATGATATAATGGGAAAGGATGCGGGGGAAAGATCAACCGGGATGAGAGAAACTAGAAAAGTGAGGTAACGACTAGACTGGGAAAGAATGAGACCTGTAGAATTGAGATTCAAGTATAAGGGGTGACTAAAACAAAGTGAATAATAGTTTCAAACATTCTGCTTGCTTCGGATGAGCGTCAATTTGCTTGTTTTTGTGACAGTGGTGACTACGTCCCACTCTTTTGAGTTTTTCGGCGTCATTCTGCTTTCCATAGGGGTCCATGTCGCCAAGATCTGCTGTGGAGTAGGGGGAGTTCGTGGAAAAGACACGGACTTTTGTTCTCTGAAAACGAAAATAATGAGATGATCACAAAAACGGAGGAAAAATGTCACTTACCCTTGGTGTGAAATCAATAAATTCCGCAATTGATCAAAGCGATCCATGTAGCTCAAGGATATTTCTTTCGTCATAACTTTTGGCTTGTAAAGGTACTCTTCAAGAGTGTCGATCTCTAAGCGATCGTCTTTGTCGATCGTGCCAGCTAATTTGAACACAATGCTAACTTTTCCATTCTCACTATTGACCTGAAAAAAAGTGAATAAAAATTAAAATAATTATTTCATGAAACTTACAATCAGAACTATTCTGAGCCCATTATCGCTACAACAGTCTATCGGAACTTCGTTTTCGTTCCTGACACAACTGAAGGGTGGCACGGCAAATTTGGTAGGAACCGGCACGAAGTCTTCTCTTACAGCGGCCACAAGGAAACACGCATCATTCAAGTAGTAGGCTGTTCCGATGCGAATCGGTTCGACAATGCATTGAGGATCCGTCAATTTCTTCGAGTAGGAATTGATCAATCGCCTGACAGAGTCGTAACGATCCTTAAGCATTTCACACGAGAACCAGACATCCGTTTCCTCCTTCCAGTTGGAAATGATACCGGAATACATGACCGCATTGGAAACATCCGAAGAACGCGTTATGTCGTTGTTGGTGAGAGAGATGGATCGTATCTTGAGAATTTCCAACAGACGGATCAGCGATTGGTGTGCGTAGTACAAGGCCATTTTTTCGTCGATCTCTCCCGTTGGCATCAATGTTCTTAAATTTGTCCACAACTCGGAGTTTTGCGCAAAGCTCGCATTTAGGGTGTAGTTGAAGAGTTTCGGTTTGCCGTGAAGTAACGAACGGCAGTCGTCGCGGATGTTTTCGATATCGAAACCGAACGATTTGGCTGTCTCGTCGAACACTACCTGATTGAACGATTTCGGAATGGTGGCATCAGCCTCGAAAGCGAACAATTCAACAGATTCTCTGAATTCCTTAGCGTTGACCCAAGGCAAGTCAGGTAAACCTTCAACTATTTTCGGCAAGCGAACCTAAAAACATATAATTGTTTGCATAAAATTTCAAGTAATCTTACTTTTTCGATCACATCTTTGGAAAGGTGCGCAACAGTGAATCGGATCTCATCATCTCTAGCACGTTGCGATACTTGTCTCAGTTCTGCCAACTGCCTATTCAAAGGCTCATAGTTGAACATCGCGTTGACAATTGTATTCAGCTGATCTTTTGCGTTTTCCATCGAGTAACGGAGATGAGAAAGGTCGGCGTTGCTCTCCGCGTGGTAGACAGCGTAAGGATTGAAGACGTGTTTGGCGTAGAATTTCACAAAATTCTCCAGGAGACCAACGTGGAAGCGGAACACTTTCTGGTAACTGTTGATCAACTCTCTGAACTGGTAGTTCTCCCTCTCTCGTTTCAGTTCCTGAAACATTTTTTGCTCAACGTAGTCGGTAATGATCGGGCTTACTTGAACAACGTGCTCCGCTTCTCTCGCGTCATGCATTTTCTTCAGTTTGAACTGCTCAAACTCGTAGAAAAGTTCCATAGCGGGAGAAACGCCCATTCCGAACCGTCTAATCTCGTTGTCTTTCTCATAATTCCTGTCAGTTGTTTGACGGTAAGAGGTATGCGGAACTTTTCTTCCACGATAGTTCAGGAAGCAGGCGTTTTCGATGAATTTGGTGGCTTCTCCGTAGTCCTTCCACTGCCCTCCTTTTTTGTCAAAATTGCAAGATTCCTGAAAAATCAACATACTAGAACTGACTCGGTGAAAACGTTGACTTACCAGCATAGTTGTTATAAATGCCTTCTTCGAAGAGTTATTCAACTTGCTACGTTTGTCGAACAAATCGACACTGTTCAACATCTGATTCTCCAACTGACTCTTGTTCATCTTCCGAATATCGTCAAACTGAAAAACATACCAAAAATTTTGAGGTTGACGCTAATTTTCAAAACTTACGCATTCTTGATAGTGCGACGCCAGTTTATCTTTTCCTCGTTCCATCTTCCGTTTTGCATAAGCGGACAATTCGTTCAAACTGGTCACTGACATGCAGCGTCCGCTTCGAGAATAGAAGTTCATGTGCCCGTCCAACCGACTATCCAAGCTTTTCGATCGAGGTACGAACTTTTCCCAAGAATACTTGAAGACCGGCTTTACAGGGCGGCGGGACATCCGATCTTCAATTTTATCCGCTTCCTGAGTGATGCCTTGAGTGTACTGTTCCCTTATCTCTTTTTCCTTTGCAAGTCGTTCTTCACGTACTGAAGTAGGTTCAGTGTCGTCTTCTCGATCGGTGAATTCTTTTTCTTTTCCCTTCGCAGAACTTGTTCGGCTCCTCGACTCCTTTGATGAAGAGAGGTCTTGTGACCCGATTGACGTCTCTTCCTCACTGCACAACAGGTCCTTGTCGGGTTCTTGCAGTTGCGATGACACCAAAGACTGTCCGTCAGATTCCAGTTCGGAACTTGCTCTCATGTCATCTTGGAAATGAGTTGGATGGTTGTTGAACAGCTTTTGCAGATCTCGCAACATTGCCTTTTTGCTGTTGACACGAAGAGAACACGCCCTGAGTTCGTGGGGACACTCAGCCGGAGGAACGCGGTAGTCGAGAAGAGGGTTGTAGTGCAATTGAAGATAGGAAGCAGGTCCGTGCTCGCAAACAAATCTTCCAACGAGTCGTGTTACACTGCGCAGTGAGATTTTCTGATTGGCGCTGGCGTATATGAACATCTTCCCGCCTTTCTGTTCGAAATGATCGCAGATGCATTCGTTCACAATCACAACGTCTCCGTTTGTACAGCCAGGACAGCAAGGAGTGCATTCAGTAATCAGCTCATGAATTTCTGTATCCAACTTTTCGGGTAGAATACAGCCCATAAACCATTTGTATTGCTGATAGTACTTGATGTTGAACGCAATCAGCCCATCGTAGTCTACAAATATTCAGTTTTGCAGGATAACATTGCGTTTTTTCACTTACAAGCTTTTTTGAATTTGTGTACGTTGGTCAAGTTCCTGAGGTCGGTGTAGAAGTCAATAGCAGGCTTGGCAAAACTCTCTTCCGGACTGTCTTTGCCAAATGTTATCTTTGTGCACTTAACCGTCCATTGCAGCTTGTTGAACTCTTCCTTTGTGAGAACAATGTTGTCGAACAAAGTGAGAACTGAAAGTATTGAATTAATGCAATGAGTTTGACGGATTTCCCTACTAGAATCCTCTGCTGCTCGCATGTTGTTCGTGTTAAAGTGCCGCAAAACAAAAGCAGATGTGTCTGCATTGAGAATATGGCTAGGTTCTGTTGCATTCACAAAACATTTGTCGGTGCACGAAAGTTGATAGACTGTAAAAAAAAGTGTTGATATTATTGTTATTGTAAAATGCTTTCAAATATACTTACATCGAACGGGAGATGAATTGGCGTGGTAGATGTAATCTGCCTCCAAATCCTTTTTCCACAGGGACGCTGAAAAAACCAAGTTGGAAGTGTTCCCGATGACTATAATCTCACCTGTATGCTTGATCCTCTTCAGTACGGCGATAGAAAGCGCTGGTCCCTTTGCTGCTCTTTTGGCGGCTTGAATTGACGCAGAGGTGTTGTGATCCGGTTGTGTGAACTTTGTCTCCTTGACAATTTCCTTCAACGGTGTAACTGGTTTGACTTCGCGCTTCGGCTTCTCCGGTTCCTTCCTGGCCGGCACTGCTATTGTCGTTAACGTCACTGGTTCCGCGACTTCAGTCGGATTCTTCTTGTGTACGTATTCTGCTTGCGCTGTCTGAGGCAATCCTTCCGCCACCAAGTACAGGCTTTCTCCCACGACCACCTTCTCCACCGACGACTTTTCAGATGTGTCCTCATAATCGTAAGGGTCCATCTCCACCTCTTCTTGCAGAAGAAGACTTCCATCGTGATCTATGAGAGCATCCAACGGAACCTGTTTCCCACGGTATTTGAGTTTCAAAGAAACGTCGTGTTGCACAATATCTCTTATCCTTGCAATTTGCTTAGAGTTGAAAATGCCCATCACTGTGAACAGTCGACGAAGAAGGTCCACTCGATAGCGACCAGGTGCAAATCTGTACTTTGCAACTCTTTGCTTCCAGCCGGGGACGTCGTACACTGCATTGTGCAGCAAAACCGCTTCGGTGTAAAAGTGAGCGAGGTGTTCTGCTGGCACGTTGTACTTATCAGTTAGCGCATGTCTGCATTCGGCTGCTATCAGGAACACCCAGGTTCGGAGGTATTGGTTGACGGTGGTGTTGTTTCCAAAGTGGAAAGAAACATCAGCTTCCATGGCCAAGTTGAAGATCTTCGATACCAGCACCATGATTGTCTCGAAGATTTTTCTGGATCCATTGAACGTACATAACATCTCAAATTCTTTGGAATTTTGACCAGCTTCTGCCATCAAGACGGACGTCAGCATCAAACGGTCGATGCACTCTTTGATGACGGGGTGTGACCTGAATGCCTTCTCGAATGGCATCAGTCGAAGATTGTCGTGGTATCGAATGTCCGTCAGCTTTCCAGTCAAGAAAAACTCGACCAATCCAAACAGTCCGTAAACATAAGACGCTTGTTTTGTTGGAACCAAGTTGCTGTATTCCGCAATCGAGTCAATCTCAACACTCAATTTCTTCCGCTCCTCCTTTGTCTCTGATAGTTCCATCTCGAGAAGCTTCTCCCAAAGCGAACACTTATGTTCCTTAGTGAACAATTCTTCGTACAACGTCTTCACTTGGTTCCGATCGAAGGTTAAACTTGGCTGCCGAGTTCTGCCGGTTACGCTCTCCACCCTCTTCTCAGGAATTGTAATGCTGGCGTGCTCGCTCTCCTCGGCCTTCTTGAGTTCCGCATTCATCACAGCTAGCCGTTCACGCTTCGCCTGTTGCTCCGTCTCGTTACTTATGGTGAACCTTTGCTGTGTTCGTATGGTACTATCTGAATACATACACGTTTTTCTAGGCAAGATTCTTTCAAAAAACTGACCGCGAGCGATTGTTCGGTTCGGTGTTTGACCAAACGGGGTTGAAGTGAAGTTCGGCCTGCTGGTGATGTTCGGAGTCTGATATCTCGTTGAAGGCATCGATCGGTTCGGAGAAAACAATGAATCCAGATTGAACGAAACATGTTTCATGAGCAACTCTTCGTCATAAACGAACGTCCACATTCGTTCATTTTCAGCCACGAGCATGTATTTGAAGCATTTCGTAATACTCACAAAAGTCTTATTCTCAATGTCAAACCAGTTCACCTGGTTGTTCTGAAAAATATATTTGCGAAGTTGGTTTCAAACATCTCCGTACCTCGACCAGATCCATTAGTTTACTTCGAAGCGTGTCACTCTGCATTTTCGATTCGTTGAGATACGCACCATACCATTTCTGAAAGAAAATCACGTTTAGTTAGCAATAGATTGTGCACACTTACATTTGCAGTCGCCACGATCAAAGCGCGAGGATTGCAATTTCGGAAGTCGTCGCGAGCTTTTCTCAACTCAACATTCTTCGGGTTGTTCGCCACAAAGAACAGATCCACAGCACTTTCATCGGGTAGCTCGGAAATTTTTCTTTCTACGGACTTCTCTTCTGTTTTTCCTCTCTGGAGTAGTTCCTTCTCTTTCCTTTCCAACTCTTCCAGTTTCTTCAGGACTTCCATTTGTTCTTTCTTCTTCTCCTCCTGTTCGATACGTTGCAATCGAAGACGTTCCTCTTCCGCTGCCTTCTGCTTGTTGTTTTCCTTCTCAAGACGATCTCTTTCCATCCGCATCTTGTCAATCCGTTCTTTGGCGAGTCGTCTTCTTTCTATTCGCTCTTTCTCCAGACGCTCCTTCTCAATCTTCTCTTTTTCCAGGCGCTCCTTTTCAATACGTTCACGGCGCTCTTTCTCGATCCGAATCTTCTCAATCTTCTCCTTTTCGATACGTTCTTTTTCCAGACGCTCCTTCTCCAGTCGTTCTTTCTCGCTCTGCTCTTTCTCAATTCTTTCCTTTTCGAGGCGTTCTTTCTCAATCCGTTCCTGTTCGAGGCGTTCCTTCTCCAGGCGCTCTTTCTCAAGGCGTTCCTTTTCCAGACGCTCTTTTTCTATCTTCTCCTTTTCCAGACGTTCCTTTTCGAGGCGTTCTTTTTCCTTCTCCAGACGCTCCTTTTCCAGACGTTCTTTTTCTAGACGCTCTTTCTCCAGACGTTCCTTCTCCAGACGATCTTTTTCGATCTTCTCCTTCTCAAGACGTTCCTTTTCGACGCGTTCTTTTTCCAAACGTTCCTTCTCGATCAGCTCTTTCTCTAAACGTTTCTTTTCCAGACGTTCCTTTTCCAGGCGCTCTTTTTCGAGTCGTTCTTTCTCCAGACGTTCTTTATCCAGACGTTCCTTCTCCAAGCGTTCTTTTTCCAGACGTTCTTTCTCCTCCTTCTCAAGACGTTCTTTCTCTTCCTTCTCCAGACGCTCCTTTTCTTCCTTCTCCAAACGATCAAGACGTTCCTTTTCTTCCTTTTCAGCCGCTAGCTTTTTTTGCTCATCTTCCTCCTCTTCTTCCTCTTCGGATTCTTCATCTTCGAGGTCCTCGTCATCTGTATCTTCTTCCTCTGAATCTTCGTTGCCGTTTAAAGCGGATTCTCTCCTCTTTGCAGCCTTCGCCTTCTTTGCCGCCTTTCTCGCTCTCTTCTCTTCTGCCGCCTTCTCCTTTTCCGCCTTTTCCTTTTCCTCTCGTAGCTTGCTCTCCTCGGCCATTTTACGAAGGCGTTCGCGCATTTCTTGCTCCTCAATCTCTTTCTCCAACTGCTTTTGCTTCAGCTTATCTGCCTCTTTCTTGAGTGCTGCGGCCCGTTCTTCTGGAGTTTTGAACCACGCGGTTTCATATTTTCTGGTGAGATCGCTGGTAATGGCGGTTTTGGCCAAATTGAACTCGGCTTTGCTGGTTACACGGTCAAGGCACATCATCTCGAGAGACAAGTAGTCGAAAGGAGGTAGAGAAGTCGGTCCAACGAAAGTGAGTTGTTCGAGTTCATCGACTCTGGCGAGATGGGCTTTCTGGATCATCCACGACATTCCGTTGGCACAATGAATTGTTGCACACTGAAAAGCAATTGTTTTACACTGCGACTAATCATTATAACTTACTTCAGTTGCGACAATTCTGGATATCATGTTAGACAAAGTTATAATAACATCATTGATGATAGTTCGATCACCTCTTGCGTATACACGAGGAATGTTATGCAATCGGAAGTTTCTCGGAGTACGCATTGCATCTGAAATACAAAAAAGTTATTCCCAGTGAACTGAAGTTAATGAAGTCAACTCACTTTTAGTTATTCTGGTTTCCTCTATCAGACGAGGAAACTGTCCACTATAACAATCGGTCGCTTCCATGATCGCAAAATCATCGCTTTTGACGAGCTTATACCGAAGCATGTGTTTCTGGTAAATCAACTTGAGCTTTCTCTTTTTTCTAGTCTTGTCCGGCTGCGGAGCTCTCGATATTTTCCTTTGGTGGAACCACGAAATTGTGTTGATCATGTGTTCTTGATAGCGGTAGTCGAGGAAGAATGAGCACGAGGACGTGGATCTCTTCAACTTTGGCATTTCCCTTTCGCACAAGTCGGAATCATCAGAGGCGTAGTTGTCTATCTCGTAATCAGATTCGATGCTGAAATAGTAGTAGTATAATACCTGTGACACACCAAATTGACTTACTCAGAGGCTTGAAGATCTGTATAGAAATCGAATCGCTCCATGGCTTTTTCCTCTTTCGATTTCACTTTTCTGCCCGGTTTCTTCTTTTTCTTAACTTGATTGGGCTCGGGTGCCGGCGGAGTTTTTGGTAGAGGTGGTGGGAGATTGTAGATTTTGCGACGCACGCGTATCAGTTTTTTGCGTGTGAAAGCGAGATGGAAATCTCTTCTTTGAGGTTTGGCTGGTCCGCGAGGCTTCTTTGGTTCCTCTTTTGGAATGTCGACGATGAGGCGAGTGATGGAACTCTTTTCGTGAGGTAACTTTGGTCGCATTACTGTTTTGCGGATTGGCTCTTTTGGGTCTTGATTGAAAACGTAAATTTCTTGAATTGGAACCGACGTCTCAACAGTTTTAATCTCCCTCTTCTCGTTCATGATAGCCACCTCCGTGTTCGTTGAGTTGTAGACTGCGATATGAGGAAACTTCGGTTTTGAGGGTTTCCTCAGAACTTTTGAACCACCACAAATTATCACGAACGCCGACAAATACTCTGCGTTGCATGTTGCTCGACACCACTGAAACAATATATGTTCTATATACTTTTTAACGGTTCAACTCACATCGTAGAATTGAAAACTGCCCACACTGCCGATGAAGTATTTTGGAGTGATCTCATGTTCCGTCATCTGTAAAATCAACTCACTATTCTGTTTTTTAGTCCCTTGAAACTCACCATCATGCACATTTCGGACAAATTCATTGGATTGAACAAAGAATCAGTTTGCGCGAGAGCATCAAAAACAGGCCGATTCACTCGGATCAACTCGGCCAGATGAAGATCATAAACGATCGCTTTATCGAAGACCGTTTTCAATCGGTTTTCCCATCTATAAAAAATCAATATACATAATATTCCTTTTAGGGATGCAGAACAGGCGCAGGCGCCTAAAATCGCCCGTTTTGCATCTCTAATTCACTTGTCACTCACCTTTTGTAATCGACATAAAGCGGGAAGCGAAGGAAATTGAAGATTTCAACCAAATAACGCTTTGACTTCTTAGTGCCGTCGTAGTCATCATACACATCATTGATGTCTTCCCAAACAACGAAGAATCCATGAATGTGCCGTCCCATTTCGTGAAAGTCATACAATTCTTGTCCAGTAATGTACGAGACTCTGAACTCTGGCGGAGGTTCAATGTCGCGACTGAAATCATACGGTTTTCTATTTTATAAATGACTATATTTCTCTTTTTTCTCTTACTAAATCAAATTGACGTATTCCACCTGCGCTTCTTGATAACGAGCCATGAGGTAGTCCTTTTTCTCGCCAATCGTTACAGCACTGACTGGGAAGTATCCTGAAAAAAGAACAGTTGATATATTTTTATTTTCATAACATGCAACATACCGCAATTGAGCATGGGAGGAACAAAGCACTCGGGGATATCGGAGGACACCTGAATATGAAGCGACACTGCAGCCTTCATCATGAAGAATTCTCGAACAAAATAGGCAGAATCTCTTATGACGTCGTTTGATGTTCTTCTCTGAAACAAGCAGATATACATACCTTCAAGTTCACATGAATTATACTTTATTCAGACGGTACTTGATGAGATCTGCCACTTTCTCAAACTGCGAGATCTGATTCGGAGGCGTGAGAAAGTGCTGCTCGTACAAGTGAGGATCGTTATTGATTTTGAAGATCGGGTCATTAGGAGGTTCGAAGTACCCAGATTTCATCCGTTGAAATGGCCTTTTCTCTCGATGCCACCATGACAATTGGTATTTCAGCCGCTTCTGCTTGCATGAGTGCTTCTTCATCGAGTGATCGAAATGAAACATTTTGACCGAGTTTTCGTACTCGACTGCGGTTGCCCGATACTCGTCACGGAATCGCTCGTTCTCCGGCAGAAGCATCTTGGTGCGGCAGAGGTAATTATCGACTACATCAGCAAGAGAAAGCACTTCGACCTTTTCAAACTCGGTGTTCTCGTTCTCGTTGTGGAATGCGTGGACCGCGTGGTGCATAATGCGCCGCGTGACACGTGTCCTTTTGGCTTTGATGTCTCTGGTTCGAAGCAGAGGAATGGATTTTTTGCGGTACATCACAGGACGGTAATCGTTTTCGATGATTTCGACTCGCTGCTTGAAGCCAGCAACCCCCTTCGGTAGATCGCCTTGCAATGTTTTACTCTTCGGAGCTCGACAGCGTCTTTTTCTCGTTTTCTGACCGCTCTGTCCGGGTTCCATTTGAGTACCTTGTTCTTCTTCTATCACTTCTTCTTTGTCATCATCTCTTTCTGTCACTCCTGTTGCTGCTTCTTCTTCTTCTTGCCAAGGAATCATGTCATCACCACTTGCATATCGATCACTATCAAAGCCTCTGTCGTCGATCGGCTTGTGAGTGCGCATAAATTCCTCTTCATCGACAGGTTCTTCCAAAAAAGGTGATTGATTCCTATATTCCCTACTGTCTTCATACTCGTAGTCTTCGTCTTCGATGAGATCGTCGCTTTCGTGTTCATGATCACGACCCGGTTCATAAGGCTCATCTCTTCCATCTGATTCGTCCGAACTGCTTGACGACGTCATTTCCTGGCTTCCACTTCTGATTGAACGATCAACTGCTGCTACATCTTGAACGCATTCCTCCACTTCTTCATATTCTTCTACATCCTCTGCTTCAACGTCTTCTTTTTCTTCTGCTTCTGCTGCATCATCGTCCTTGTCATCAGCCATTTCTTCTGGATCCAGTGCTTTGTTTTCATCTTCTCCAGATCTATCCTCATAGTCTTCTATCCTCTCATCGTCCGAATATCCAAGAGATGCCACGAATTCTCTTGTTTCAATATCTTCTTCGAATTCGTCGTCATCCAATGCTTCTTCTGATTCTTCTGCACTTCCATGCTCTTCTGCATAGACTGCTTCATCTGATTCTTCTTCCTCGACTTCTTCTTCATCTAATAGTTCTTCTGCATCTGCATTTTCATCCTCTTCTGGCCCGACTGCTTCTCCTGCAACAACATTTTGATGCAGGTCGTTGTATACATTATCATTACCTGAGTTACCTGAGTAGTCGTCTGGTACTGCAACCGGCTCGAATTCAGGCCTAATGGCTGATCGTTTCCGTAGAGGTCTTCTGTCACAGTCCGATGCGCCACTGGCCGGAGGTGCACCGGACTCTGACGAAGAGCTTGACAAGCGGCGTTTCATGGCTTGGCTGGTTGTCTTCTCCTTTTTTATACGTTTCTGCTGACTTTCAGATGAAACACATTCGTCATCATTGTCCCGTTCTGCATTGGTCATCACTTGGATGAGAGGTTCAAATACTCTGAAAAAAAGATTTACTTTGAGCGTGTAGCGGACATCGAACGAAGAGGTAAAAGATAAGCTATCGACGGAGAGAAATCAACTCAGGAGCAGAACGTTTTGGTGAAATATAAAGAAAAATACATTTTTAATATGTGGTATTCACCGGAATAGGGAAAGAATAAAAAAAAGACGAACGGGGAATGATTTTAAGAGAACTTTCTATTAAAAAAAGGATGGACAAATGTCGAGTCTCTGAGCGAAACGTAGAGAGGAAGACGAGTGAGACTCTGCCAGATAGACGTATACACAAGAGGAATGGGCTTGCGAAGAGACACGTGTGAGCGAAAGCAATTATGCCAGGATCAAGGAGAAGTAGAAGGAGAGAGACGAGGCAGCAGATCTTATTACGGCTTACGTGGATTTACCTATTACAACGTCTGTTCATTAAGATCCTATCGAAGCATTGATGCGGAACAATCCTCCCTCATTTATCCCATTTTTGCCCTGTCAGGGGGTTATGCAAACGCTCTCATCACTGCCTTCCATCACATCTGGCATCTCAGACAGACTCTCAGTGAACCATTCCTTCTCAGCACGGTACTACTGCTCTCTTCTTATCCCCACCTCTCGCAGGGGTCATCCTTCTCTTTCTCTCTCTCTTCTACACTTCTCGTCTCTTTCTCTTCTATGTCTCTTTTCACTCTCTCTCTCTCTGTCTTTCTTCTTGTCTCTCCCCCCCGCGCGCTTACGTGGCCTCGCCTAACAGACATAGTCTCTTTCTCCCCACGGTCTCTCACTGCTGAGATGACGAGTGCGGCACAAAGAGAAAGAGAGAGGAAAAGAAAGTAAGGGAGTAGAAGAGACACTCGCATGAAAAATCGAAAAGAGAAGGGCGCTGCGCGCCGCCGCTGAGGCGAAATATGTGTACATCCTAGGCGCCAGACACTCCCACCCTTTCGAAAGACTGCGAGCGACAGAGAAATGGGAGACCTCAGTGTGGGCAGTGAAATACAACACAGTCAACAAGTTTAAACCGATCGTCAACGGTGGATAAGAGAATGCAGAAATGAAGAATCACAATAGTGTACAATGAAATTTTAAAAAATAGGAGATGTCTTAAAGTGTTCCCTTTCAGTAATTCAAGTAAGAAAAAAAGATAAGAAGTGACAAAAATGTGCTTGTCTATCTCTCTCTCTCGGGTTCTCAACGGTGTATGATGTAGAGATAACCGAGAGAGCATGCATGTAATGTTGCCAGAGGACGTTCACATACCTTGACACCTGAAGAGAGAAAGAGAGAGAGGGGGGAAAGAAGTAGAAAGGACATTCGCATGAGGATGGTCCACTTGCTTCGGGGGGTGCCAGCAGCGCTCAGCCTGCTGGTAGTCTTAAGATTATTGGGACTGGGGTGCGCGCAGAGAAAAAGAGAAAGTGATCCTGAGAAAATGAATTTGTGGAGCCATATACGAAGCATGGGAGACCTACTTGCTCAACTCCAATCATGATTTCTCGGAGGATGGAGCACCGACTTCCGGAAGTCTCGAAACCAATAATTTTAAAACCCTTTTGCCCAGAAATTTAAAAGAAATCGGTCGGGACATTGCGAAACTTCTCGGCCGATTCAGTCCGATGAAAACGGAAAACCATTTTTACGGGTATTTTTTAGTTTTTCACCGGACTTGATAAGTTCATAACTGAAATTTTGAAATTTTTAGTGTCCGGGAGGTGAAACACAGAATTGACAGAAGCAAACACAACTTTGAGTAAAATTCAAATTTTATAAAGTGAACATTAAAATTCCAAAAAAAGTGAAAATTGCAACATTTGAACATCAGCTCGCCGTCCTCATGTATACCAGTTCGGATGCCATTGACATCACACGAGAGCAGATGTTCGAAGGTTGCGCATACATAAGATGGTGTCCCCCATTGCGCCATAGCACAGTATGCCGTCTCGCCATACACAAATTCTTTATCGACGACCTTCTCAGGTGGCAGTCTTCGTTATCGTGTCTACAAATTTCAGATTATCTGTTGGCTCGCTCAAAACGGGTGGTGACATTGCAATGCATCATTTGAAGAGACCCGACAGAAGCATGACAAAACATGAGTTATAAAAAGGGTCCGACGATTGACAGGTATGACGACATGATCCGTATATAGAGCGCGCTGAGGGTTGTCATAAAGAAACAAATGGAGAGGGTTTTTCACTTTATCATCATTATTCATTTGTATTGATGGAAACCTTAAGAGGCCATTTGTCAGGTGTGAATCCGTTAATTTCACCTGTCTGTATTTTTGCGGAGCTCTCACTCAATTATCTTAAGACTCCTATTGACACCAAATTTAGGAAAGTAACCTTTTCAAGACGGAACACAAGAGTTTTGATATGACCGGAGTACATCAAAGATAATTTCAGTTATGGCACTTAGACCTGATACAAATTCAGACGAATATTTTGGTTGCAACCGGAAAAGGCCTCTGGGAAACAATTTTACGAGAGACAACCGACGTAGTGGTTCATAAGAGAGGAGCAGCTGCCTAATAATTCTTGTTCATATAAATTACTCTCATTTGAAACCTTTCAGAATCAGACTAAAGTCATTTACATTTTGACAACAGAACTGGTAGAATAGCCGAAGAGGTTTTCAAGCAGAAAAAGGTATAACACTGTGAAGCAAATCTTGATTTCTTGTTTGTCAGCAACATATATCTCCGTGTAAAAGAGATTATGAGCTAACACACAAAAAATGCACATTACACTTTTCAGAGTTAGGCATACAAAGGATCATATGATAAAGTCTTTCTGTCAGCGTCCTGCTAGAATATATTAGGCCTCTGTCGACACGGGAATATGCTCACTACGAAAATGCGGAGGGGGATTGTTGTAAGGCACGAATTCTGGCACTGGAGATTGGCGACAACAATATATGCGATGGAGATTATTTTTTGACGGCCAATATGGGTAAATAACAATTTGAGGACGGCTACTATTGTGTTCACCGTGGTTTTCTAACCGAGTTTGGATAAAAGCTCACGGTTTTTCTAGTCTGAGAACACAAAAAAGGGCATTTTGTTGAACTTGAAGGACATCATCGTTTACAAACATATAATCAAACATTATGCATGACCTACAATTTGAGCAAGAACTGAGATGACTCTAAACAATGATGAGTTACGAGGAAACATATCAAATTTCCGCTATAAACCTTCTGTCTAAACATTTTGAAGAGAACGCGACTATATTGCAACAATCAATCTTTTTTTTTAAACGTGTAAATGACTAGCGGCTAGATTGCCGTGAACGAAAAAAAAAGTTACACAAAACAACTTTCTATCTTGTTCTCTTTTTCTTCTGTTTCATACACGCTGATGTTTTCTAGAGGGAATTGAAGAACAGTGACAAGCGAGAATTTTAAAATAATTTAATTCACAGGTTTAAATACATTATTTGATGATTTCTTTCTCGAAAATATATATGGCAGGGTGTTTGTTATCGGCTAGAGCAGACGACGTTGCAAGGGACCCTGCAAGAATGAGAATGGCCAACGCACGAGAAGAGACCTTCTTTTTCTTGAGCAGATATCGCAGAGAACACTGTTAGGAATTACCCAGGTCCACAGTTGTCACTGAATCTGCAATTATGTCCGGTTGTTGCCGGTTTCACATCACCAACGACTCCTAAAAGTCGGACGGAACGCGTTCCGCTTCAAAAATCCAGCGAGGCGCCAAGTGACGCTGCTGGCGCGCAAGCGCTGGCGCGTTCCTCGTGCGGCGCGCGAAATGGCGGGTTCGTAGGTTTTTGGTTCAGTCTTTTAAGTTTTAACTAGGGTCGAGTGGTGAGCACCCTCGCGTCTCTTGTTTTGTTATTGTGCGGCGTGTTTATCCACGTTTTCGGAATAAAACGTCGTAATAATCGTGTGTTTTGTATTTTCCCGTCGCAATACGTGCTTGGAAGTGTGCTGTGATTTTATCACGCGCATTTTTCCAACTATTAATGCAGTCGCCACAAGGAGCTGCCTGTTACCATTGAACATACATGCAATACTTGTAAAAAAGGGTGACTCAGGTATTACGGTGTGAGGACCACAGGATCGAGCTTTCTTTCTCTCAAACTCACTCTAGAATTCTTTCTTCAACCTTCCGACCACAATCCTTCTTTCTGTCGTCCGTCTTACCTTTGGGTTTGAACCGTTTACACACTTCCGGAGTCGCCACGTCCTTCAGTCAGGTCTGAAAGTCGTCACGATCAGTGTCTAACCGAGGCAAATTTCTTTGCACTCGGCGGGGCTCGAACCTGCGGTCTTCGGATTGCTAAGCACAAGCTTAACCGCCTACACCACCCTGGCCACGCGGCTCAATCGCCCATAGGGTGTATATATAATGGCGACGGACGCCGTTGGGCGCTGTGGTGTCGGTGATATCTCGAGAACGGTTAGTGCTATCGAGAAGCATCCAATAGCAAAAATGATCAGAAAAATGTGCTCCGTTCATCTAAATACATATCAAAAATATTCAGAAGTCATTTGATGATTCAGATGACACCGAAAAAAATTGTCCAAAATATGACTCGATGTATAACAAATGAATGACAAAAACACGAAGATTGTATTTAACTTCCCTGTTTTGCATCCAAATGAATTCGGTTAAGTTTCTGAATGAACTTTTCAGTTTTTCTGCTGCACACATACTTTTAGTTGTTCTTACAGGTGCAGAAACAGTTTGGTAATGACATAGTTTCTTTGCACATGAATCTACAAATTATTTATGCTCTAGTTTGTGACTTTCTATCTGAAATATTATACTTTGTCTGTGAACTATGCAATCTGCGGAAGAGTGATTTGAGCACAAAAATGCAAAGAACGACATTCCGAATGATTTGAGTCATAGTTTCCTGCAAGAGTAAATGTTTTTCAGCCGAGGCTAGAATGCAAAGGTAAACAGTGATAACGCCCACACATTGCAGTTAGGTCTCAACACAAATAGAATACATGCTATTACTTGTCTCCGGGAGTCTGACACTGATCATTTTTAGGTTGGTCTATAACTCTCAAAGTTTCGTCAGGAAGTCCCTCGACAAGTCACGAAAGTTTGCATTGTTATCATACTGTGCTCGAAAGCATGTATGTCTCTCCGTTTATTACGATTTGTGCTCCAAAAAGTGTGCCGCGTGTCATACACTATCGCCGCCGCTCCAACATTTCTCTTTCAATTCATTTTATCATCTTGCATCAAATGGCAGTTATCATCGGCGCCCTGTTTGCCGTTTATAACACAGTTGAGCGCTCAACTGCTTTCCAAACCCTCCAATTTCACCCTCTTTTGTAACAATAAGCACAGAAAAATATTCATTACATTGCAGGTTGTACTTTCTGTTCGTTGTACCGAAAAGGAGCAAGGATGACGACAGTAAGCTCAAAAAAAAAGAGCGACAGTAAGCTCAAATTAGATGTTTTGCTGTAAATCAGATGGTGTTCAGGTCTGTTGGACGCAGTCTTTTCGGCTGTCACTCTTCCGACGGTTGGTCAGACTACCATTGTGGAGAGCCATCACGAAGAGTCCCATACGATTTTCCATTCGGTTAGTGATCCCTTTCCTGCGTGTCTTGAAACATTGCGAACAGTTCCGTTTCCATTTTTATCATCATTTTTAGGAATCTCATCATTCTGAGAGTCACCTTGAACATCTGGAGTATACCACTTCTGGGGTAAGCTCTTTATCAACGTCATTAAAACTGACTTGCACACCCATTTCCTTAATTTTTATCATGCTACCTTAATGTTGTTCTCTTATCACTCGGAACTGAAGACCGTTAGTTGCTCTTTGGTTGTGCATAAATCAAAAAAGTAATATCCGGTTGAACTAAAACGGAATGCAAAAGAGGAGTGAAAGTATTGTTATAGGTAACCGTCGGGAATGCTGTTGGGCAGGGAGTTGAAGGACACCGCCGTCAAACTGTTGACAGTGAAGACCAACGTTCGGAGGTGGCTACTTTGAATTCTTGAGAGGAGAAAGAAATATGAATAACGTTCAGGTGTCCGCACTGTCGAAGGCCACTTCTGTTTCGGTGCATTCGAGCGTTTCGCAAAAATCTGCCCAAGTATGAGTGCTACCAAATAAGCGAAATCATTATCAAACATGTTTCCAGCATTATGACCTGCCTCCGATTCCGCAATATGACTTGCCACCAATTACTGTGGGAGATGTGGTGGTTGGAAAAGCACCTTCTGTCGCTTCTACAAAGTCTGGGTAATACTGAAATGAGAAAAAATACTGTTTTCTTATAAATTTCCCAATTTAAGATCGCGTCACTCGGCTGTTTCGCACCATTCTCATCATTCGAACCACTCCCACCACTCCCATCATTCGGCTCGCACCCATGACAGTGAATCGACCATAACTGAAGGAACTCTTGTGAATGAGCCAATTGTGAGTAGCTGGTACAACTTTCAATGTCATGTTCTTATCGTATTCAGGTGGTTAAAGTAGTTGAGGCTGGATCCGAGTTTCCAACTCCCTTGGCTGTTGGTCAATCGTTTGAGCATGACTCTGTTCTAGAGCAATTCAAGAACTTGCATGGGAAGGTAGAAAAAAGCATCTTTGTAAAATTACAAACACTGTATACTTCAGGAACCGTCGGTCGTTTCTAGCATTGTTCCGGCTTCGGTCCATCTTCAAAGTGACAGCGAAGACTCGATCGCTCCGTCCAAGCTGACTCATTCCATCAACGTGGTAATTTGATCTTCACATGAAACAAGAAAGATATTTGAATGCCGATTTCAGGGAGGTGTTGTTGGCAATCAGACCGGACTTAATGTGTTGCACAGAAGTCACGATCTGGAGTACTCAGACTTCCACGCGCCGGAGTACTATCAGGCACCATCCGTCCAGGTGTGTTACAATCTTATCATCGCATGTAACATTAGTGCTGTTCCGTTTTAGAATGGATTTGATGCAAGAAGCGAGGACTCGTTCGGGTTTGAGAAGGTGGAGTACGTGGAAACTAATGAAAATCACCACGAGCCGGAGCAGCATGCCAAGCAAGTTGTTCATGAGCACGTTATTGAACAGCAAACAGCATACGAGCCGTATCATATCGTCCACGAGCTTCACAACGTCCCGTCGGTCGATTTCAATGAGGATCAGCATTCCACCCATGAGCACCACAACCATGACCACCAGCACCACCATGATTCCCATGTTACCCATACTTTCACTACCAATGTGAAACAGTCCCGTTCTAATTCTGCCTCTACCTACCAAAGTCGTCATATTTTTGCCCACACTGTTGGTCCCAAGATCACCGAGGAGTTGCGTCCGGCTGCTGTGATGGAAGAGGATGAGAGTTATGTGGAGCCGCCGATCATGGCATACGTGGCGCCGATTCCAGTAAAGCCCCCACGTACTCATGAAGAGAGCCACATCTATAATTCTTATGACACGGAGATTCACCACTCGAAGGTCGTCAAGTCGACTACTGTTGTCCAAGAGGATGTTCGCTCAGGAAGCGAAGGTACTTACGACCGAGCGGATAGCCCTCGATCACTTGAACTTATAGGAGTCAGCGCCCTTCGCTTGAAGTTCGAACACGGCGCTCCACCACCATTGGCTCCAGTTCTGGACGTGAAGAAGTATGAGCTCGAAGAGCATCATCACCATCACCATCACCATCATCACCATCATAAAGACGCTGTTATTGAGCATGTTCATACTCAGGTCGGCGATCACTTCATCACTTCTTCCTCCGTAGAGAATCCTTATGATGTACCTTTTGAATCTCGTGAAAAGTCCTCCACTTCCTCCCTCTCATCCTCTTCCCAGCAAGTCGATCATCATCATCATGTCTATGATACTCCAGTTATTGAAAACATCTCACACTCTCCGGCTTTCTACACTGACGACCAGCACCATCACTATGTTCCGCAAATTAAAGTGATAACGGAGTATCGGCATATAAACCCGCGTCACCATTACGTGGAAACACGTCTGAGGACGACCGATGGACACGAGATTGCACACAGTCCGCAAGTGCAATCGATAGATTATTTCAAGGAAATTGACAGAGTGCATCACTTCGTTCCGTCCACTCCAACTTCGCCACTGAAGGAAGTGCGCCAATCTTTCCATCAACACAACTACGTGCCGAACAGCTTGGAGACCAAGCGAGAGAGCCGCAGTGTTGAAAGATTACACCGCTATCTTCCAGAGCAACCTCTGAAAGTTCATGAACATCGATCCCTCATCAGAGAACACAATTATGTGCCTCTCGACAAACGTTCTCATTCCGTTGAGTCTAAGGATACGATTAATCATGAGCATCGGTACGTGCCGTTATCAACAAAGATCGAAGTCAAGAAGTTTGACGTAGGAAGAAACCACACCTACATCCCTCTTGGTGGCAACATCGAACCTACAAAGCAGGAAGTGCTCCGGGAACACCACTACGTCCCTCTTGTTGAGAAACAAGTGAAAACTGCCGCAGAAATCAATCAACGACACAATTTCCTGCCAGCTCATTCAAATGTTGCCACATCAGATAAAGTCCTGATAAACCGTGATCACAGTTTTCTGCCACTTGCAAACAAAATCGAGGAGGCGCCGCGTCATTCTAACGACCTAAGTCATCATCACTATCTGCCACTGCCAACGAAACGCAGCGAGGCGACTGCAATCGGCGATAAGGTTGGGCACGAACATCACTATTTCCCGTTGGCACTGAAAACTGAACAACCCACGGCGCAAACTGGCAAAGAGCACAACTACGTCCCTCCTGTCGCCAAATCTGCTGAGCACCGCGCTGTTCGTGTCGAGAGTCACCACCAGTACGTGCCTCTCGCTATGAAGTACGACGAGGCTCCGAAATTGCCACGAGAGCACAACTATATTCCGCTGACTACTCAGCCTGATTCTTATGAGAAGGTTCAATTGGAGAATCATCAATACCTTCCGCCTGTGACTCATGCTGAAAAGAAGGAAGTTGTCAAGCTCTACGAACATCGATATGTTCCTCTACCTCCGAAACAAGACAGTCACGTGGTGAGAAAGATTGAGGGCAAAGAACATCATTACGTCCCACTTGTACAGAATTATGCTGCTAAACCGCCACAGCTTCCACGCGAGCACCATTACTTCCCGCTTGCTGTCCGTGCCGAGGAGCAACATCAAAAAGCTACCCACGACCAACATCACTACATTCCGCCAGTCGAGCATCGTCATCAATCTAATGGGGCTGCCTTGGATCGGCAACATGGATATGTTCCAATTGTGAAGAAACACGGAGAATCAAGAGCAGTAACGCATCAGCATCAGTACGTACCGCCAGTTAAGAGATCTGAAGAATCGAACGGATATGACAGGACCCATCACTACGTGCCAGTTGGACGGAATGTGCATCAATCGTCAGGAACTCGTCACCAGGAGGATCATCACTATGTGCCGCAAGCCAGCCCAAGGAAGCATGTTTCGGAGGTGAATCGCTCTCACAATTACATTCCCGCCCTTCCACCTAAAGAGCACCAGTCCCGGCATGAGCAACATCATTCTCATACTTATCTGCCCTCTACCCAAAAACCTGTCACCCATCAGTCACCTCCCAAGCTCACCAACCACTCATATGTCCCTCAGATTCCTCGAAAATCCAAGGACTCGCAGTTGATTCACGAGCACGGCTACCTCCCACCTGTGAAGCAATCGGAGTCCAGGAACGCTGCTGCCGATCATACCAAGCATGGATTTGTTCCTTCTGTTCCTTATTCGGAGACCAGAGCCACCGTCGACCACGCCAAGCATGCTTATTTGCCATCCGTCAAGAAATCCGAGCATCAGGATCATGTCGATCACTCGAAGCATGAGTATCTTCCATCCGTTCCAGCGCAGAAACAGGATGGGCAGTCTGCTGATCACTCGAAGCACGGATATGTTCCTCCAGCCAAGAAATCCAATAACGATTTCTGGGGATTCGAGAGAGAACATCACTATGTTCCTGAAACTTTGAAGAAGGACAAGATCAAGCAAATCCACCGGGATCATCATTTCGTACCCTCAGTGGATACGACCAAAACTGCCGATAAGGTTGAATTGAGTGATCATCACTACGTCCCATCAATCAAGAAAACCACTGGTATCACTTCCGAGATTGACCATCGTCACAACTACGTTCAAAAGCTTCCGGAGAAGCAATCGGTCCAACATCATGCCGTCAACCATCATTATGTTCCGTCAGTTCCAAAATCCGATCATAAGAACCATACGTCTCTGGAGAAACATAACTACGTTCCAACTTTGCCGAAAACTTCCCGTGCCCAGAAAGCTGATATTCGTCACCACAACTATCTACCAACAATCGTGAAGCAGGAGGAGCATCGGGACCACTTCGATCAGCATCATTATGTGCCTCAGATCCAGAAGCAAATCGACGTCAAACTGGCTGATTATGAGAAACATCACTATGTGCCTACTGTTTCTCAGAAGGACATTGCTGGCCACGTTGAGCGCGAGCACAAGTATACGCCTAACGTTATCAGGAAAGATGATGCTAAAGTGCTGGACACATCAAAACACCACTTTGTTCCTTCCAATCAAGTGGTGAGAAGCACGCACGACGACGTGGACACTCATCACGGATATCTTCCTCATGTGCCGAGAAAGGAAGTGTCTGCTCAGGTACCGTTGGACCACCATTTCGTCCCGAAAGTTACACCAAAAGAGGTCTCTCCGGATTACGAGCATCATCATCAATACGTGCCGCAAGTTCCGCAGAAAGAAATCTCTCCGGATTACGATCATCATCATCAATACGTGCCGCAAGTTCCGCAGAAAGAAATCTCTCCGGATTACGATCATCATCATCAATACGTGCCGCAAGTTCCGCAAAAAGAAATCTCTCCTGATTACGATCATCATCATCAATACGTGCCGCAAGTTCCGCAGAAAGAAATCTCTCCGGATTACGATCATCATCATCACTACGTTCCGTCTGTTAAACAGAAGCAACAAACGACTGCGTTCGATTCCCGTCATCACTACATTCCGTCAGTTCAGGAAAAAGCCAATTCTCCGAGATACGACAATGAACATCAGTACGTCCCTGCGCCCGTCAAGAACACCAGTTCAACTACCGATCAGATCCGCGAGCAGAGGAAGAAAATTCTTAGAAGCAAGGAAGAGATCTTCGACCAAGAGAACCAAGGTGAGCAGTATCGATCCTCTGTTCACACCACTACAAAGACGTTGAAAACCTCGAATGCTGTTCTTAAAACAAGCCGAAGCCCGTCATTGGCTCCTGAAGTCAACCACACCACCACCGTCTACACCAATTCCAGTTTGAAGCAGTACAAGACTATTCCCGACGAACCACCCATGTACATGCTGAAGAACCGCAAATCTCGTCATTATGAAGGATCTTCTATCCCCGAGGAACCCCGCTTCCCGGAAGAACCCCGCATCCCGGTCCCAAAACCTCGTTCCTTCACTTCTCCCCATCCTGACTATTAGTTTTTCTCATGATTTTCTTTCAAGTTATCCATTCTAATTGTAGTTTTTATATGTTTCTAATTTTACATCTTTCATCTTCTTATGTTTTCCCTTCATATTTCCCATTCCTCACCCAACGCATGGTAATCTGATTAGGTACAACTATTCAGGATATAATTTTCAAACGGAACTGATTCCAGAAATTGAGTGATCATGTGCAGCTTGGCGGATCCAGAAAATCGACTATCCAAAGTGAGCACCATCGTCACCACGAGAAGCATAACAATGTTCCTTCGAGACCATCCAGCGTTGCTAGCACTATCAAGGTATTGTCAGAAGTAAAGACTCTCAATCATATTAAAAAAAATAAACATCTTCAGCATCAACCGCGTTCTCGTACCTCGACGGTGAGCACTATCCGTACAACTCCTGTTCAGCGTAAGGGTGACAGTCCAATACAATTTGAAAGTTAGATGTTCAGGTGTGGAGCCAACTTTCCAGCACGTGGCCTACAACCCGTACGGAGACCACCAGTCTGTTCGTGTTGTCAAGAACGTTCGCGAATTCGTCCACGTGTTCGGAGCCACTCACGTCGTTCCACCACCAACTCCACTGGCCGGAGTTCCACGTCTTCCACACTCTCCACGCAGCCCAATCTCGCAAGAGACTTTCTATCCGGCTGCTGTGAACCACCCGGAGAAGTCGTCTCGCAAGAACACGGTTGTTGAAATTGGAAATGGTGTTCAGATTAACAACGTTAGCTTCATGTTTCAAATTCGCTCCATAAACATGAACTATTGCAGGCATCGCGCAAGTCCATCGTTTCTACCATCCAAACTCCAATCCTTGTTGGAGGAAATGTTGTGGTTCCGGTGAGGATATTTAGTTATTCAGCGCTCTAGAACTAATTTCGTTTTGCAGAGATCCCGTCAGTCTACCATCACCAAGGACAACGTTCATGACGTAAGAGCAATACACTTGTATCCTAAAAGCAATTATATTTCTTCAGAACTACGACGCTGAAATTACCGAATTGATTTGCGTGGCCGAAATGCGCAGACGTTTTGAGAACTATGGACCATCTCACCTTCCGGAGTACGCCTCTGCTCCATCTGCTTACATTCACTAAATTCAATCGGATTCCTGTTTACCGTTCCCTTTTTTTTGTCCATTAGTCACTGTAGTCCTTTTTTCTGTGTAACTTTACTTCTTGTTCATTTTTTTATTAAATCACTTTCTGTATTTAATCTGGGATAGTTGGGTTTTTTACGACAATAAATATATTTTCTCATTTCCGGAAAATGACGAATTTTGCGAATAATTACGAGCAGTGCATCATTGGATTTCCGTGCGTTTACTGCCTCCCATCGGAGCTCTTCCGCCTCTCGTCTCGCCCCATAAAAAGTGTCGTGCAGCGGGCCACTCTCCTCATTCTCGTATCGATTTTCTCTACTCTTTCACAAACGGATGCGCTCGTCATTTTAATGAAGGAGAATAAGGACTGCGAGATACTCGAGCTCAAAAAACAAGTACGTTTTCTTCCTTCGCCTGACCATTGTATTGCTCTTGTTCAGGTTCTCGCTCTCCAACAGAAATGTAATGCGAAAAACGAGACTATTGTCAGGTTGGGCCAGGATTTAGAATCATCTGACAATGAGAAAAAAGAACTCAAAGCGAGAGTTGGAACATTGGAACGAAACTTGGAACGATCGGAAAGAGAATTACAGCTTGTTTGTGCGGTCAGTCTTTTTTCGGCGTACGTTTTCAATGAAAATATGTTTTCTAGTGCCAAAATGACATGAAAATCAAGTTCGGACAAGAACGGCAAGACTTGATGGAAGATATCAATAAATTCAGAAAAGAAAACCAACGTTTGCAAACTGATCGCAAAGAGCTAATGGATGAAAAGTCGGATTTGAAAAAAGACTGTAAAACTTTCCGTCAAACTATTGCGCAATACGAGGTACCAAGTTTGTACGCTAATTTTTTCTATACGAACAGTAAATTTCAGGTGGAGAAAATGGGAGGCACAATAAAGAGTAGTTTTTCGAACGACGAAGACGAGATTCAGAAACTGGGTGTTCACGAAAAGTTGCAATCTCGGGTATGCTCACTTAGTTTTCAATTTTTTTCTCTCAAATATTGTCTTTGCAGTGCAAGGAGCTTGAATCAGATCTGCGTTCTCTTCTCGGAATCAAAGAGGAACTTTTGCTCGAACGAGATGAAATGCAACGAAAAGTGGCGAGATTGAGCAATGAGCTCAGTTACTTGCTGAATGGAGATCCTCGTCGAGTAAGGGTTACCTGGAATTATAATTAACTAGTACTTTGAGGTGGCCGAAGATTTGGACAGTTTGTGTGCCGAAAATCGGTTTTTGAAAGCAAAACTGAATACGGCGGAAGAAGAGAGCGAGTCCATAAAAATGACGCTGGCCAAGTACAAGCAAATGGCCGAATCTGTAAATATCCAGGTATATCCCTGTTCTTATTTTTTTTCTTGACTTCCTGTTTCAGTCATGTCCGAGTCGGTCTCCAAAAGCCGGTGAAAGCGAAGAGGCGCCAAGTGTGGCAGTCATTAACATGAAACAAAGTGAGTTCCGTTTCGCCCGATGTACTTTGCACCATTTCATTTCAGTTCGTGAGTTGCTGGCTTCTCATGCAATCGAACTGGATGAGTCCGATTACCGAGCGATAACGACTATTTTGCTGGACTTGTGCAACGATAAGCAAATGGCGTTGGCACATTCCCGTCGTGCAAACAAGTCAGCGTTGCCTTTCAATGTCACCGAAATAACTTTTTCGTTTAGGGTTTTGGGAATGCGACTACATGAGGTTGAATCGAAATTGGCAGTTTTGGATGTAAAGTCGAGAAGTTCAAGTCCAAGACATGACGCTGACGTGGAGTTGGTTGTTCCGGAAATGACGAAATAAGAATTGGGAACGACAAAACATTTATTTATTTACATACAAAACAACTATGAAACAAATGTTGAATTTAAATTAAATTTATCGTGAGAATCGTTATGTTCGTAATAGCGGGCAGGGTGTGGCGAGTAGTACGTCTTGTGTCCTGAATTTGTAAGATAATGTACTATTGTTAAAATTGTGAAATTTCGCAACCTCCTCCAAATTTCACAAGCTTTCAAATTAAAGTAGCACGTATTTCGATAAATGTTTCCATGCTGATCACACGTCACCGAAAGCTCATCAGTGCATCCGGAAGGACAGCATTTCCCTGCATAGATATTGAACTTATGATTATGATGTTTTTAATAGAAAAAATTACCTTGATAATCCAAGTTCAACGTGTTATTCAGAGAATGTATCTTGTCAAATATACACTTTGAATTATGAAAATGACACAACGAATCGTGAGTTCTTCCCATTGAGTCACAAACAGGTTGACCCGTTTTCGGACACGATGCAAGAGCACAGCATTCACCTGCAAAAATGGTTTGTGTCTCATGCCTAACCGATCCGTGACTACCTGTGTGCACAATATTCAGCGTTTTTTTAGTGATTCTTTGTGCGATGCATCTTTTCTGCTGGTACAAACAGTGATTCGAGTGAGTTTGACCCTCCGCGTCGCAGACTGGCCCGGAAGTTTCACATTCCCCTTTTGGAAGTATACAACATTCTCCGGGGTACACAATGTTTAAGGTCTTGTTCACCCGCTCAGCCTCGCATTGTGCGATTCTGAAGAAAATGAATCATGGACCGGAAACTGAAAATGCCAGAATACCTAAATTGGCAAGTATTGGAATGAGTTGTGGTTCCATCACAGACGGGAGCAATCTCTTCTTCGCAAGGCTGATAGCAACATTGACCCTGAAAAATGAACGAATATGAATGGGAACGTTTTTTAATAGAACATTTGCTCACTTGATATGCAACTTGGACAGTTTTTCCATATTTCTTGAGCTGTATGCATGCATTTCGGTTCATCAGACACTCATTCGCATGCGTGACTCCTTCAGTGTCACAAATTGGAGAAAACGCGGCGAAATCACAGTTGTCAGTGCGACAACATTCACCTGAACACAAAATAAAACAAAATCAGGATATCATCCAAGGCTCACCGTCGTAATCTTTCATAAGCACCTCCCCAACTGTTACATTATGCTCTACAAAACATCGAATTTTGTTCAATTCACATTCATTTATGATGTTCTGTCCGTTTGATGCACAAACTGGCGAATACTCTTTCGGGCACTGCACATTGCATTCCTTTACTTCATTGCAAATTTCAAACTTCTCAATAGTAAGAACATCTCCAAACGTTCTCTCAGCAATGCATCGCTTGATTCCGAAATGGCAAATATTCTGAAAATGCAATATAGGTCCGAGAACACCAAGAAGAAACGCTTGCCTGATGAGTGTAATTCTTACTGTCACAAACTGGACTGAAATCCAGAGGGCAACTTGTATCGCAGCACATACCGGTATATGCGACTTCGACGGTCGAGCTGAAAAGAAAGCAGTTTCTGAAAATGATTCTAAAAAATAGACCAACTTTGGGTTATCACAAATTTCTTTCTGAAGTGAACATGCATTGGTGTATGTGATTCCATTGGTTCCACACAATGGATCGTACGCGTTGTCGCAGTCCATTGAGCAGTTAAACGAGTTTTCCCGCTTGAATTCGATACTTGGCTTGTCAAAGTGTTCGCTGTTCGAGAAATCGTCAGTGAGCATGTCTCTGAAGGAAAACTGTCAGCAAAAGTTTTAGATAAAATCCACTAACTTTTCACAAACGCTCCTTGAAACTATCACTAGTTTAGGTTGATCCAGTTTTCTCAGTTTACAATTCTCGACATTCATTTCGCATTCCGACAAAAAAGTGACTCCGTTGTCCGCGCATACTGGTTCTGGTTTTTCCGCATCGCAAGATTCCACTGGAGGGCAACATGCACCAATCTGCATTTTCAACCACCTTTTATGAAAGGACGTGACACAAATAAACTAACGTATTCAACAGTTAGATTGACTCCATAACCTTTCTCAAATATGCAAGACAACATTTGGTATTCACAAAGTGATTTCGTTGATTGGTCTTCCAGACAGACGAAGGACTCATCAGGCGCATTTTCAGCTGGTAGAGCACAAGGCGAGTCCAGACATTCGTTGCACTTTCCTGAACGATCAAAATATTTAGAAAACATACTTTTTTGCCTGAAAACCTTTGAAAAGAACTTCGAGTTCTGGATCCAAGCACTTTTGTTTGCGGAAATGGCATAGATTATCGTAAGTAGAGAAATCGGACGCGCATATTGGGTGTTTGTCATCTGTGCAGGGCATTTGGCAGGCCTCTTTCGAAACGCAATTCTCTTCCGTGGCTATGTGTATCTGGTGCCCTCTGCTGGCTGCTAAGCAACGCGAATACGTGAATTCGCAGAGGTTTCTGAACATTTCCCGTTTGCTGATGTGTTTGGTGCAGAGGAGCCTACCCGTGCAGATTTCCCGCGGAGTCGCACACTGGCTGTCCGTCCGTTGGGCAAGTCGGCTGCGGGCAGTCGAAATAAGCGACTTCTGACAAAGTGGTGGTTTCTCGCAACGCCGTCGTTAGTTCTGGCGAAATTGTGGGTGTTGGAACCGAAGAAGAAGTCGTGATTGGTGACTCTGTGCTAGTACTTTTCTGAACACAAAAAGTTACATTTGGTTTGTCGAAAACAAATGCGAACCATGACTCTTTCAAAAGCACTGACAATGAACGTTGTTTTTTCGGATGGCACAGTGGGTCTCGAAGCGACTGGGGTCACTGTAGTTGAGGTGGAAGTTTTCGTCGTTTTTATCTCGATGCTGGATACGGTAGCCCTCATCTCAACGTTTTCCACAGCGTTATCTACTTTCCGATTCTTCACACATGGCCGTAAATATCTCAAGTAAGGAGATCGGATCCCTAGCTGCAAAAGCCTCACATTCAGAGGCTAAAAGCCGTAAGATCATTTTCTGCAAACCTTTCGCATGTTGCAATTGTACTGTTGGAAGTGGCATAGGTTTTGATGAGTGTTATTGGCTTCATCACAAACTGGCTTCACGTCACGGCTGCACGTCCTTGGGCAAATCTCCTCCTGAAGTGAGTAAAAATTAGCACGCTGCGAGAATAAACGATTTTTGAGGGAAAGTACCCTCAGATGAAACTGTGGACTTCGGTCGTGGCATGATTTGATATGAACGAGCACTCTTTCTTCTTCATTCCGGTTCCGAGCCTCACAGTTGAATTGAATAAATGTACAAAGATTCAAATGAGTCTAAAAAACACGTAAAGACTGTGTTTGAGCAAGAAATATCACCATGTTTCTGTTGTCACACACCGGAATACGTTTTTCATCTTTCGGACACGAAATACAAACACTTTTCCTCTGAAATCTGGAACTTTATTGAGAAGCACACAATATTCTTACAGATTTACAAGCTCCTGTGTGAGCAATATCTATGACACTTCCATCGATCTTATTAATCTGCAACACGTTGTCGTCTAATACTTGTCGTTTCACATTTCAGGCATATTTTGTACCTTGCAAGCAAAAAACTTGAACTGGCAAACGTTTTTGTGAGTCCTGTTCCTCGTATCGCATACCGGGTCCCATGATTTATCGCATTCGGTTATACTACACACGCGATTAAGATCGTTCCTCTGAAAAAGGAATTTCAAGGTTTGTTTTCATAACTTCAAATTCTTCGCATTTTTTGTGACCCAAACTTCCTCTTCTTTTGTCATGCCCAAAAAATACAAGGCCTTTCTCTCTGTCAAGTTGGTCTTGCTTAGAAAAAAGTGAATGCAGTGAGCGTAGATAAAATCTTGGTCGTTTTTTGAGTAATCGCCGAGATGGTATCTGGCTGGTGCAGCTACCACGCCGATTTTCTCGCTTGCTAGGTAAACTAACCGAGATCGCCGAAAAGTTATCATGAAAAGACTGCTTCGAAGTTTTGGCAGTTATTCTCGTTACAAATCCTTCTTCGACAGGCTTTTCAGTGCTACTTTTCACAATTTCCGGTGTTGTACTTTCCGAAGCAGTTGCGGGAACTTCCGCATACGGCTCTTCTGCGTAGGATGAGTACGATTCCACACCAGCGAGTTTGAATCGTCGAGTTTCTGAACAAAAACCAAAAGAATTGCGAAACACAGCTGCGTTCCGCACATTCCACCGCCTACCTCGATCCCTTAAACAGAATTTGCTATCCTCGGCTAGTTGAATTCTCTGATTCTCTAATTGTAATTCGCATCGACGCATTTGGAACCTTGAAACAGAACATGTTTATCAGACGCTGATCAGAAACTTCACTCACACACAGAGGTTTCTGTAAACAGAACTGTTTGTATCACACACCGGATCGAATTCGGTGTTTGTGCAGTTAAAGTCACATTCTTTGCCGGTACAGGGTCCGTCATGAAGTTTTCTTAGCAAAAGATCCATGCTCTTTTGCATAATACACTGGAAACGTTCGAAATGACAATCATTGATATGAGTTTTACCTGCAAAAGAGTTTCCATGACCTACAGTATCTCGTAGCAAAAAGCACTCACCAAAATTATCGCAAAGCGGTGTTCCCACATTCTCACACTCCTTCTGATCGCAACAAGTCCCATTGTAAAAAAAGAGAAGATCTATAAAAACAAGCAATTACCCTGAAGTGACCCTTTCAAGGTAGTACCTCGTTTGGTTAGCTGAACACATCGCAAGAAGCACAGATTGTCGTAGGTAATGTTGTCGGTTCCGCAAACAGGACGTATCACACTTGGACAGTCACAGTCTGCCGCAGATCCTGCCAAATGAACGTGGAAATTTGCATTTTTATTCATAAACATCATATCTCTCATTCATCACATTACTCTGGCCATTAGCCTGAAGACATCCGGGTGTCTTGTTCACACTTGTTCCATCATCCCGCCATCTCTATCACACATGACCAGTCCGAGGGGTTTTTGATGGCCTACACTTATTTAAAATAACCTTCAGAAGGCAGAAGTAAGTTGATGGAAATGGATGTGAATCTCCGAATTGAGGAAGTGTGCGCCCGATTTTCGGTCGCTAGTAAAATATATACCTTTTCTACGGCTGCTGTCGTTCTCATGTTGGTCACACCTGCCGTAAATGAAGAAGAATAGTAGGAGGAATAGGATTTGGAAAAACGCGTTTCTACGGATCAGCATGATCATCGATGGTGTTCAGCATAGAGAGAAGTAGGTGATAAGCGATAAGATTGAGGGAAATGGAGGTGGGAGCGGAAGGAGACGGTTCGACTGCTTTAGGGATTCCGTAGACTTTGCAACCACGACGTGAGGGGGCAACTGGGGAATGCGTGCGTCGCCACTGGAGGCCGTCAACTTGCGAAAAGGCAAGTTCTCTTCACTCATCGTCATATCGTCAGTAACTCCTCCCCTCGTTTTTTTTTCGGTCTTCCGTCGAGAAATGTGAGGCTGACGGACGCGTAAAAGGGAAAGGATGGGGCGAGCTTTCGCTGAGATCGGATCGAACAGCTGATTTATTGAATTTACACTTTTAGTCTTTTCACCGCCCCAAACTGAAACAAGAAATTCGAAGACATTGGCTCTATCTGAGTAATCAGGTTCCAAAGGCAGAATCCAGGTCCAGGTATTTCATTCAAAACTGTTATTCACATCCGCCAATTGACAAAAAACGGTTTGTCAGTGTATGCACATTCGAACACTTCTTTTGCAAAATTAGATAGCCAAACTGAAATCCAATACACATTCATGTCCCGTCAATAATAACTTTTGTTACAGAGACATGCTAGAAGACGGGCAAGCGGGTTTTATGGAATAGCTCAATCCGGAAGACAACCTGGTCGAGATGATCAACGAAGTCAAGTGCGGATACCCTGTGCCGGAGACAATTGAAGCAACAACGGGAATTACATCTGAGTACATATAACATATTTTTAAGAATTTTTTTGTTCACTTTTTTGTGTTGTCCATGTTCATGACTTAAAACTCTCTGTCGGAGTTCTCTTCTTCGGATCCTGCCTATTCTTGATGTTTGGGACCTGTATATTCGTGAAACCTGTTTATTATTATAGGTAAGTCGGTCTTGGGTTCTGATGTTTATTTTGGGAACTGGATCCTGCCTTTGTGAGGGGACTACTCAGATAGAGCCAATGTCTTCTAATTCCCCCTTCTTTACAGATCTGAGTTCAGAGACAACAACATCTGCCGATGCCTCTTTCTAGAATTCGACCACACCCATGTTCGGAAAGTGATTTGGAAATGCGACGGCGTGGCGGCATGTGCAGGCGTCACTGATAACCATATTAGTTCTAAAGGCAACGACAAAAGTGTGGCAATGTCGGGGCAAATATCAAAATTGGCTTATCAAACAATAAAAATTTTCACGGTCTAACATTTATGATAGGACAGTTTCAGTTCGCTGCTGCCCGCTCGTCACTGCACTCAATGCGGCTCTTACCGGCTCTTCTACTTTTGGTAACCACCATCGCTGCTGCCCCCAATCATCATGGTAACTGGAACAATAACTGAAAGCAGGATCTAACAGTTTTGGTTACAGAAGTCGTCTCAGCCTTTCATAACTTGCCAAACTTCTATCCAGAACTGAAACACTCCGAAGCCATCCACGTCAGAGCAAAACGCGCGGTGTTCGCTGCTCTCGGAATTGCAAACACCTGCGAAGATGGATGGACAGGAGACGGATGTAAAAACCCGGTGTGTGCGGATCCTCGTCCAACTCCTGTGTCCGGTCAGACTGCTCTTATCGAACTTCTGTTCCTTCAAGGAAGTTGCGGTGGATCGTAAGCGCTAATTAATTTAGTTAAATAAGATTGAGTATTTAGGTACTACATTCCGGTGGATTCTGACAGCAACAAGGCTTCCCAAACCATTCAAATCCACGTGTCGGCTGCTGGAGTCCCGTACGTCAACCTGACTGATGCCAGAGGAAACCTCTACTCTGCATCGTACACTTCGAATGGAGACGGATATGCTCTGTCCGTGTTCCAAGACCTTCCATCTGGAGGCTACTCCCTGTCCATTGACAACCAGAATGTTCCAACCACCGAATGTATCATCGAAGTGAACGTAAGCACATTTTTGCACATTCGCCACAGTTTTAGTCACATTTGTCACAGTCTAACACCTCGAATTTTGCTCTGCTCTTAACGTCGTAACAAGATCAAAAACTGATAACCGTCATTTTGCACTGCTTGCCTACATTTTATTAGTTCTTCATATCGAAAGGCATGTTGAAATGGGAATGAAAACGTGGAATTGAGAAAGACGAGCTCGTAAAAACGTTTCGATCATGAAACCTTGCATGAATGAGTCAATGTTGAAATGAAACTGTCACGTTACAGAGTGATACTGTTCTGAAAGTTTCCGAAGGATTCGTGAACTCACCCCAGTCGGATGACACTCCGTACGGAGAATCTGCTGTCGATGGAGTTCCGATGTATGTGGTGACTCATATCGAGAGTGAGAGAGCCCCAGCCCGTAAGAACGCTTAGGATAATCGTTTTTACGTTAATTTTGTTCAGAAGTTCATTCGATCACTATCCGCCAAGGAAATTCTCTGACTCCAGTCTACAGAGCAGCCCTCACTAGAAGGTTAGTGAAACGGACATTTCTGATAATCCTCTTACCAATTCTTATCTCTTATCAGTTCACATTTTGCAGATACCAATGCGGCTACGAATATTATGCTGGACAGTGGCAATGTCAACTTGGAAACTCGTACTATTACCATGTAAGCAAGTCATGTTTGAGAAAAAATAGACAGAGAAGTTCAGGTCGATGGAATTGACTCAAATGGATTCAACTTTAGAAGAACTGGAAGATTCTCTTGCATGCGTACGTGAAACTTGTCAGAACTATACTTTGAGAACTACTATTTTTTAAGAACACCTCACCTCCCCGAATCCGCCAACCACAACTGCCGCTCCTTTGACTAGTTGCTACAACAACGGAACTCTTTTGAATGTGGTCAACCAGGGAGCGACTTGCTTCTGTCCTGAGCTGTTCACCGGAAGACAGTGCGAGAAGGTCAACTGTATGAACGCTGGATTCCCGGATCCGGATGGAAATGAATGTGTCTGTGCTGCCGGATACCACGGAACTAACTGCCAGGACGTGACTTGCCCGTTGAACTGGGAGCCATACCTCACTGATTACAAGACTCTTGTCGTTATCATTCGTAATACCAATTCCATGAACAACAATCTTAATGCCATCTCGCAAGCCATCTACAAGGAGGTAAACTTGAACCGATTTGGTAGTGTCTAACATAGTTTTTAGCTCACAAGCAACGAAATCAACAGCTACGAGGTCTACAAGGGATTCGTTCTTGTCAAGTTCGGAAACGGTGTCTACACCAACACCTACTACCCGTCCTATGACCAAAACAAGTTCCTCACCGACATCAACACAGCAGCTACAGCTGACGGACAGTGTTCTGATGCTACTTTTGACTCCATTGCAAGTGTTTTCACTGAGGTCGCAATCTATCAAAAGTCTCCAATCTACCTGTTCACTGACGCGATTGCTTCTGACGTTGAGAAGTGGCAGACTGTTATTGAGATGAACACTCGTCAGAAGTACCCGGTAAAAGAAATATAACACAGCGGCAGTTGGAAAGGGAACTTACAGATCTACACCCATTTCTTCGTTCAAAACAACTGCGCATTCGATGAAATGAACGATGGATTCCAGGCGATTGAATACGCTTCTTATTACAGTGGTGGACTCATTCTCAGACCAACAACTGACTCTCTCCTACAAGTGAGAACAAAGCGGAAAATTTTATTAAGTCAAGTGTTTTTAGATTTTCCAAAACGTCATCAAGGCTACTGCTTACAAGATGAACTCTGTTCTCATCGATGACCTCAGCATTTGCTCCACTCCCACCAGAGTCTTCTTCGTTGACTCCTCAACTACCGAGCTCATGATTCTTGCCATTGGACAGTCCCTGACCGTCTCTGTGACTGATCCTAACGGACAAACGAACACTGCTTTGCAAATCGTTAACAGTGGAACTACCCAACTCTACGAGATTGCTAACCCAGTTGTCGGAGAGCACTTGATCACTGTTGTTTCCTCTGATGTTAGCGTCAAGCGACAAAACGCCAAAATAAAATTAGTGAATTACAGAAGAACACTCCATGCTCATACCGTGTTCAAGCCCGCTCCGAGTACGATCTGTTCATTGGAACCAGTTCTGGAGTCAACGACGATGCCAGTGACTCCGAGCCGGTCTTCGGACAATCCGCTCACATTGTTGCCCAACTCACTGGACTTAGAAACAATGTCGCCGATCCGTTCCGTCTTTTCTCCGAAGTCTCTGTGACCAGCAACGTAAACACTGACAACACCTACCAGAAGCCGATGTACTACTCGAGCGGAAAGTACCGTGATGGATGTGGTTTCCACTTGTACTTTGGGGCTGCGGACTTCTGTGACTTCACGTCTCAACCATTCTACGCCACCGTTTATGCTGACGACGGAAGAGGTTTCACCATTCAGAGAACGACCACCGGATTCTGTTCTGGAGGTGAGAACTGGAAAGGGTCGGACGACAGATTGGAAAAGCATTTCTTCAGCGCCAACAACTCCATTGCCTCCAAACACTTGCGTGAACGGCGGAGTGGCCGACCCTAATAATAATGCGACCTGCATTTGCCCGCCAGGATTTGACGGTAGATAGTGAGTTTGAGAACACCATTAAAATGATTGACATTCATTTGAAATCGTTTAGCTGCGAGAATATTCAGTGCGTGAATGGAGGAACACCAAGAGGAGGACAGTGTGTTTGCCCAGTCGGAACTGCTGGAACGTTCTGCGAACAATGTACGATATTACTTGAAAGTTGGAATCTGAGGGGTTTACTTTTCAGACATGTGCACCACCTTCAACAACAACCCAGATGTCTCTTTCGACGGACAGTCGATTGCGTTTGTCATTTCTGCCAGATCTACCATGCAGAGTGCCGTTCAAAAGATTGCTGACAACGTGCAAACTATGACCAGAGATATGCAACAAGCATCGGACAAGTGGATCAACAAATGGATTTTGATTGCGGCCAACTCCAACAGTAAGCGCTCATCTGAAAATTTGGAATTCATCCATTATTTCAGCATCTTTCCTGCTTGTTAACTCCAACAAGGCGTACGATTTTGTGCAAGGAGTCATCGATTTCAATGGAAACTTCACTAACTACGCTGCTGACGAGACTTCTTGCCAGATCCAGATCGAGCAGGCCATGCTCGGAGCCGCTCTCCTGTCTGAGAGACGTTCTTCCGTCTGGGTGTTCGCCGATTCCGATGGACCAAATGACGCTTCTTACATTCAACTGTACGACACTGCTCAGGAATACCAGATCTCGCTCAACCTTGTGGGAGTTGGATCTTCCATCTGCACTTCTGCTGAGAACAACGGACAGTTCCCGTATTATCTCAAAAGTTTGACGGAAATTACTCTCGGAGAGATTTACATGACTGACAAACTGGACCAAATTTTGCTTTTCATCATCAGCTTGTACAAGTCGGCGGTTTCCCACAGATACTACATCCCAGACTGTACCCAGGCTACTTCTTATTACATGCCAGTCGATGGATGGACTCAGTCCTTGACTCTTTCTGTCACTGGAACTGACCTTTACAATGTGGAAGTCATGTTCCCAGACGGTACCAAGGGACAAAATTCTGACTACGAATTGGTAGCTATCAATGATCCTGAGCTCAAACTCAATCAATACGTTGCTGGTATTGTAATAAAAGTAACATAGAGTCTTGAAACTGTCCTTTTTCAGCTTGTGAGGGACAGTTCTGGAATCACCGACAACAGAATTGCTTCGAGTTTCAGTCAGACAAGTACTCCTGGCTCGACACTTGGGATATCTGTCACGCCCAGAAGGCTTACTTGTTGCACATTGACAACGACGATACCAACAACTACGTCTATAGTACGCTCAGGTTGACTGTTTTCAAAAAAAAACTCGTAAATTACAGCCAACATTCGTGGATACCGTGTCTGGATCGGACTTGCGTTCAACAACGGACAATGGTATTGGGATGTTCCAGACACCAATGTTGCACAGCCACTGGTACTTATTTTTAGTTTCTTTTCATTTGGACCTTGCTCAATTTTAGACTGGCTACACTAACTGGGCCGATGGAGTTGATCCGACTAACCCAGCTTTCAATCACGCCGTCATGAACGCTAACGGAAAATGGGAGCCTGCTGATCCATCCGAGCAGAACTTTGCCGCTTGCATGAAACACAGATACGGACAAGGATACTATCCAGGAGAGAGCGTCAGTATGTAAAATCTTCGATAGGCTAGTTTTGAGATTGCTTTTGTAGACATTGTACCAGCCGGACTCTGGAAGGTCACCGTTCAATCGAACAGTGGAAGCTGTGAGATTCAAGCCCGTTCTCAATCCGATATCCAAGTGTTCTTCGGATTTGTGACCAACCCACGCAGTGATACTCCAAACAACTATGCTAACATCAACTCCAGTGAGTGACATCTGGAATCTACAATCGACAAAGTCTGTTTCTTTCAGACACCAACTACCTCATCGCTTATCCAACTGGAGTGGACCCGTACACCCCTGATACCAAGCCATCTATGGAAGGAAAGTTGAACTACGCCGTTCTGATCAGCAACAGAACCATCACCGCCTCTTTGCCACTCGGAAACCGCGTGTGTACCTATGCAACCATTTCGTCTCCATTCTCGTGCCCTGACAACGATGGATCTATCTCTGATCTGGGAATCAAGGTTTGGACTGTGAAATCTTAAATAGATCGACTTGATCTTTTATTTTCCAGTTTACTGGTATTGACCAGTACGGCTATGCGTTCGAGCGCTACGCCGACGCTCTCTGTACCAAGACTGTCACCAACTGCGCCAACGGAGGATTCATCGACAACGGAGTTTGCATCTGCAGAGCCGGATGGGTTGGAACGACGTGCAGCACTCCAGTCTGCCAGAACGGAGGAATCGAGAAGAACGGAGCCTGCGATTGTTCTTCCGTTCCGCAGTTCACTGGACAGTTCTGCGAGCTGGGTACTCATATCAACTGTGAGAACATACTTTGATATTTGTTTCAGCTCACTGTGAACCACCATACCCAACTACTTTCAACGATAAGGAGAGAACCTTGGCAATCGTTTTGGAAACTTCGTACAACATGGGATCCTCCATCTACCAGTTGAAGAGAAACCTGAAGGCTTCTCTCGACAGCATCAACAACGACCCAACTCTTCAAGGATGGTTCACCAACTTTGTGCTCTATCCATTCGACTCCAGTAAGAATAGCATGTAAAACTATGTCTAATTTATTCAATCGATTCCAGTTGCTAACCAAAACTACTGGTACCAGCCAACCATCTCGCGTAACTCGGACGATATTGTCGCTGCCGTCAAAAACATCAGTACCATGTCTTGCCCAGGACCAGACCCATGCTCTTCTCGTTTGTCAAATCAATTTCTAAGTGTATTCATGTTTCGATTTCAGAGTGCCCTCGTCCAATCGTCGATACCCTCAAAAACGTACTTAGTTTGGACGCTGTTGCAGCACCAAACTCTGTGATTCTTGTCATTACCAGATCGTCTCCAGAAGACTACCTTCAAGTTGGACAAATAGCCCAGCAGCTCCAGGATACCAAGGCCTACGTACGCCTAGTTTATTTTTAACGTGCATACCATATTTTTGCAGATCAATTTCGTGTTCCCAGCCATCGACTCGCCATGTGGGCAGGGATGGAACACTCCGAACGTCGATGCTCTTTTCCAAATCATCAGTTACTCTCAAGGAAATACATTCACCGTACGTTAATGTCATTGAGGTCTCATTATGACTGACAAAAATTCAGATGAATGCTGTTGAGCTGTCGAAGAACTTCCTCACTCAATACATTCCAACTTTGTACTCTTCCGGAGGAATCGCTGCTTCTAGTGGACAGTGTGACAACGATGAGATCATCTTCCAAGTCAGACAAAAAATAACTGTCAGTGATTCTAACTGTTTGAGTGGTTTGCAGGTTGAACACGAGATGTACGAGTTCTCCATTGATTTCTACCATCCGCTTCAGGAGAATATCAGGGTCTATGATCCATCCGGAGACCAACTCGTCGTTCCGGATAGCATCATCAATTCTGACAGCAACTACATCGGAATCTTCCCAGTCAACGAGACCGGTGCCACTCGCGCTGGAACCTACAGAATTGTTCTTTCGGGAACTGGAGGAAACAACTGCTTTGCTACTGTCAGAGGAAGATCGAACCTTGAGGTAGAACAAGACTTGAATACATAAAATACACACATTTTCAGATCTTCCTCGGCTTTGTTGACTCTTCAACTGATGGAACCAACGGAGCTACAAATGACGCTGCTCACCACGCTCCAGTCAATCGTACGGAATAATACTGCATGAAATTTTAATCTGATCAATTTCAGTTGAGAACAACACCATCGTTGTTCACGCGACCGGACTCGGAGACGGAGTAGTGAGATATGTTCAGGTTGTGATGCCAGGATTTGGATTGATGCACACCACCGAGATGAAGAAACGTGATACGGCTTGCAGTTATGAGTGGTACGCCACTACTCCGTTTTCCTTCGATTACGACGTAAGTTCAAGGATTGTCAATACGAAAATGTATTTATTCTTTTCAGCATTACTACGTGATTGTCTACGGAAGCAGTGAGTTCGGAAGCAACTGGAAGAGAAACTTCTACGTCAGTACTGTCGGTCAACGCCCACCCCTCCCACCTCCGCCAGCAACTTGCGATCTTAACACTGTCAAACAGGATACCCTTTTCCTTATTGATAGCTCGTTGAAGGACTCCAATGTCACTTTCACTATTGTAAATTTGACAACGCCACAGCTGTTTCTTTTTAAATGTATTTTTTCAGCTGAAGCAGTTCGCCGTGCAAGTTGTGCAGCCGTTCAACTACGTAAACGGACTCGCTCAAGTCGCTGCTCTTTCTGTCGCCGACAAGGCGTATGGTGGATTCTCGTTCAATGCCGGAGAGAACTCGTTTGACCGTGTCTCTGGACTTTTGTATGGAATGCCATACATCGGTGTTGATGGACAGAACGTCACTGCGTAAGAGTAAACAACCAGTTTAGGTTATTAGTGCCTAGTTTCAGTGGACTCCAATATGTGCTCGATTATTACGATCAGCCATCGCAAGGATACAGAACCGACGCCGATGTCAGACATCTTCTTGTCTACGTCACTCAGACCAAGTACTGAAAACCCGTGCAATCAATCAATCATAGCATTTTGTTTCAGTCCAACTGATGCGGATCCGTCTTCCCTCGTTCAATCGATAAAACGTTCCGGACTTTACGAAATCGTGGTTATTGCTCTGGACATGCAACCGTCGGACAAATTGAACAACATGGTCAGCAGCAGATGCTTCTATTACGCGGAGGACTTCCATGCCTTGATGAACTACGGAGTCAACTTTGTTCAGGGACAATCTTGCATGTAAGTTTACAATGCGGAGTTTTAAAATTTTGGTCCTTTTCAGGCGTTTCAACTTCTGCAACTACTGATTCTGAACAAGATTTCTGCTCTCTGATTTCGATTTAACCTTAAGTTATGAATAAAGCTTTTAAACTGGAATTATTGGTATTCATTATAACAAGAATGTCAGACAAAAACATCCGGAGCAGACTCAAATTAAATAAAAGGAAAAGCCAAATTGATTTTGGCGGGCTACTTACTAGATCGCGTTCCAGAAAGAGAATTCAAAATTAGATTGTACTAAAAGCATTCGCTACAAACATGCGTTTGATTCGAAAAGACCTCACAGGAAATGGATATGGGCATAAACAGAATTCGTTGCAGGGAGCGTTTTTGTGTTATTGACATGCACAAAGTACTTCGAACCGGAGAGAAAAACTTGTGGACCACAAGTTGAAGATAACTTCTGTCCAACATTTCCTGGAAACCAACAACTAGTTTCTATATACATTTGGTTCTGATAAATGATTTATTAGATAAAAGCCGATGAAAATAGATGAAAATGTTACGAGGTAAGCGAAGCAAGAATTCGGAGGTATCGGGGGTGTTTTAGAAGATGGAAAGAGTGGGTTGAGGTATTTGAACGCTCACAGGGTAAAGAAGTAAACTGGGGCAACACTGGACACAGAATACATAGAGAGGGGGGAAGAAGTTACATGGGAAAGAACAGAGCTGTAGGGGGCATTTCACGAGAACGCTTGTAACATGAGACTTCAGAAAAACAGTGTATGAGGTAGAAAATAAGAGTCGTGGGGGAGGGGTGGATAAAACATAAAAACACACATTTTGGCTTTCGGTTCAAAAAATGAAAATTTTTATGACAGAGCAACATTCATCAGAAATATCATCATGTTTTTTTGTGATACAGAAAAGAAAAGAGGTCCCTGAGTTGGATGTGAGTTTGACGGCGGAGAGTTCTCAAAAACTTTTGAAAATGCCTGAAATGATACCATTTGAGATGACGGTCATTTTCGAAAATCCCTGAGTCACAATAAAAGCTAGGAAGTAACAATAAAATACTAAATTGGCGACTAAACGTTTTCTGAATGACAGATATAGATATTTGGCCCCAAACAATTGGACAATTGAATGAGGTAGGTTCCCTGAGGTAGAAGAAATTCCTGAGTTCAAATGAGAAAAATTGGATCCCTGAGTTGGTTTCGAAGAGAAAGGTATTGTAATGACGAGAATTTGTTGGAGGGAAGGAGAGGGGCACTACTCGGACGATTAAGGGGGGAGGGGGAGGTTTTGACAAGAGGTAAGATATATGATGAGAGACCAAGGTGACAAATTCCTGAGTTTTGAATGTTCCTGAGAGCAAATTTTGAGGTGAGACTGAGGTAAAGTGAGTGCAGGAAAAGGCAGTATCTCTCATCAATCCTAAACAAAGGCAATGAAATATTTCCCTATTTGAGAGAGACTACCAATGTGAAGGAGGAAAAAAACGGATACAATTCAATGGCGCCTAGTAGAATTTCAGAGCTAGGAAAACAATCAAAACCAAATGTTGAGCTAGAATCAAGGAAGGATACACATAAAATTGCGAGGTAGAATTGTTGCATATTAACGAAATTTGGGGGTTAGAAAAAGGGTGAAGTTAGGAAAGGCGAAGCGTAAAAAACAGCGGATAGAAATCTGAAGCCGAAAGCGCTAAATGCAGAGGGGGAGAAAAAAAGAAACATGTCGCACACACGAAAAACTATACATCATTGGGAAGGGGGGCAATAAAAGAGTACTGGTTGAACTATTTGGAATGAGCGTGGGTGCGTTTTAACGTTTGCAATGGAGAAAAAGTCGATCCAGCGTGGCAGCATTATAATTAGGAAAACGAATCACCGAGCTTGAGCACGCTTCAATTTCATGGAAATCGGTAACGACTCTAGATTGGTTTTGCGTAATGTTTCTGTTTTCTCTTGCTGGATGTGCTGAGATTGAAACATGCTCAAACATCGGATTGTGGAAGGGTCACGGGGATTGTGGCGCAATCAAGGAATGAATACTGCCCGATGGATTGGACTGGCAACTGGAGAATTGGCATTTACTGGGATGGTGGAGGCGATGCTGATTTGTTCTGGCGGGAGAGAAAGTTCATGAAATTGGTCAGCGTATTCATCTCGTGCGGCTGCATGCCAGCTTCGATGTCAATCGGCGATTTTCGCTGAAATCTCTGGAAACGATAACTTCATTGGTTTCATTATCAACTATTTCCCACCTGAAGTTGAGTGATGAGAGTGCTCAGCTGTCCGAGATTCAAGCTGTTGACATCACTGGTTGGAGTGACCGACTCTGAAGGCTCGAGCTTTGGCCGGATCAATCCGTTCTGACCAATGAAAATATCCTCTCCATAGCTGAAACTACAAAGATAAGCATATAAATTTCGACTGTTACAAGTACCGTTTGCTCAACATCTCCGCCTGAGCTTCTTCCCTGTTATGCTTCGTCTTCTTGGCGTGTCGAACTCTGCGGCAACGGGCAGCTAGCTTGCGCATTGCCTCCCGGAACTTATCCCAGAAATCTTCCTCGTGCTCGAACTTGTCTCGTAGAACTTTTCTGCAGACATCTGAAAAGAAAAAACATGTTGTCATAAGTCTGATTGATGATCGTCGTACGTTGAATGTAGCAGATTCCCTTGATTGGAAGGTTCGAGTAGTTGGAGTGGTTGAGTCCGGCGACAGTGGTCTGGGACATGAGCCGTGGTCCGAAGACTCTTTTCTCAGCCAGCTTTTTGCACAGTTGAATCATGCACTCTCCAACTTCCATCTCCTCGTACTTCTTTCCTTGAATGATCTGCTGAATGATCTGTGCCTCGGATACTGGTCGGAAAGCTGGAAAGAATAAAGTGAAGGTTGCTCCATCAGATCAATCTTAATACCTGGATCTGATTCAATAGCTTTTGGAACTGGAATTTCGAAAGTGGCAATGTTCTTCTCACTCAGATCTTGGTTGCGAACAATCTTGACAATGTCGTCATTCACTGGTTTCTAAATTATAATGGTCAATGAGCCGTTTGATGTCAAAAACTGTTTACCCTTGGCTTCCTGTCAGGTCCTCCAACTCCGGCTTTTCCGTTGACTCCATTGGATGGCGGAATTATTCTGATTGGAGCTGACTCATTCAACGGGGATGTGTTGAAGAGGAAGTTCGACTCCTTTAGGACATTGGCCAGTGTTGGGTGGATCATTGAGATTTCCTAAAATGTCAGTTATACAATTGAATTTTATGTTGCGTCATATTGTGACCGTATTCTTTTTGGCGCACGCGCTAAAGAATACGTCGTCGTTCTTCTTATCAGTGCGTCTTGCGTTTTATGACTCAAGCGAAATCAAACTTTCAATTTCAACCCCTCTTTTTCTGCCGAGCTCGCTGCCGCTACTTGACTACGTATGATCAAACAACAAAAAAGAAAATTGTCTGTGGCGTCGGGCGGCAGAGCGTAGCGTTCAATCTCACATACGCTGGACTGTGTGTTTGGAACAAAGCGCTCCGAGTGAAAAAGAAGTGACGAAAATTCAACTGCGCAAACAAACTCTTGGCTGCTCTGCTCTGATTGCAGTGTAAATAGAACGGCCGAAAAAATTTTGTTGGAAGTGTGCCAACTCCGCTCGTTTCCTCTTTACCTGTGTGCTGTGTGTCGAGGAGGTCGGTGATTCGCTGCCGTCGCCGATGATATCGATGTTCTGTGTCTCACCGGCGGATGCTGCAAAGTAGAGGAACATGAAAAGTGCATCACGAGATTGGCGCGCATCTGGCGGAAGTTTGGGTCCCCCCCGTTCTGAACTCTGTTGATCTTTTCGTAACGACCGCCGGCCGGCCAAACTTTGCGAGCTGCGAGCGGTGTCCGCGTTTTGCACTTTTTCAGCAGCAGCCGCGCCATGTACACTCTAATCGAATCACACTGCTTCCTGAAGCAGCGGAAATAGCGGGCACGAGAGAACAGAATGCCAACGCGCGCGTGCATTCGAGGGCGTCGTGCTTGCTGGAACGAGCCGGCACCGGATAATGAATTCTTGCGCGCTCTCTTTTATTGAAATTGCTAGTTATTCACATAGAAGTGCATGGCGCGTGACTGCTTCGGCCTCCATATCTGAATCACATTCTAATGATGGATAGCCGCCCCCATTCTTGAACGACGGACTGGAATGAATGTAACGAAAATGAGAAGAAAAAAAAGCGGAGAGATATCGGAACTTATCAATTTCTCTCCTCTTCAAAATGTTCTGTTCTGTTCTATTTTGCAAACCATCGGAAAGGGATAGATAGATGAGAAAGGGCACTACCGGTGTCATTCCTCCGCTTCTGTTATTAATTACTATCTGTCGAAAGTAGCAGTGCCAGCGGTCGATTGACAGAAATTTCGAGTTCCCAGATCACGTGAGATAGCGCCGCGATTCACGATCAGAGTACAATTCGTCGCCGGTTTTGCAGAGTTCGCGCCGCGATCGTGCACTATCATATTAGTGCATTCGCTCTCCGTCTCGAATGTTCGCCGCCGCCGCTGCAGATCGCATCAATCTGTATTTCTCACTCACCTGCAGAACTGTCAGTCTTCTGTCCGTTACTATCCACGCTGGATGGGCTGCTCCATTTGACCTGGGGGTCTTCTACGCTTGCAACTTGTGTCTCGCCAACTGCCGCCGGCAAATTTCCTGTCGGCAGCGTCGGGGAAGCGACTTTCATCGACGGCGAGAACATCCATTGGTTCAGCAAAAAGGAGGCTGGAAGATTTACACTTCCGATCGGATAATGGATGTATCTTTTGCATGCTCGAAACAAGTGGCGCTTTCCTATTCTATTTCTATCCGTCCACCAGCTCCTTCTCACTCTTTTTCATCAGGTCAACAGTTGGTCTTTGCGAGTGAAACGTGCACACCTCACGGACTCGCGCCCTATCTCAAGCTAGCTCACCATCGACACAGAAGTGCCGTCAGTGTTCCTGCCTATGTGCTCTTCTACTGCTCCAAAGTCTTATCAACATATCAACTGCTGTCACTCGACGCACTTCGAAACCACTAATAATGTAAAGATTGCGTGGTCGGTGCCACGGGCCTAGAACACTCCGAGGAACATTCCAAGAGAAGAGAAAGATAGCGCCGCCGCCGAATTGTTTCAATCGGAAAAGGACCAGCGCGGCGCCAACGATAAGACTCATGATAATAAAAGACAGAGGGGTGCACCAGGGGAATGAATCAAACTCACGATTGTTAAGAACTGTCCGCATTGAAACCGGGCACTCTGGCTGTGGAACGGTTGGTGTTTGAGCTGCAGGCCGCTTGTTGCGCAACAGACTTTGTTGTAAAACAGTTTGTAAGGTCACAGGCTGCGTGGCAAATCCCGACCCTAATTGGTTTGTTAGCGGCGGGTACAAAGGTAGCATTGGCAGTATCATGTTGACTGTCGTTCGAAGATCGTTCACTTCTCTGAAAAATAAATATTATGATTTTGAAGCTCTGGAAAAAATGCTCATTTCTATTCTATGTATTTCTCGAACAGTTTAAAGAACCAACTTGAAAGCGCTCATGTCTGATTTAATAAGGTGATCCGATGTTTTGAAGTTTGGCAGTTGAAGGAGGTGGGGGTAGAGAGCAGTGAGTGTCGGTAGAAGTGAAATTGGTGGCGATGTCATCGGAGGGGAGGTCGGCGCCGAATAGTAGGCGGAGAGAGGTAGAACGAGATCGTTCGACGTTCCCGGCAGATCCATGTAGGCAGAAAGGCTTTCCAGGGCGAAGTTTGACCGTGATGACAGTTGGTTCAAATTCAAATGAAGTTCACTTTGGTGGGCGTTCAGAGTCAACGTGACGTGTGAAACAGTTGAATGGTTTATTGTAATACCGGAAAATTGGTGGTTGGTAGGCGAGGCTGATAGGAGAAATGAAGCGAGAACGGCGAGAAACGTTATAGAAAGAACATTATCAGAACAATTTTCGCGACCCCGCCCACGACCACAAGCTGATTTTGATGTCAGGTGGCGTGGAGCAACGCGAGAAGAGAGGAAGGAATGCTAGGGAGCAAAGCGTCCTAGAAAAAACGGTAAGTGGAGGAAGATTAATGGGCTTTACGGACATTGGATACATGTACCAAAGGAATTATAACGAGCAGGAGTGGGATGTAAAGTGAGCGGCTTGAATAACAAATTACTGTTTGAACAGAGAGTAAGAAGAAAAATGAGTACGAGCGCCAGTGATCCGGGTTCTGAATGATGTGATGACGAGTTGGCGAGAACACAAAAATCGCCTTCAAGTACGTATCAGATTCATATCTTTTCTTTCCCTTTTTTGCATTGTCGAAAACCGCCCATGAAGGTTACCCGAAAAGGGCTTCTGTGTAAAGTGAAGCGCATTCTCGAACGTAGACCTTGAGCGGCGAATTTGTGTGTAGACAGTATTCGAATTCGGGGGAGAAGACAAAGTCATGCGAAAGTTTCAATCTAGACCACCGCAAAAACTGCTGCGTGTTGAAGAAAGAGTGCTGAAGGTCAATAAACCATATCATCATTTCAAGAAGCAGTTCGTCGCATCTTATCAATAATTTTTCTCAAATTCCAAAGTTCCGCGAACTGAATTCTGAAGTCTGACCAGCCCGCGGTGAATGATGATACGAGAAGAGATATGATCGGTTACGGTAGGATGAGAACGCGCACAAGAAGTATTTTTTTCCAAATAAGTCTCGTATCTCTCGCCTGATCATTTCGTCTTCTACCTTGATTGGCTAAAACGGTTGGCAGAATAAGAGGAAGAGACCAACCACATCGGCGATTGGAATGTAGCGCTCGCCGTCACCGCGCGACTACTACTGAAACTGGTTGCGACACAAATGAACCTTACTGACGGCGGCGCGAGAGACGATGGCGAGCGCTGATTATGTCGAATTCAGGGCTGAACACAAGATGGGACACTGGTGACGGTTGATAAAAAGTGCAACGAATTTGATCGTCTCGCCCCCGACGCAGTTATGCACTACCCGAATGTGAGGCTACTACAAGAACCTTGATCGTGTAGCAGAAGAACAAGAAGAAGAAAAAGAAGAAACAGGGAACTTGTTGAGAAGTGCTACATGCCCTTCGGTGACAAGTGTCGAGATCCAAGAGATCACGAAATTGACCGAGAAGGCTCTTTGAGAGACGGCTTCTTCTCAGAACGCACACACACACGCGCAACGTCACGGGGCGAGTCGGAACGAGTAGTCCGGGCAGAAAGAGGAGCGAGCACAAGTTCGTCGCAGTTGGCGACAAAAAGAAGCAAAGAGAACAAAAAAGCCAGAGAAAGAAAGTTTGAGCCGGCAGTGAGAGCCCCCCTCATCACTGCGAACACGCGTCGATGGCGATCATCTCGACAAACACCATGCACTTTCACTTTGCGTTTCGAAATGAGAAGGAAAAAAGCAAAAAGCAAAAAGCCGACTCAACTACGAGTTCGAGGACCTGGGGGTGAGACGAGTAAAAGTGTGTGTGTAAGTGTGAGTGTGAGTATGTCTCGCTCTCCGTCTGTGTGTATGTAAGTCTGGGAGAGTGAACGAGCGTGTGTGCGAACGGATTGGTTGAAAAAAGTGCACCTGTACTATGCCATAAGATCTATCATGAGGCACGATTGCCAAAGAGGCAGAATTTCGGACGACTCGTCTTTCGGCCCACTCTCACGTCGTCACACACACACTCGCGCCGACGCTGTCGTTCGCCGTTCATTGCCACCGCGCACTTTCAGATAAGCACTCGCGGTCGGGATCGAAAACCAAGTTCTTCGTACGGAACGAGTCACTTTACTTCTTCTTCTACTTCTTATCTGATGCAAAGTTTCTTTGAAGTAGTTCTCAGAGAATGGCTTTGAAAAAGAATTCCGAAAAGGGAAGAAGAAAAGGGAAAAAGAAGGGACGCTCGGAAGCAAAGAACTCGCGACTGAAAGCGTGTGCACACTTGCAGTGAATGTACTTTGTGAATAGGGCGCAAGGGCGGGGTGATCGCTGTGGGCGCCGCGGCACTCCCTCACGTCTTCTTAGATTATTCATCAACTTGGCTCAAATAAAACTAATTTAAGGGAAGTGAATGTGGCGAAGTGAAGAGATTTCAGATTCTGGAGCACTAAGCACGAGTAGGGAACCGAGAACCTCACTCACTTCTTAACAAACTCGAGAATTGGCTTAGTTAGAAAAGTCGAGCTTATTTCTGGGAAAACACAGAAAAGGAATAGAAAGGAGCAGGATGAGCCGGAGGAGCGTTGCACACAGAACTACACAAGCACTTTTTGGAATGAAGGCGCTTCAGGCTCGACTGGATGAGTGCCTCTATCTATTCGACTCGATTTGAATAAAATTAAGGGGTTCAGAGGCAATGCCAAAGGAGAGAACGACGGAACGAAAGACACGGAAAAAAGTGCACGGGTGCAGCTGGAGCAGACGAGCCCTAGCCGCGTGTGCTCCTGGGGGTGAATCTCTTTTCTGCTTGATCTCGCTCCTCTCTCGCCGAATTTTTCGCATTGTATGTGTGTTTTGTCGACAGTCTTTTCCGCGCACACTGTCTGTTCTTTTTGTTTCATCTTTCTCGTCGGGCGCCCCCAGAGAGACAAACGGCATAAAATATAAAGCTGGTTTTTATGCTGGTCGGCCTAGAGAGAGGGTAAGAGGGGAGCGCCACGGCAAAAAATTTATGTTGTTCTAATGCTCGACGGAAGCGGCGGCGGGATCCCGGCAGCCCTGAGGAAATGTTCGCTCTTTGTATGCACTGCGTCCTGGCTCCCTCCGTGCCCCCGGTAATGCAATAAGAGAAGAGCATGTGGGAAAAGTGGGTGCTCCAGGAGCTTAGACGCTGGCGAGCGCCTGAAAATGAATGCATCCTAAATGATTTATGACCAAGAACAGCAACAAGCGTGCAGGTGCTCAGAAGGCGCACGATTCCGTTTTCCTTTTTTCCGCCGTGTATTCCAAGTATTGGCAAGGAATCAAGGTTTTTGAACTCTAGGTGGTTCGAAGGGAGTTAAATACAAAACCGGGATGAGAAAAAAATGGTAGTCGATACAATCCATCTTCTTTTCCCAAAGTCCTCTTCTACCAAAAGACAAATCCTTTTTGTGAAGGGCTGTTCGAAAATGTTTTTTGGCGCTAATCCCTAGAGAGTATTAGCAACGTCAAACAAAACTGCATAGTGTTCGGAAATCCGATATAGACGCGAAAGTGCATGTCGTCGTCGGCGCTCTCGCAATGTCAGACTTGTCAGAGTCGGTTCCCGCCGATATTCAATTTCAGACGAGCCATCCGCTTTTGATAAAGGCGTGTGCCTCAAAAAGAACGATGCTCTCTTCACGGTCCGAAAGAGAAGGGGGCCCTTCTTCCCGGATGAGGTCCTCCGAGCCACTCGCCGATTGGATAGGCGCTATTGAGAGTGTATTGGAATGAAAATGGAATAGCTCTGAGCAGACTATGGTGAAGAGAAAATAAATGAATGCATTTGGCAAAGACTGAGGGTGCGCACGTCCGAGGAGAGGGACACAAATTCAAATGAAACATGGTGGAATGGATAAAAAGAAAGGGGGAATAAACTAAAGAAGCGAGGGGGAGATGTACTTGTGCGTATGTCAGTTCTGAATTGGTGAGGTCCCATCAAGCGTTTTCCTCTTCGATGATGGCGATGATGAAACATTCGTCCGAGATGCGCACGCGTGAGCACAAAAAAAGAGCAATTGGTTTAGGCTCATTGGACCGCACTCGGCATACAACATGTGCACACGGGTTCCACTTTTTGGGACCGACATTCTTTTTTCTTTTTTTTTCTTTTCACATGAACGAAAAAGACATGAATTGAATTGAGGGCCAGTGGCGCGAGGAAGCTGTATTTAGGAACTAGTTGATCGTTGGTCACTCGGAAGAGTTCTCTACAAGTTTCAGGAGCCATGCTAGATGGCCACAGCTAGGAAAGAGCAATACTCGAACGCTTTTCTTTCTGTTTGTCGAAACGACTATTTGCAAAAAGATTGCAAAACTCGCTGCGGCGGGCGGGACTTGGCAGCGGACGTGTGGGCGCTGTTCAACAAAAGGAAGAAGAGAACAGCAACGCAACTACATGAATACTTTGGACTACTATGTTCTCTAGGGGGTTCAAAAAGATCTATGCATAGCAGCAAAGGAAGGGAGTGAAACTGGAACCTTGTTCACTTCAACATTCATTAGTTAGACAACCTCGCTGAAACTCGATAGCCTGGCAATTCCGAAAACGTGCCTGCCGTTAGCTGGAAAAACGGGAGAAAAGTTCATCTAGGCCGACGTAAAGGGTTCATTTCCTCTTTATGTGTACTTGAAAGAGAAAGAGAAAAACGCTGGTGAGCACGTCGAATTATAGAACGGGTCGGAAGGAAACGAATCTCGGCAAATGGCAAAAGTACAAATTCGCATTAGTGTAAGCTTGTCCGGATATGTGCTCCGATTTCACTATTCGGGGTCCTCAAAAGTGGGAGGAAAAAATTGGTATTGCGCTATAGAGCAGGAGTGGTTGCGCAACGGCAGCCACCCAAGACGAAGAAGTTGACTCCCTCGAGAGCAACGTCGACAAGTCCGTCAACTCCTTCTTCTCTTCGTTTCCCCTCAACGTCCGGATGGTTCAATATATTAAGAGCTCAGACACGTTGTTAAACCAAAAAGTGGGAGAAAGTGAGTGAGCCTGCAGACGAAGAGCTCCGGCGTTTGTTTCGGATTCGGAGGCAATGTCGACCCCATGCG